ATACAAGACTTTAAGCCAAATCATAGTGAGGTAAACAGTAAGAGTGCTGTAGTTTAAGGACAAGGTTCTGCCTGTATATCTTCAAATGAATATTCCTGCTTCATTATATTTAGACATTGCTTTCTTTTAATCATATAAAAATTAATGGCTTCTGATATATATATAAATAAATATTATAATGTATACTTATAACGTGCGTGTAAGTTTTGAGATATTACAGCTATTTTATCCAGATGTGAATAGCTTATAATAGCGAGCCTATTTCTGTAAATATCCCTTTCACCTAGTGACTGCACTCGCATTAATAGTGAAAAATAACTTTAGATATCTATTGAGCAGATATATATTGGTATAATATAATGCTATGTATTAACACACACAACTATGTGCAGTAATAATGGTAGAAATCTGGGCAGGGTGTACCTAGACATAATATGTAATAAGCGTTAAGACAAAGATTTGATTACATCACTAACAAACAAACAAATATATGGTGTTGAGTCAATTACCATGCCGTTTTACAATTGTGCCCCGGTCATCCACAATTATGCAATATATTTTCCATCACAATAATTAAGACATTTGCCGGTCTTTTTAAAATTGAACATCTTTCACTGTCAAATTGATTTTTGATTATTTATTTATTTTGTTTATTTATTTTATTTATGTTTTGATCCTTCTTCCACACAAATACGTTTATACTACACCAGTTTCTGTCTCTAGAAGATCCCTACAGAAAATATTTGTCATTGCTCATCACTACTCCTATTTACAACACCACTGATACTACCACCAACCGACAAGTAACCCTGCAACAGCAACCAGCTCAAGCGACATCTATATTATTTATTCTTGACGGAGAAGTCTTCGCCAACTAAATGTCCAGTATCGACGGTACTCTTCCTACAATAAGCGTCCGTCTGACTAGGACGATTGAGAGATCTTGGAAGAAAGTCATCACTATTGCGCAGAACCAGGTGGATGAAAGTACTCAGGAAACTACCCGCCGTGTTTCTATAGGACGTAGACGTGTGAACAATCCCTTTCAAGAAACAAGACAGACACAACAAGGTCCCCGTCCAACTGTCTCTGAGGAAGAAGGATTTAGACTGCCTTCACTTTCTCAATATGACCGCGAAAGACAAATGGTCCAGTCTCTCGAAACTCTTTTTGGTTTGGCGTGTGACAGTAAGAGAATAAATAAAAAAAAACCGTTATTCGGTTCGTACACAGGTTAATTTCTTTTTTGGATTCAATGGATAGGTTCGGGTTATATCGCATTTATATCTACCATGGTGAATTCTCTCAGTCCAGAAAGTCCGGTTTCTTTGGCTTTTCTTAGCCACATAATTGACCGCGCTTCTCTGCACTCAAAAAGCACAATGTTTCTCGTTTCACCTGTCATCATCTCTCAATTGAAACCACCACGGCGCATACACCAATACATGATGACCCTTATTTCTGGATATGATCGATCCAGCTCCCTGGTTACCGATTCAAACACCGATCAAGAACCAACGTCTCCATTGCCGTCCCGCTGGAAACGACCAAGTCGTACTAGCACAAGATCCGATTCAGCCAAAGGAAAAAGTGCTAATACCACCTCAAAACTAAACGCTACTATAATTTGGTCACTGCTAGCTGAAAAATTTGCAGGGGATATGTGTCTTTCTATATGGAAAGACGAGGTTGGTGAACTATTGTTTCAATTACTGGCAGACCCAGAGGAGGACCTAAAAGTTCGACTTTTTACTCTACTTGCACTCGAAAAATTTGCAATTACTGGTAAGACTATTTACTTTAATTTAAGTAAGTATATATCTGACGCTGAAGGTTGTTCCTTCTTTTTTCTTTTTTTTCTTCGTTTATTTCTTATAGGTGGAATCAAGAAAGCCATCTTGAATCACAAAGCAGATGTCTGTTCTATATTGATTTCTGTTATCCATGAGTGTGAGGATGCCTGTCAGCATGTTTACGACCAATCTTTGTATGAGCATGATCCAATTTTGCCAAAGAAAATAATTTCGGAAGCCACACATCTTAATTATTCACCAAGATCTTCACCAAACTCAAAGAATGTCCCGAATAATGCTGATAAATTAACACGTACATTAAAACAATGTCTCAGTACCTTTTCTGGAGCAAGAGTCAACTTGACCAAATTTTTTATCGGAAATCCTCAGTCCAAAAAAGAAGGCCCCTCTTCTTACGACACCAATACAACACTCAGAGATGATGATTATCGCTCGAGAGACAATATTGATTCAAACAGAGCCTCGGAAGAGATTGGTTCCTTCCTAAGACCACGGACCTCGAATGAAACATTCAAGAAGGATCGCAGCAAAACAACTATCAAAGATACTTCGTCTTCGCTTTACCCTGTTCCTCATTCTCAAGATTCAAACCTGACCAAAATTTCTAAAGAAGCGGAAGGTTCAAAATCAGTCAGCCCTTTATTTTCGGCAACATATTGTTTTGATAGAGGATGTATTCCACCAGAAGGACCATTGCGTGACTCATGGATAAAGTACTCACAGCTTGCTCATTGTGCTCGGTGGTCTTTTGACAATATTTTTGGTATAATTTTTATGAGAAAAAGTAGTAAATATATCTAAGAAAAAATTTGTATCTATTTAGCAAGTGCCCTGGATGAAACTGAGAGAAAGGTAAGAATTGCAACACGATTACTAGTAAGTATTTCCAGATTCTAATAATTATTTCTGCTTTACAAAAAATAAATGTTAGGCTTTACCTGCAATGTGCTCTTGGAATATATCTACTTTAAACATCATGATGAACCCGTTTGATTGCACCCCACATCTGAAAATAGGCGGAAACTGTCTAGAGGTTTATATAGAAAGAAATGCTACTTTTATTTGAATGATTTCTCTTACATATCATAACAATAGATTCGAAACGATCGTCCAAACTTTGAGTCAGTCAGAGGTACAGCTTCAGTAAAGGCTGGAAAGTGGTATTATGAAACACTCCTTCTAAGTGGTGGAATAATGCAGATTGGCTGGGCCACAAAAAACTGTCGTTTTTCACCTGAGGAAGGACATGGAGTGGGTGATGATTGTGTAAGTTTCTTTAACTTGACTTAATTCGTATATAATAGCTGATTTTATTAAAACACTTTTTTCCCTTTTTTTTTCCTTTACAGAACGGATTTGCGTTTGATACTTACCGTACTGCAGTATGGGTAAACACTATCTTTCTCTATTACTATATACATAAGCTGTATTCTAACTAAGCTTACTCATATTTTCAGGCTAATGGATCTGCCGTATATCCTCCAACAAGAAAGAAGAGACGCTGTAAGGCTGGTGATGTTGTCGGAAGTTTTCTAGATCTTGACAACGGTCTTTGTTCGTTCTTTATTAATGGACGTGATATTGGCCTGACAATTGAATTCGAACGTCCTAACTGGCCAACAGAGAATGACGCTTCGGTGACAAGTAATAACTTGCTTTTGGAGATACCGCAAAATAGCTCTGTTACTTTGAGTTCAGGAAGATCATTTAAAAGCAGGGCTTTTAGATCTGTACCTCAGCCCAAGTCACCTTCGCCTCAGCCCAAAACCGTAAAGTGCCTTGGTCTTTACCCTGCTATTAGTATGACCACACACCAGCACGCTCTTTTGAATTTCGGTGATCGACCATGGATGTTTCCTCCTCCTCTCAGGGCAAAGTTCAAAGGCATGAATGATGCAGGCATGCCGGACAAAATCTTCAGACGCCGTGTTAATGGATATATAAAGCGGAATCAAAGCGCTCTTATGTCGCGCTCTTTGTACCGCCCACCTACACCAGATCTTCAACAAAAAGGCGATGTCCACGATAAATTCTTACCAGAAAATGTCAGCAGTAGTAGTATTTCGTCATCTGACTTGGATAGTGAGAATGCAGAGAACCAAGAGAGTGAGGATGACTGGGATGGTCCATTGTGTACCATCTGCTTTAGTGAGCCAAAAAACATCCTTTTTATGCCCTGCAGGCATGGGGGTGTGGGTAAAGAATGTGCAAAGTTTTTGGAAATATGGTAAAGTTATATATTATATATTGGTGCAGCATTAAGCTGAGGTATTAATATAATGATTTTTTGTTGCATAGTCCTCTTTGTAGAGCTGATATAACGAGAAGAGTAACGATTGATTCGGCAACATTATCAGAGGCTGATAGCCAAATAACACTTATTGCTTAGTTAAACGTATAAACCAAAATAAATATAATTGTTTCAAATTTAATATGAGAGGGAGTAGACTTGTAGCTTGCACAATACTCGGTCCGCGATTTTTAGGTATCTGCTTGTAGACCAAGAGGTATCTTTTGAGCCCTTTAAATCAAAGCAATTGAGTATTATTATTAGGTCCGAGTATTGGATTTTTAAAGGGTTCTTTGGGATCTTTGTTTTGTGCTACTTGATACCAATTCGCTTTAGTAGGGGTTCAAATCAGTATTCTTGCTCTTAATCTAAGAATTGTAGTCGAAAAGAAGAAAGTTGCATCTGTAGATTTTTCTAGATAGTGTTTGCTACAAAAAGAACCTATATTTACTTATTACACATAAATAACTCTCACGTTTCATTCGAATATTTTAGTATAAGTTTTTAGATATGTGAGAAATACACAAATATCTTTGATTATTGTCTGGTCGTGTAATTCAATTATTTCTTACTTTAAAACTCGACAATATCTTTTATTATTATTAATACATATACATATACATATATATTTCTGTATGTCTCTATATACTTTTAAGGTGTTATGTCTTTGATACAAAGTCTATTTATTCATAAATAAATTAATGCAATATATTTAGACCGTTAATCCAACTCGGTGCCATATAAAAAAATCAATTTACATGCTGAGCAAAAGACTGACGTTGACACAAACGCGGTTTGAACAACAGTGACTGTCCTCCCGCCCTCCTATAATCATATTCACCTAGTCAACCTCCTGTGTATTAAATAAACCTTACCTTAAAACTATTAACAATAACATGAGCACTCCAGTCCAAGGAGCCCATCATCTGGTGAACTCCAAGATAACTCAATACTTTGAGAAAAGCTCTATTCCTGTAAAGGAACCACGGAAACGCACAGACGAAAATGCAACAGACGAAGCAGAACAAGTACGACAAAAACAAAGAGATAAAAGATTAGGTGGACAATTACGAGTTCCACTTAAAGACATTGGAACAAATATCGGTGTACCATTACGACCTCCATCAGGAAGACCCATACCTACAGGTTCTCAAATTAAAGTATGGAGAGATGAACCTTCAACATCAGCATCTGTACGCAAAGATAAACAGACGATGGGATCAAATGTCCTTGCATCAGGATCGAACCACACACAAAATAAATCATCTCAATTCCAGAAACGATCACTTGGATCATTGTCTTCAACACCTTTAAAACAGCCAACAAAACCATCTACAAAACAATCCATCAAACAATCTACCAAACCATCTGCCAAACACACCACTGATGACCACAAGTATCCAATTACCAGTAATGACCAGGCTTCAATAACGGACCTCAAACGAACCCGCCAAGAACGATCGCTTCAGTCTAGCTCTCCAATTTGTAAATCCCACGACTTATCCCGTACCATCAAAACACACTCCTCAACACTATCTAAACAAAACATTACTCATAAATCAACTCCTATCATCGATAAAATCGTCTGCTCAGATTCCATGTTCTCAGTTCTAAGCACAGACCAACTGTCAATGGCTAGTATCACAACAAACCCACTTTCGTTTCACACAGATCTGGTATCAGCTTCCGAGTCTCCTTTCTTACAGAGAAGTGACAATGAAAATAATCCTGAAGAACGATGTCCGAATGAACCAAGCGCCCAAGACCTCAATGAACTAAATGACTTTTTTTCGACCAGCTCTTTCAACTCACAAAAGCAATACTGTAACCGCCCTGTCAATGCAACAACTGATAAATCAGATGTCTAGCGAGACAATAATTAATGGTTCATTCATCTCAATTCACTAAAAACAAAACAAGAAAACGAGTCGTAGATGGGACATTCTATACGCCCAAAATACCACTTTGAATAAACGTCTCCACAGTTTCAGAAACTTTCTTATACAGAAAATTGCCGTTACACGTACGGGTGTGTACTCACGTGTCGTTTGATTATGCGAGCGTAAAACCCGTTCAAAAGGCTATCCTGAAACCTTCTAAGATACAAAACGGATCCAATTTCTACAAAAAGATCGTTACTTTTATGGTTGAAAGGGTGTCTGCGGGCAGGAATTGAAAATATACATTGCAAGATAGTATCTCTCCATGTATCCATTTAGGAGCATCTTTTCTTCCTTTCTAAAAAAAAACATAGATTTGGTCTCATAATTACTTTTCAAATCACGTTTTGTAGACCCTAATCTCATGGGAATAAAAGATCCTCGAGTAAGTCCGGCGAAGATCTAATAAGTTTGAATGATAGTGGCTGAGTGTCTCCTCCTTCAATAAAATCACCAAAATTTTTGTGATAATTATCAAATGGCATATTTAGTATATACCTTGCCATTGTTCCCCCACGCTTTAATCATATTTAAGAATCTTTGAGTCACAACTTGGTAAAATCAACAAGAAAATGATTTAATATATACACTGTGTGGTGTAGAACATGTATAGTTTTTAATCCTAAAGTAGATTACTTTATTTTACTCAGTTTTAATAATCATAATATATAAAACAAACCGGGCAAATAAATTGTTATATAATGGTATATAAAATATAGGGCACTAAAAATTAAATATTTTTAATATAACTAATTATATTCTTGTTTTAACATCTAGACCTCAAATAATAATAAAGAGAGAATCTTAGCCTCTTATGTATTTATATCACAAGAATACCGTCAACCTTTTAGGAATGGGCTGAGAGAAATGCTAAAATATAAGCTAATATTTGTAAGCAAACATGGAGTCTACACTCCTTTGTATTAACAAGAAAAGTCTGTTTGATAGCCTATATTTAGAGGATATATACACGTTGTTCTATGTAGTCTGTACTGAATAAAAATGCTGGGTATTTTTTTTTTGTTTTTGGTTTGGCATTGACTTTGTTTTTGGCTTGGATTTATTTATCAAATAAATCGAAGTATAAAAACTCATTATTTCTCCTTTTTTTTAATCGAAAAAAAGTTTCTGGGGTGTATTTATTTAAGCCTCAGTTACGCATGGAGTATTATTTAAGCATTCAAATACTGCTAAACTTCTTTGGCTATTTCTTTAGCATATCATATCTTTACAGATATATACATTTGTACTTAAATATAAGCAAACATTTCCATATTTTAATGGCCAATAAAGTACTAAAAAGCATTGGATGGTCTTAAGCCTGACAAGCAATCGAAGGCTTAAATAAACAAGCTAGACGAATCATCGAAGCTGTGTATGCATAGGTGGGTGTGTATGTGTGCTTGCGTGTGTGTACGTGTTTATGTCTGTGTGTACAAAATTAAATACTGACATTCGTTCTAAGAGAAGAAAATACAAAAAAGGCTACTATAAGATAAGGAATGGGATAACAGAGAAAATATACATCTATCGATCGGTTGTATTATCTAAATAATGATTGTATTCCTCTCGCTCTTCAACAAAAACAACATTGTCATCGATTCCAATATCAAGAATCTGTCCATTTGTATCCTTCTTGACTCTGGCACTGAAAGAAAAGTCATAAACCTCATACGCAAAGTCCATGTCGTGTTTGCTTTCCAGGCGGATGAAGCGGTATCCAGTTTCACTAATTACAAATCGACACTCTAGGAGAGACGGATCATTATCGCCAATATCTCCTTCGAATACAGTACATTCAATTGAAGGGGCAGGGTGGATGTCAATCTGTAAATTATCTTGTATAAGTCAAACAAATTAAGCTACATAATTTAAATATTACCCAAATAACGCCATCAAAAGATATTTGAAGGCTAAGCGACCTGCGGTATATATAAGGATGACGAACTAAGAAACGATACTTTATGGGAATACGCATAGGCATCAAGAGATCAAGACCTATAAAATCTCCAGACTTGATATCTAAAATATAATCAGGTCAACAAGACAAAGTAAATGTCGTGGGGCTTACTTTGACGAGACTTCCACGATGTTTTGTCACTGCCGTCAGCAGCATTGGAATAAGCGTGTGCAATAAATTGGCTGCCATCATTGTAATCTATGTGCATTTTGTCAAAAGTACTAATGTCAATGTGTGGATAATAGGAGAACAGTCGGGCATCAGGTAAAACATTGACATTAGTCAAAAATAAACAGCGATCGTCCTGGCATGGCGACCTGAATCATTATTAGTATTTGAGTTCTCGTACCTTTAGTACTATAAATATATCGGTAATCATTACTCGCTTATATATGTATATATTTACCTTGCATGGCGTCTATACATGTTTGGATTCTCATCTTCTAGTGATACATCCACATCACGTTCCAAATACTCGTACACCGTTTTGAGGCCCTTTTGCTAACAAACCCCAAATATGTAATGTATATATATAAATAAATAGAGGATTTTTCCTGTCGACATGATTCTACTTACCATGTGCTGCTTCTCAGTTGATGATAGGACATTTGGTTTGGATTTTTCATTCTCTGGACCTTGAAGCTGATAAGGTTCCTGGTTTATGTAAGACATAAAATACATGTCCTTGAATTGATCCTCGATTTTGTCTTTTTCGGACATTTTCAAAAACAAGTCTACATTTGCTTTGGATACAAAGGTACCTGCTCCCACTGACAAATAACAGGTGTGAAGCCGAACATCTAATATCATTCTCGGTCAAACACTCTATAAGCTACCAACAGACTTTTTCTCCCATTCCTACCCTCATTAATAAAGCATTGCTTCCATCGAGAGTCTGCATAGTCTTTTGCATTTCGAGACTCTCCGTGAATAAGACTGGGTGATCGAAGGAAGTTTGCATATAGACTACGTAAATGGCGTACTGATCCATGGTCATCTTGGAAATAACAAAATGGCGTCTTTGCAGATGCACAGGCTATATATCGTGCGGATAAATGCATGTTGGTTGGTGAATTATGGATGGAAATTTTGTTGGGTGGACATCCAGGCGCACTGATTGTCTATTGTATCGTGAGAATAAAATCACAATAGGCCCTTGAGATCAGGATATATATATATACCTCCTTTGTGATATTAACTTCTGGATTATTGTTCCAGACAACTATGGTGCCAAACATATCGTATTGACATAACTTCTCGAGAATAGGCTTAATATTTTGATTTGCCTCATGTTGAAAGGCTGACGGATTTGAAGGTTGGAAAACCAATATAGCCGTAGTGAGCGCCCGACCGTCATCAGGATACATCTTCTCCAATAAATCTACTTCTTCAAGTCTGCCATAATGATCCTGTTGCCAATCCTGGTATTTTTTCCCACTGAAAAAGCCAACATGAAGTAATAGAAATAAACCGGCAAAGAAGATGCCGAGAGACAATGTCATCAATTCGAGTGGTGATGATTCTTGGTAACGTCTCTGGAGTCGGATCCGAAAAATGGACAAATGTCGCCGTGTTTTGCTTTCTTGCCACAGTCGCTGTAAGTAAGGGGGTATACGGTGCTGGAAAGGATCTGAGCTGATATTGATATGGATTCCTCGTAGTGGTAGATCAGTTCCACCACTCTGTTGTCGTCTGGAGGAGAACTGTGATGACCCAAAGGGCCTGTCGTGTGTTGAGGACAGGCGCATATCCAGAAGAGTCGTTGCTTATTCGACGTAGGATAAACAACAGGAATGCAGATCACCGTCTCGCTAACAAGGGGCTTAAAGATAACAGCGCTAGTATGCAAGTTATACGTTGGCTAGAATTTATAGGGACTGAGCAAAGGGACACAACTTCCCAGTTCAGAAAAAGTGTCACGTGAGGTGTTAACTACCTCTTTTAATATGCACACAAAAATAAGTCCTGTATCTTTGTTTCTTTACTCCTTGTCTTATTTTATTTTCTCTTTGGGCAGAAGAAGAAAAAGAAAAAATATTGTTGCATTAGGTTACTAGACGCGCGCATACGCATATGCATACACATACACATACGTATACACATACGCATATACTAAGCCATGGCACAGACAAAGTCAAAGACAAAGACAAATTATCGATTGTGGATTATTATTATTATTATTTTGGTTCTTCATTCAAGCATCTTTCCTTTATTTGGTTTCCTTGCTCTGGCCCAAGTGCAAGAACAAACATAGATCCTCTAGAAATAGGCAATTTGATAATTTGGTGAAATTTGAATATTCTTTTGGGGTTTTGTTAGGGGCCGGCCGATGTTTTTGATCCGTGGGGAATGCACATAGTGATTTGGTCGCATAATTCTTGCGCTGCTGATGGGTCTCTAACCTGATTATTACAGCATTAATATGTGAAGATATTATTAATAAGAGTGATACTTACTCTAAGAGCATAGTTAACCAAGACGGCCTCAGTTTCTCCGTTTTCTTTGGTTTCTGTCTCAAATCCAGCGAAGCGTACAAACTTCTCCTGCATGATAAAAACTTTCATCCCAGGAAACAAGGCAAGATTCAAGATGACTCTATATACAGAGTCTGCACGCATAACCAACCGTGTGTGTTGTTGTGCTCCGATTCTGTTTGTATCTTTCATGTTGATGTGGAGTGTACCTGAACCACGTTCTTTCCAGTTTCCTGATTGTGTATCCAAGGCAAGCAACTTGGCCTTGGTCTGGTACACTGTTCTCTCATCTTCTTCACCTGTCTTGACTATTATCATAATATATATATAAATTATACATATACTTATTAGCCAAACCTTATTTTATGTTTTGGAAAAATAAATATATAAAATCAACCCCAATATATATATAATTTGCCTGTATGTGTGTATTATTTACCTTCTGTCGGTCTAGCAATAGGAATTTTGGGTTTACCGGACTCGCCAAATGCAGAGCTACCAGTGCTCAATGCATCAGACGCATCACACACACTCTCACTCTGATCCTCTTCTGTAACATTACCCTCCTCTGGGTTTGTGTCGTTTTTGTTGCCAGATGATAATACGTTAGATGCAGGTGATGCTGAAAGTGCATTGCTATTGCCACTTGCTGCAGCCAATGCAAAAGGGGATGCTGATGCCTTTGCAAACGAGCCAAATGAAGGCGTTACTTTCGATGAAGAGAGAGGTGTAGTTGGAGGAGAGAATCCACCGAATGCAGACGCGGTGCTGGATCCAAAAGAGGACTGTTTCCAATCCACGAATAAGTACAGTATTTTATCCATATCTTTATATATGTATAAGCTACCTTCTGGGAAACTGGAGCTGTCTGATGTGTAGCAGCCCAGCCCTTTGAGCCAAAACCAGAAGACGTTCCAAAAGCATATTTTGGTTTTCCTGCAGGAATCTGTGCTTTTGGTTCTTTCTTCTCGGGCTCCTCAGCAAACTCTCCCCAGTCATCACTATCACCTTTACCACCAAATAGAGCCATGACTTTGGACATATATTCGGGATCCTTATCTTTCTTTGACTCTTCCTCAGAACATGGAGCTTTTTGAACCTCTCCTACCGAATCTGTTTGAGATGAGGGTGTATCCTCAGATTGGGATGCACGTCTTGTCACTCTCTTTCTAGGAAATGACTGGTTTTCCTCCAAGTCCCCATTTGATGTGCCTCCATTTTCTTCGCTCTTTTCGCTTGCACAGCCTTCCTCTTCTCCAACTGCTGTCCGTTTCTTGTCATTTGAGTGGCACATTGATACGTCTTCAACGTTATTTTCTTCTTCAGCAATTGTTCGCATAGTCTCATCGTCTCCATCAATTGAGCTGGATGCGGATAACATTTTCCCTGTGCTGTCGGAGGTTGTCATGTCTTTTAGATTCTGGCGTATGGTGCTTACGGATGCTGGAGAAGTCTCGTCGCGTTTTCTATTTAAGTCTGATCGTCAATATAATATATATATATATACATAAAAAAAATTCAGCGATTTTTTTAGGTGACCCACGTCTTCTTTGGTGCGGATACGTTAATGCTCTTTTCTTCAATCTAACATGTAATTTTACATTAGTGATTAATCCAAAACTCAATTCTGATTGTTTTCTACCTACCTCTGCGACATGTGCTGGTGCAGGTTCTACAGATTGGGCGCGTTCTCTTTTTTTATTGGAGGCAGCATCATCTTTAGAATGCAAATATTTATGTATTTTTTTTAAAATAAAAAAAAATTAGTGATTGATTCAATACTTTTGCTTATGCAAATAAATAAAACAGAAACATTATTGATTGAATAGTTGTGATAAAATGACGGCCATGGTACAGCTGAGAGGATTTTTTGGGCTTTTGAATTGATCTCCTTAATAGCGGTACAAGAGGGAGATTGAGGGGTTGGGAGGCGGATTGTTTTCTTACCTAGATCACTCATTGAATTAGGTGGGGATGACATTATTAACAAAAAAAAGTGGTTATCTTGTCACAGTTATTTGCCAAGATGAAAAGAGTCAAGCTAACAAAAAAATCATCAAGTAAACAGCACCAAGTTGTCTGAGATTGAAATACCGAGTTGGGCTATCTTGTCTGGTGGTCCCTCTGGTTTGATTTTCATTTAGTCTCATTTGTTATATTTTTTTGTATGCCCAATGGATGAAATATTTAGTTATTTGGAGCGACATTTTCTTATGATATGGCTTATTGTAAGCTGCTCATCTTTTCCGATATTGAGGCTGCCCTTAAAGAGTGTATATGTTCCTAACTAATTATTCAAAAACTGTACCTTTCAATCCAAGCTGATTAGAACACGCTTGGATAATGGTAAGGCACAGATGTAGACAGTAGTAACCAATCGACAATATAAGCGTATTATACAGACATCCTGACCTATCTGTAACAAGATCGATAGTAGTAAAAAAGACAATAACATAATTTGATTTGATTGTATAGTCTTTTCAATGAGCTTACAGAAGAAAGAACAAATGATGATCAAATATTAACTATGAGCCTTTTAAGAACAAGTTTCATATAGATGGTACTTATTGATTATTTAAACCCTTGACAAATGATTTCATATTTTTTCCTAAATATTTCTTTATCTCTTTTCTTTTATGAAAATATCTTTATCTGTTTGGACTATTTGCGAGACAATAAATAGCATATGGCCAATTACTTTGAATAAAAGTAGAAAATTTCATATTCGCATTATTCTCATTATTATTTTTAACAGTAACAAAAGCAGAAAGAATAGTGGTAATCGATTTAAATGGATATGTACATGCTAGGTAGCAGATAAAGAAGTCTTTAGTTTTAATAGCAGCTGCTTAGTCTTGTCATACTAACACACCAGTGTTAGCTCAAGTATTATTTTTTATTTATTCATTTATTCCTTTGTATTGTGCTAAAAACAAATATTGACACCATCTTTAGTTTCGAGATTTCTCTCCCTTATTTTTGAATAAACATAATATTCTTATAACACGGCACATTACAGGTAGTATTAGGCACACTATACAATGAGTAGAATAATATTACGTAGTTCCATTAGCAATAGTCGATTTAGTAATATTGCGTAATATGTGCAAGTTAGCCTATCTAGACTCTGTAGCCTTTGGCCCAATATAAGCAATTTAGGAGTAACAATGATCCATTATATCGCAGAATTTCAAAAGATGGTGTATTAGATATATCCAACGCGCCGCAACTGTTCCTTTTTTTTATCCAGTCATTGGTTCTACACTATGGTAAAAAGGAGGCCACTTTAGGGGTAGATCTTTGTAAGCCTTTGTGAGGTTTCAAGAGTGCTTTTAGGGTGGCATATGGCTAAAAAGTACTTCCCCTCTTTTTTTGCTTTGTTTCATTTTTAATTTATCTTGTTTATTTACTATTTTTAGGCAAAGATAAAAGACATCTTTTCAGCTATCTCTTTATCTCCCCTTTATCACACTCCTTTTATTCATCATACTTTTCCACTAATATACTTCTTTTTATTTTTACAAATAAAACAAAACATATCACACGCAATGTACACAGTAATGAGATAATTTGTGGTATTATCTCAATAATATAATGACTTACCTCTCTGGAATATTGTAATCTCAGCATAATCAATGAAGGATATGGCTGAAGTTCAAGATAACAACAAAAACTCTATTCCTTAAACTGCATTCAAACAGTACCCTAACCATGTCTTCCAAACAGTGTATATTGGTGCATCCGCCAGTATATATTATAAAAATAGAAAGAATAAGGTTGGGTGTAATATTGCCTTAAAAAGTCTTGACAGGTTACATTTCATGCTTAAGAGCCGTGATATAAATGAGGGTTGGGAAGTTACTTCACTTTTCAAGAAACGATTGGAAACATAAATGATGGTGTTTTAATATAACAAATTTACGGGATAGGAAAAAATACAGATCTGTGAAGTAAGCTTCTCATTACTAAACTCTTGATTGGCTTCAATGTACTTATATAATGCACATAAGTTTCCTATAACCAACAAAAATTAGGTCAAATTCGAGGTGCTAATCATCTACTAGACACCTGTTAGCTTTGTATTAGTTGGTATAGGAGAGAGGCGAGGTTTTTAGGACAAATCTTAATGACTAGTCCAAACCCTGGTGTTTAGGTAAACTAATAATAATCCGTGATTGAGACCTATGTTTATATAGCTAAAATTTCAAGGCAAAAATCAGTTGTACTATGAACTCGACTTAAGCTATGGTTGAAAACTTGTTCAGCAACAAAATTATTCGATTGTTAGAATTTAAGGCTTAAAAGAAACATGTAAAACTTGGTAAGTTCAAGTACAACTCTTTGCTGAGTAGAGGCACATCAGTATCATCTTGATCTTCTCACAGTAAAGGCATCACTCAGATAGTATATGAGCTTTTTTCTTTCTAGATAAAACAAAATACAAAGGCTTTGACATTTTTCATATTATTATTTTTACTAAATAACCATGAGCATAGCTAATAATTTTTTAATTAATACTGGAAACCCTTCTAAGAGTAGGTTTTCTTTAAGAGGGGAATATGAATACCATTTCTAAATTACTTCTCTCAATCTCATCACATTATACTCTTAATCTTAAAAAACCACTCCGGGTAAATTAGCACCAATTCTTCACACGTTTAGCTTTTAATAGATGCCCTAACACTATGAGGGAAAGGGATGATCTTATAGGTGATTTTATGGGATACTTTTCGAGAAAAATTACTTTTCACCATTTACTTTTATAGAAAATAATGTCTGCGCTCTCTTGCAGATATAAGGCTTTACTAATAAAGTAATATACTTCTGTGCCTTTTATAAAAATGTTCTTATATTATGTAATACATTTTAGGAGTTTCGTGTAAGATTCAAAAGTATTGACTATAGACGCTTTAATACATATATACTTTCATATAAAACATACTATTTTACTGTAATTAACACGAAATTTCTGTATTCAATAGCAGTATACAATCATTCTTTCTTTCGTGATTCAATTTTTTTAGAACGATTTGGATATAGATCCTTCAATTGGGTTTCTTTTTGTCCATACTGACTTCCTTTCTACATAAAAATTGACACTAGGATCCTGTGCTAGTATATCTAAAAGATGTTATTGAGAATATTCATGAGTAAGTTGGACCTGTGGGAAACATTTGTCGATATAAATCTCAAGGCCTTTGAGATCAGCAGAATGGTAGAATTGAGATCAGAGAAAACATCTTGACAGATTATATTAGAATATCTATCCTAAAGCATATCCACAATTCTACTCAAGACTTCGCTTCCAAAAGAGGTTACGTCACTGATCTGGAAAAGTTTCTCTATAGTCATAACTTCTCATCGCAGCAGCATAAAATAACTCGGCTCTTTTGTCGTGTTTCTTGATCTTAGAAGATAGACCCTTCTTATACTACATGAATTAGGTCTCTACTGTAGCCAGACCAAGATGTTTCCTATACACCTTCAGTATAAAAAAATGTTGAACTTAAATGCAGCAAGCTTTGTAAAATTCTTTTAAATTTTGATTACCCAAATTTAAATTATGTTAATGTGGAGCAAGTTATATCTCATATTGCAAGTCTGATTCATAGAAGCATTGCCTTTGTTGTGGGAAGCTATCATTCACCCCTTGACAGACACGGTGAGCCAATAAAGTTTGTAGGAATGAGAAGATTACTTTGCGAACATGGATTTAATATTTGTCTGATCGGTAAGTTTGTTACGTACATGCTCTATTCTTCTTGTTTACAGCGGTCCCTCGAAAAAATCGACTAATTCCTCAACGTTTGTCTCATATTACCGCTCTCAAAAACTACAGTTAATCTTTTGGATTTAAGGTAATATTACAATAGACTTTTATTCATCTATTATTGTTATTATTATTATAAAGTATTCTAAATGTACCAGTCCAAATTGTTTAGAGAATGTAGCTTCGTTACAGTTTGAGCATCGTTTGAGAGGCATATATATGTATATATATATATATGTAACTGATGTATTGCACTTACATGCATCCTTTAGTAATTACAGCCTGATGTTATAGAATATTAACAGAACTCTCAGTAAACTCATACGTCTCATTCAATTTGGAACTACTCTGAGCTTAAGAAAGGCTGTCCCAAATGGTCGTCATGTAAGGCAAAGACTGTCAAGTCTCAGAAAAAAAATTTAGTGAAGTTCTGTATTATTTTCTGTATTTCATGAGGATGGATAAAGAGGAAGATGCTTTGTGTCGATTATAAAAACATGGTGGGCAAAAGGTGGCATATTAAGAGGGTATCTTCACTTTTGATATATAACAGCGAAAACAAATGCGAAGGATTGGGATTGAAACATAAAAAATAAAAAATAAAAAATGAAGAAAAGAAATGCTTAATAAAAAAAAATCAACCTTAAAGCAACCCTTATAGCCCCGAAAAAAAATCTTGCAAAAACCTTTTATTAAAATCACTCTTTTGCACCATAGTATAGAATAAAGTCAAAGCCAAACTTAAATACATGTTTCTTTATAGACCAAGTAGCTCATCTGGATATAAAACGTAAAAATCAAGCGGTACTGTTAAGCACAAAAAATATAGCAAAATTATAGTTAGAGTTTTCACTGTGTTACATATGAGCTGACCACTTATTTATATAAGTTTGTATTTATTCTCATTCGGGTTGATTTGTTAAACAATAGCAAAAATAAAAATCATAAAATTCGAATGCATAACATTGTGTAATTTCTTTTGATCAATTGTAAGGAAAATAAAGGCACAGAAAAAATGATCCAGAATCCCACCAATAGTATTTTCTAAGATGCAAGACTAATATCCTAAAAGATAGTATCCTATTGGCTTATAAAAGTTACTCTTGAGCAACTGATTTGCTTATCCGAAGTTTCGATCGCTCACCATTTCATATAGTGGCTGGTTGTACAGCCGGGCATGAATCCTGGGATTGCACGGACGGGCGGTTTAGTCAGCTAGATTAATTCAAGTTTTTATTGGATAGTGAAAAGCAAAGGAGGAATGCCTGTCGTTGTTTAAATTCTATATTAAGTATAAATACTCCAGTCTGCTATCGAAATGCAAAATAAAAAATCACTTCCTTCTCTATTACATCCCCCCACTCTCTTTCTTTTTTTTTGCTTTCAAAAAAATGTTCTTACGTTCTGCATTAAAGCGTATTGACTCCTCACGCCTGGTAGCAAGATCGGCTATTACAGTCAGTGCTGCATCAGCAATCCATTCTACTCGCGCGAGTATTCTCTCTGCTCCAAGACTTGGGCGTGGATATGCCACGGACAACAAGCCAAGCAGCAACAATAATCTCCTATTATTTCTAGGTAATCTTTAATATTTTCCGGTAAAAAATTGCTATATACTAATAAAGAAAGTCTTTCAGGAATGACTGCTCTTGGTGGTGCTGCTGGATACTACTACCACAACTCTGAGAAATCAATTAAAAAGGACATTCCTCAAAAAGAAAAGGCCATTGATTATGAGAAAATCTACAAAGAGATTGCTGATATGCTGGAAGACGAAGAGTAAGTCGATGCAATACTTTAAGAAAATTGGATGGCATTTAATATCGCATTCCTCAGTTACGATGATGGTTCCTACGGACCAGTGTTGTTCCGCCTCTCCTGGCATTGTTCTGGAACATATGACAAAAAGACTGATACTGGTGGAAGCAATGGTGCAACTATGCGTAAGAAAATGCAACTGTGTTTTAAAATTCCTAGTCAATTTTTACTTATGAGTTTTTTTTGTTGGTGTATATCTTAGGCTTTTTGCCTGAGTCAGGACACGGTGCCAATAAGGGTTTAGACGTTGCTCGTAATCTACTAGATAAGGTGCATGCAAAGCACCCAGAAATTAGCTATGGAGATCTGTGGACTCTTGGAGGTGTCTGTGCTGTTCAGGAAATGGTATGGTGCAAAGCATAACATTCTTGACGTACACATTACTTAATTGTGTTACATTAGGGCGGCCCAACAATTCCCTGGAGACCAGGTCGCGAAGATGCTCTTACTGCCAAGCAATGCACGCCAGACGGTCGTCTCCCAGATGGCATGAAGAAACAAGATCATATCCGTGAGATATTCTACCGCATGGTAATATTATATACTGATAAAGCATTATATTAGATAAAAAAAAAGATGTGTGTATTAATCAAATTATCTTTATTTTAGGGTTTTAATGACCAAGAGATTGTTGCTCTTGTTGGTGGACACACAGTTGGTAGATGCCATCTTGACCGCAGTGGATTTGAGGGTCCATGGAACGAAGCCCCAACTATCTTCGATAATGAGTACTTTACAGCACTTGTGGAGCGAGAGTGGGTTAAGAAACAACTTCCTTCTGGTATCTGGCAATGGGTCGCAAAAGAGAATCCAGATGTTATGATGCTTCCTGCAGAAATCTACATGTATAATGACAAAGAATTCCGGAAATACTTTGAATTGTATGCCAAAGATCAAGACAAGTTCTTTGAAGATTTCGCAAAGGCATACAAGAAACTTATTGAGCTCGGTGTTCACTTTAAGGATGGCGATAAGGAGTATAAGTTCAAGACTGTTAATGTATAAATAATATTTCTTTACATATATATATATATAATATTTGGATACGAGTTACTGTTATATTTAAGTACCAATAATAATAAAAATTAGCCTGTTATAAATATTTCTCTGGAGTTTTTACAATGTACTGCTCTTGTACTAAGCATACATGTACTGGAAAATTATTTTTTATATTCAATTATCTTGCTTATGCTTTACTGCATATATCAAATAAATCAAACCCAAAAGTGACTTTCAGACTTTGGTATATCGTGCATTTTGCAAGCATTCTTTTTTTAAAAAAAAACTGACTTTAACTTTGTGCTTGTTTAAAGCAAATCAGCACTTCGATTTGTCATCATCCTATACATATATAACACTTTATTCCGCCAGAGGATTGATGTATATGAAACAAGCATTTGTGTAGCCTGATAGTTTTGGATTTGAATGATATATATTGCAGCAAAGGACATTTAGAAAAATAGATGATTTCAGTAATCCACATGTGATTTACGTTGAATTATAATAAATAATTATATTTGTATAAAGACTCTTATCAAAATTTATTTTAATATGTATGCTCTTAAGTATACCCAATGCAGTATTGAGTGGTTACAGCTCCAGATCATACAAATGAAGACCTTTCTTGTATATTTTTAATACATATGTGTTATAGAATATGGAGCTATTCAGTATGAAAAATACTTCTACCTATAAATTTTTTAGGAAGCATATCAAAGTCAGATTAATTGCTTCTCGATAATACTTGTGTATTCTGATGTACAAATATTATCGTTTAACAAAGAAAGTCGATCCATACAGCAAGGGTACTCAACTGGATTCTACGTGGAAGCTTTAAATTCAGAGAGTAATACTATTGGACTAAAATTCTCATAGCGACGTAGAAAAATTCTACGTCTTCTTAAGGGGTACTCAGCCAATACTATTGCTTTGTAATTGAGCACACCAATTATTCTTTGACGGTATACAAATTTCAGTCCAATAATGTTTCTGTCTTAAATTAAAAATTACTCGAAGATTCTGGCTGAGTACCCCTCAAGACGTTGAAATTATAAATATAGAAACATACTTTGCTCTGAGATTCTAGCTTTGACATTTTCAACAAAGTTTTTGAGTCATAAAAAAAACGATCGTGGTTTAATTTCTTTCTTTATTCGGAGATAATACACCACACATCTTAGAATAAACTTTTTGCTAGGTTTGCAAACTTCTTTAACTTCCATATATTAGAGAACCCGTTGTCGAGTGAAAATTTAGAATTTTCACTCACTTTTGCTTTACGCGGCGATTAAAATTCCAATGAAAAGATGTAAAATTTTACTGAGGGAGGCCATTTAGTGATGAAATGGAGTGAAAAATTGGGAGTTTTCTAGTTTTTCACTCCATTTCATCACCAAGACTTTATTAAGAATTGAGCTTGTTTCTTTACCTTCAAACATAAACATAATATAGTCAAGAGTCGTCTCTATATATCTACTTAAGAGAATAAGTCTTGGAAAGCCAAGTTTATTAAGATGTATCTCTCTTATGTTTGTCACAGTACTTCACCACCAGAGATTTTTGTTATCATTTTGGGTGAAAATTGGCACCTAAGCAATATGATTGGCTTAGAGGCCAAAATATTGTAATTTGTTTTCGTACTCAATTTTTTTCATCCGAATAAAGGATAAAATTAAGTTCAGTACTACTTGTGGGCTTTTAAAGTAAGAAAAAAAACTGTTAGGGAAGTCAGAAAGTGTTCAAGTGAGACAAAGGATTTATTAAGGAAAGTTGGGGGTTGGTTTGAGTAACCAAAAAATGACTTCACAGAAATTACGCAAAAAAATTGATGTTGAGAAGAAGAAAACAGAAGGTTCAAATAATAATTATAATAATAATAAAGAAGTAGCATCATTTTATTCATCAAAAAGAATATTATTGAAAATGAACCAGTAGGAACCGAACTTGCTCAAATTTACAATGTAAAATGGGTTGCGGAAAATGTGCAAATCTAACTTACAAACGAGATTCATGTTAGCAACATCAGAATGCTCACCTGTCATTACAGCCTTGGCATAGTTATTGTTTCTGTCATTATCCGTACGAGGAACAATGCTAAGAAACTTAACAACAGAGCCTGAGACAAGTCCTATACGAGGGCGAGAGATTGGATCATCTTTAAAAACAAACGCGCCAAAACTGTTGTTTTGGACGGCGTCATCTTCAATATCTCCAGTGTCGTTGTTGTCCTTTAGCTCTCTCGAGCCGCCAAAGAAGGTGTAATAGAACAAAGATTCATTGTTGTCCTTAATGAACCTCTCTATTCCAGTTCCAGACTTCTCTCGGTTGCCAGAGCTATTAATCCACGACCCGCCGTCAATTACATGTTGCAATGCTACCTGCTTTGCAAACTTTAGGCAAACATCCCTGGAAGTGTTTTGGCGATTCGTATGAAACAGATGTTCGCGAATGTGCTTATTGAACTGTTCGCCCTTTTCTGTTTCATAATTGAGGGCTGGGCCAAAACGAATTATATCTTCCTTGAGATGTGTCAAGTAATGAACTTTCGGCTTGGTGCAATATGCCTTGTGGAGCTCGTTCTTGGTTCCTTTATCGTAGTCAAATAATGCTCTGATCAAGCGCTTCACTGCATTATCTACTCTGATAATATAGTTATCAAAGTCTGATGTCACCTGACGAACGAATACCAGAGAACACAATCGGCCAAGTTCAACAAAGCATGGTATTACAAGGTCTAGCTCATGATTTCCAGAGAATTCTGTAATCAGAATTACAGGAAGTATTTGAAGCAGAACCTTGAAATCTCTACCGAGGAATGAACCACTATGTCTCAAGTTTCGGGTGAACTTTCTTGATAGACCAGTTGATCGCGTGTAATCTGTCAAGAATTCTGAAAGTCTTGCTATTGTGGCTGTGTCATTCTTAAGCACGACCTTAACCAAGTCAATTACCATATACTTTGCAACACCAAGAAGTATCGTGTGGAGGATTTCCACTGGTGTATCCTTTTCTGGATCAAACGACTGCAATTCTAATAAGCGGCCAGTCGAACGATCTCTAAAGCTTATCTCGTTTGCAGGCGTGTTCATTCCAATTTTCGGAGCATTTGGGATCTCAGTGTCTCTGCCAGGTGACGAGTTTGCAAGAACATAGTGCTCTCGAGTTCGTCTCTCATGGCACTCACAGAAGTAGGACAAGTCCTTCACAAAGTCTTTTGCACGTCTAAGTTCGATGTAGCATCTTCTGCAAGGAAATGTGGTGGCCGGCCCAAGCAATCCGCAAAGTTCCGAATGACATGGCGTGTCAGCCTCAATCCAAAGGATGGGAGCAACAACCAGAACATACTCATTGTCTTCAGCGGAGAACATTTTTACACCTTTCTCGAGTTTCTTAAAGTCATCAACGATTGCTGGCAGAAGAGACATACCATTTGCACCATCTTTCTTAGGGATTGTAGAAAGAAACTGGATGTTTGCTATCGAATTTCGATCCTTAAAAGGCAAGGCAGCGCATCTCATTAACCAGCTTTCAAACGGATTGTACTGCTTTGAACGATTGCCGGAAGTGTCGTCTGTAAAAAGGATGATTGAAACAATCCTAACTTTGTAAAACACTGCATCGCGATCTACATTACCGGGCAAAACAGAAAGAGGCATAGGCTTCTTCATTGGATGAACTCCAAAAAGAAGAAAGTCATGAGCAGGACTCAATCTGGTAAGGCTACTTGAGATACTGTAGTAGTGATCTCTTTCAACAGGAGTGGTGTCAACGTGAGAGATCTGCTCTACTCTAAGATCGGTAACAGCAACCTCAACGCCATAGCATACAATCGAAATCGCTCTGACCAGATACCCTCTCGCAAAAATGTTTTTATTTGCCGTGTGGAACGATTCAACCAAAAAGCGGATGCTGCAATCGTTTGTCTTCAAGTAAACGATGTTTCCAAACCAGACATCTATACCATTTACAGTGTGCATAGGCTGCTGAAAGAGATGGTGGGTTCTCCACTTTTCACCTTGTTCCAAACAGATCGATTGGTTTGGGGTACGATCGGGCATGGACGAGATCAACTTGGATTTCTTTGGGTTTGCCATAAGAAATCTCAAGTGGTCGGACGGAAGGTTAATGTGGGCGAATGCGTTCCCGTTTGATCCAGGTACTGATATTCTTTGTGAAGGAAAGACAGGCATCTTGGACTTCTTTCTTGCCTGATAATTTAAAAGAGCATCCAAACGAGGTAACTTAAATGTTCTTCCTATGGGAGTTTCTTGCTGGATCTTAATGATCAAGTTCATCGCAAGCAGTATCTTCTTCAACATTCGCTGGGAGATCATGTCATTATCCCCATCGATAAAAGCGAAAAGGATCATGGTTTGAAGATCGCGAAAAGGATAACAGCTTGTAGGGTCATTTACAGCGCCAATTGTCTCAAAGACTTCTTCCGGGATCTCAGAGTCATCATCGGTCATTGATACCTCATCAGCAGCAGCAGCAGAAGAAAACATGTCAGAGAACGCGTTGAAAACTGGATTACTGTTCATTTCAATATCAAAGAAATTATCGACAATATCGTTTTCCTCGTCTACAATGTTGTCTTCTTCATCCCCGATACTGGAGGAGTCATCTTCGTCACTCGAGTAATCAAATGCATTAGCATCCGGAATAGTGTTCTCGACTATCAATTCGGCCTGCTCGGGTTCGTCGAGTACAGTATTGGTTGCCATTTGATTACTTATATGGTGAACCTTCGAATGCCTTTTCAGTAACCAAGGCTTTTCGAACTCTTTTTCGCATTCAGAGCAGGTAAAAACACCTGAATTGATGCTAAAGTTAAGTTCGCCTTGCCTTTTAGGGGGGCGAGTCTTAACGATTTTATATGTTTCTTGTCTTGTATTCTTTTGCATAATAGTAAATTGATTGTAAAAACAAAGGGGGGAAAATGACTTTGCGAAAATAATTGAATTTATAAAATGTGGAAAGATCGATATTTAATGTCAGCGGACCAATTAGAATTTTTTTTACTTCTTTTCTTTTAAGAAAATATCGCGTGTTTTTGTCTTCTTTTTCATTTTACTTTTCCACAAAATATTTATTATTTGCATGAGCTTCCATTTGTAAGATATTCCAGTATACTTATAGTATTTATAGAAGCAGAATTTTGCTTAAAGACCGTAAGCTCAAAGGTATTTATGCTATCAAAGTTTTTTATGTCATTGTGTTTATTAATCATACAATTCTAGTTTATAAATTAGTTTTTCATCATCTCGGTAAATCAATAAAGAGGTAATAACTACATGTTCCTCTTACAAAGCAACAGAAGACTAACTATTTACTCCTCACTTGCAGAGATTTGGCTGCCTTTTATTGCAAATGCCTTAATAGAGTCAAAGGTAAAATTCTGTTAAATATATATAACTAAGTTTAATTACTAATTATTAGTTCTTCTGCTTTAGCTTTTCTCGAAATTCAAATCTTTATGCTCTTTGGGTTTATTGGAATTTCTGGCACCGGGTCTCTTGGATTAGCTAGACATAGTAGTTTGCAGCAAACCGATCACGTAATTTACAGGCATAAGTACAAACAGTTATACTACTAGTGTTTCTAGTGGTACGAATATACTGGTGTGCTACTGCCTGTGGATTTTATGGTCCAGTCTAGCTTTTTTTTAGCCTAATTTTTTTCGAAATAAAAAATAAATTTTTTACAACCCAAAATTATTTGAAACAAATTAAAAATTTGAACCATTTTTGAAATTGTGCAGTACATTTTTTAATCGAAATCTATTGGCCGAGAGTAGTCCCCCCATCCCCCCACTTTTCAGTCCCCCAAAAAAATGAATTTCCTGTTATGGGCAAAATTCGCCCCGTATACAAGAATCCTTTTAAGGAACAAGATTACACAAAAAAATCTGCTGTGGTGTTATGTTTTCATCAACTGTGGTTGAGTTTTTCTTTTTTTTGACTGGGTTTCACTAATAATTCTTTTTTAGCATTTAACTTGTTTCAATATCGTAAAAACCGGGTAAACTCCGTTGTAAATAGGCCAATACATCCCAACTTTGAAAGTCTAAGACTTTTTATTCAGAGTAGTTAGAGCAATTGTAAACTCTTAATTCTATAGATAATGATCATATCTATCGAATTAAGAGTTCAGAATTATATTAACTTAAGTTTTGCAAAAGTTATAAACTTTTAAAAAATACCCAAAAACTTAGATAGTTATCTCCGATCGCACCATATCTTTTCTGCAGGCGTCGTAAGTTATTGGAAAATACCTACTATATATATATATATATACATTGTTGCCTATTCTTTTTTATTGCAACGTATAAATAACTGTAGTTGAGTAGGGGAGGCTTTTCTTGGCATTAGACATTTTTTTTAATAATTTTCAAGTGTGTGTGTGTATTATTGTATTTGACTTTTTTTCCCTTTTTTTATTATTATCAAGACAGTTGGTTAATTAACACGACATTAGTTTTCCCAAGCAAAAGGCTTATTATCCCAGGTGGTTTTATGGGAAGTTGCGGTAGGGGAGAATTCAGGGGTTGCCATTGATGAGTGAGGTGTTTGATGGTGGTAATTTTCGTTATTGTCGTTGTGATTATGGTTATTTTGGTCGTTAGTGTCTTGGACATTTTTAGGGGCGTTCGTAAGATAACTAGGATCATAGTATTCTTCGGGTGAGAAATCATAAGGGTCTTTGGCTGTGGGTGAGAATATTCCAGGTCCAGAAAATCGATCGGCTGCCGTGTTTGAAACTGGATCAAATGGAGCTATATCTACGTTGAGCCCGAAACCACACACGTTAAACTCTGGTGCATTTGTATTGAGTTCCGAGGCATTTACGTTGAATTCTTTGGAAACCTTGTCGGATTCAATATTATCTCCGTTGGTGCTTAATGTTGGATTGGTTGTAGATTTTGGCGCGTCAACATTAAGCTCTGTTGTATTAATCGTAAACTCTGGCGCATCCACACTAAACTCTGTTGCATTAATCGTAAACTCTGGCGCATCCACACTAAACTCTGTTGTATTAATCGTAAACTCTGGCGCATCCACACTAAACTCTGTTGTATTGATAGTAAACTCTGGCGCATCCACACTGAACTCTGTTGTATCTATTTTGAACTCTGGTGCATCTAATTTGAGCTCTGGTGCATTCACCTTCAATTCTGGAGTATCCATATTGAATTTTAGCGTAGTCACTTTGAACTCTGGGGTATCAACCTTAAATTCTGGAGCATCCAACTTGAATTCAGAAGCATCCACTTTGAACTCTGGGGCCTTCAGATTGAACTCTGGGGCATTCAGATTGAACTCTGGAGCATCCACCTTGAACTCTGGGACATCCACCTTGAACTCTGGAGCACCCACCTTGAACTCTGGAGCACCCACCTTGAACTCTGGGGCATCAACTCTGAATTTAGGGAAACCCATATCAAATTTTGGAGCATCGAACTTGAATTGTGTGAAGATGTTGTATTCTTCCTTGACAGGCTTGAATTCAGATACATTGACATTAAAAGCTGAGGCTATAGCATTAAGTTCCGACATGTTTTTGCTGTGCTTTGGTATATCAAAATCAAATAATGGCGTATTTAGTTTAAATTCTGAGGCATTGACATTAAACTTTGTTGTGTTTGCGGACAGTAGGGTCTCGGTAACTAGATCCTGGGTATTTGAGTTGACTAGTGATGATTTTTTAGCGAGGTTGCGAGGATTCCACATAGAGTCATTGGTATTTGTACTGGTATCCAGGCCAGCGTAGTCAGATTCGGATGCATCCACGCTTGATTCGCGTGGATCTGTGTCAGATCTGGACATTTTTGAGAGTGGTGTAAAATTTTCCATGTTGAACTTTGACGAATCAATATTGTAGGTGATTTCTGTTTCGGTGGCCGTCAAGGGAGATCCTGAAGTAAAATAAAACGTGTCGGATTGATCACAAAAAGTTTCGTCTGCATCGGATTGAGATGTACTATTGTTGGCTGGACTGTCAAACTCTGACGACTTGTTGTTTTTATTGGTACCAAATGAGAAAGAAAACTCAGATGCCTTTGGATTAAGCTTTGAATGACTAGAGGCAGAGTCAGATTCTTGGCTGAGAAAGACATTCTTCTTGGTAGAGACTATGGGAGATATGGATTTCACTACTCCAAATCCTACAAAATCCTCGACAATGGGCTCATCTAAAAGCGAGGGCTGAAGAAAAGAAGGCGTATTGTTCGGAGCTGGATCTAATTCAAAGTAGGCATCTTGGGTATCTGGTCGGGTCTCGTACGTAAATGGTGTGCTTGAAGACGTTTCGCCACTCGCTAAGGATGCAAGCAGCTTTTGAGTCACTTTGCTTTGTTCGCCAAGAATTAGATCGGTCAGGGATATATCAACTTTAATGGCATTGTGTTTATCGCATTCTCCATAGTCCAGATCCAATAAGGTAGCAAAGCTGATGGTAATCTTGTCGACTCCTGTCTCTGCCGCACGCCTTTTGGTGGTTACAAGTTGATTGGACGCGCTATTTGTGGGATCAATATCCCCCGTGTCTATCAGAGTATCTCCCGAGAGCGAAGGGGCATTTTTGACATGTAGCTTGTTGGTGCTGGTTTCGGTATTGGTTTCAGGTTTGGGTTTGTTTTCAGTTGATTCTGTGTTTTTGTTAATATTTCCACTGAGTAGGTCGCTTAGAGATAATGTGAGGTTTTGGCTTGAGTTGCCTAGTCTTGGGGTCGATGGTGTGCTGTTCCATGGAGTTGATTGTGAATCTCCTTTGGATTGTGAGAATGAATTAATCCAGCTACTGGGTTCCCAGGTAATATTGATAGGCTCATTCTCTACAGAAATTTTGTAGTCAAAGTTTAGCTGGATATTTGTGTGAGACTTTAATTTGTGGACATACTAGTTTCCTGTGTGTCTGATGGATTCATAATAGGCTTTCTTTATAAGTTACGTTGACAGTTGGATTTTTTGTCTTTCTTTTTTTGGAAATATATATATAAAGAAATAAAGAACTGGAAAGAAAGAACAGCGCAAACAGAATTTGAGTGCTTGCGCTCTGGAAACAGTCACAGCTGATCACAAAGTAAAGCATTGGCCACAAATCTTACTGTTGTATATATCAGCTTTTTTATTGTAAAACTCCTTTTCATTATTATTCTTATTCTTATCAGCATTTATTGCTTTACTTCTTAGGAGATAATATATTTTATAGTTTAATAAAAAATATCTTACTTTATATTGTGGGAGTTTTTTTTTGTATTTATTTCTACGACAGAATACTAATACAACTTTCATTATTAAGCCATTTCTATCACAGAACATGATAGCTAAAATTTGATAAACGCAGTTCAAAGTTAGACTCGTTGGTGTGTTAAAACAGAGAAAAAGGAGAGATTAATGATATGTGTATGTATGTATGTATGTATAGAGCAATAATCAATATCTAATAATTGGTATCTTTGACTGAAGTACAATATAAACTAACGCAGGATACTACTATGCACTCCTCCAGAATTTGATAACACTTTGGTCAGGTTTATTGTACAGCTTACCAAAAAATCAAAATGCCATTGTTTATATTTTGTTTAATATTCATGTACACAGCTGGTATCTCTATAAGACAACCATTGCGAAGGTTAAAGTTGTGTAGATGTACTATAATGTACTATACTTGATAGAAATGCTGGTACTTTGATTTATATAAAATCTGTTTGTGGGCGTCTACTTGTTTTTGTTTTTTTACTACAGCTAATCCATCACACACATTTGTCTTTGTGAAAGTGGGGGGCATTTTTTATCACTCTAAACCACTGCATTTCCAGTAGTCTAGGTGAAGTTTACAGGTTTCGAAAGCATACAGAAACGATGTAATATGTGACAATATTAAAGAGTAAAAAAACAAATGAGATTTCTTTAGTCTGTTTTGCTTTTAACTTCGCCTTTTTGCCAAGAGCGTACTTATCATTCCGAAACACAGAACGACTTTCTTGATATAAATTTTTGTATTAGCCAAAATTAAATGGGTAGAAATGTTATATATATAAAGACTATTTATGCTACCCAGCTACAAATCCTTGTATCCAATAGTAGGCAAAGTGTTTACAAGAAGTAATTTATTTTTTCAGCGTCATTTTCGCCTAAAGTCTCAAATAGTAATTATTTTCTTTACAGTTGGCACAGAATCTTAATCCTTGTGTTGTTTGTTTGCTTGGTTCTTTTCTTCTTTTTCTTTTGAAGGCACGGTTCTCAAAAGTTCAAGTTTTTTTTTTTAGAAAAAATAGGTATCAAAAAGAAGATATCTCTCATTGATACTTCTTGTGAAGAATTCTATGTAATCGTTTGTATAATAAGCCTTGTAATTTCTAAAAAGATAAGGAGAGGATAAAAGAGAAAACAAAAAAGGGAAAAAAGTATAAAGACAATGATTATAATATCAACAAAAAAAATGTACACATATATAAAAGTGTTTGTGTGTTTGTGTGTGTATAAGGGAGAGAGGTGGTGATAAATAAAAGAGAGAATGTGCGTGAATGTATATATATATATATTCACTGTTTAGGGTGTTCTTCCGGTGAGCTTGTTGTAATCACCCATTCCATCTACTGGTCCAATTCCAATCACAGCAGCCTTTTTGTACTGGAGATACTCCTTTGCAACTCTAGAAATATCCTCGGCAGTAACGCGAGAGACGGCTTCTTCGACCTGCTTTGGTGACTGGCGGGATCCAGCAGTTAAAAGCTGACGACCAATGTCTTCTGCGATGGGCGTGCTTCCATCAAGACCCAACAAGAGACCAGCCTTGAGCTGCTGCTTGGCTCTTTCGATCTCATTTACAGTGACTGCGGTAGAAAGACGGACCCACTCATTCTGGACAGCCAAAAGGACATCATCCAACCTGTCTCTGTTCTCCGAAACTAAATAGATACCCCAGAGTCCGGTGTCCTTGTAGGAAGTGTTGAAGGACATGAATGAGTTTGCCAACTGGTGTTTGTGCATGACAGAAGACAGACCAGATTCCAAGTGACCTGTGGCTCCCATTGTACGGTCCCAAGAGCCAATGATAGACTGCATGACAAGCAAAGGGTAGTAGTCGGGTGAAGTCCAGCTTGCACCTTCTACTGCGACAGCGATGTGAGCAAGGTTTGCATTCTGGTCAGAGAACCGAACAGTGGATCCGGTAAATTTGGGCTGTTTTGTTGCACTTTTGCTGGTCTGGGCACTAGCAACTGTAGGAAGCTGGCCAAAGTGAGATTGGGCGAGCTGTACAAGCAAGTCGTGATCAACAGCACCAGCACCCACAAGAATCATGCGCTCTCCGGTGTAGTTTGTCTTGATGTAGTTTGCCAAGTCGGTTTGGGAAAGCGATTCGATGTTTTCTTTGGGCCCAAGGATAGTCAGTCCGAGAGATTCGTTTCTAAATGCAGTGGCGTGCAGGTGATCAAAGACAACCTCTTCCATGATCTTGTCGACCTCTTCCTGTTCTCTCAGGATCACGTCACGCTCACGCTCGATAGCACCTGGCTTCAGGGTCGAATTCTGAAGAATGTCAGAGAGGATTTCGACTGCCTTTGGGACATCGGATTTGAATGCTTTTGCGTAGTATACTGTCTGTTCTCTGGACGTATATGCATTCAAATGACCACCCATGTTTTCGATTTGTAGCTCAAGGTCGCGCTGAGAGCGAGTTTTTGTTCCCTGTAGTATAATACACCACGATTTGATTTAGTTTAGTAAATATAATAAACTAAATAAGAGGTTTGTCTGGAATATTTTCTTCGTCCTCTTTCTCTTGTTGTTGCTGTTGCTGTTGCTGTTATTCCAATAATTACGGTACCTTAAAAGCCATGTGCTCTAGGAAATGCGCAGCTCCATTGTTTTGAGGATTCTCAGCACGCGATCCAGCATCGATCCAGACACCAACTGTAGCAGTCTGAGAAGCAGGGTTCTCTTCAGTGGCAACTGTGAATCCATTTGGGAGTACAGAGGTACGGAATGTAGGTAGCAAGTTCTTTGCTGTAGCCAATCCACGAGAGGTCTATTTGTTGAATATAGTATATTTTGTATTTATAATGAATATTTTATATACTTGATTTGTTTTTATTTTTAAGAAAGTAAAGTAGGTTTCTCTGTTGTTGTTGTTGTTGTAAATCTTACCCATTGTCTTTTATTGACAAGAGATAAAAATGATCTCGAACTCAGTAGCCGCGATGCCATAATGATTATTGTAAGTATAAGAAAAATGAAAAATTAAAATTGGATAAAAAAATGGTGCACGCTTTTTTTTTGGGTTTGACCAAAAATGACTGCCAAGTTGAAGGGGTAAAAAAAAAAGGGAAGGGGAGGGGGGGATGGAGTTTGTATCATTTTACTTTCTTTTTTGAATCGGCGCGGTACAATAATTTACCGAGAATCCTACTTATTTTGGGTAGAAAAATAAAGAAAGATTGGAGAAGACTCCAGCAGTTTCTATACACAAAATCTAAAGATCAAAATTTAAAGATCAGAATGTTAAGATTGTTTAAAGAATCATCTCTAGCAGCATTTTAACAAAGGATTTTTATACCTAAAACAGTCTTAAGAACTTATGATTTCGGCTCATATTCTTTACATATTAAGAACATTTCAAAAATTTTAAAGATTCCACGTTATTTAGTCATATTTGTTTCTTCTTTTAAATGGTGCCTTTGCATTTTCGATGGTAAAGCTCAAGTGCTTGAAAAAGAAAATGATCACAATAGCAATAGCAATAGCAATCTTTGAGCAAAAAGTGTATTTTTCACTTTTTATACGCTAAGCCAAATATAAAAACAGCTTTATTAAAGTATTCCTGCTGCCTTTATCTTTGACTTGACCATCCTTAGCCATTTGGGATCACCACTGTTCTCTCCACTTCAATTCTACCCCGTTTTTATTTTGTTTAGTTCTCATCTCTGCTCTGAGGTAGAGCCTAACTCTAAAGATCCCTCGCCTACGTAACAACGCACTCTATTTTAAGACAAAGAAAAATAATCGAAAAACCGAAAGCCAAAAGCATCATATAACCGACAAACCCTTTTAAAACAAATAATTTAATTTTCTCTTTTTTTCCTACACACCCAGATAATCTCAATAAATCTGAACTTGCCACACAGCTTCCACGAACGAACGAACGAACGAACGAACAAAAAAGTATTATGAGCACTTAACTTTGTCTAATATGTATTTGATTTTTTTTTTTGAATTTTCTAGTCTGTCCAAACCAATTATATTGATTGGCTTACTTGTAATAATGCGATTGAAAGTACCTTTTAATTCTTTCTTTCTTTTTTAATTTATTTTTATAAATATTCGGGTAGTAGAACTGTTTTAAAAGGAGTTGCTAGATAAATCAATTATTTGGATTCCACACTGAAAGTACAAAAAGCTACACAATTTAATAAATATATATCCATTTTGTTTTAATGTAGTTCTAGTAAAAATTTCTATGTTCTGTATAAGGTATTATCTATATTTACACATATATCAATCAATAGCTCTCACTCATAAATAAACAAATCCTTTGTGAGGCTTATCTATCACATGCTGATAAAAGAATATGGGCGCATTTTTTGTTCAGAACCCGATGTTTATTTTATGCGCCGTGACTTTTACTTTTACGCCCAGATGGCTTTGAAGAAAAAAAATTTTCTTTTAAAACGGGGGAGTGAATGGGATTTTTTAATTTTCTTCTTTACTCGCGGTTTGTATCTTCTCCATTTTAATTGATACAGTAAAATCAGATATTATCATTCTATCTTGTACAAAGATGCAAGTCAATAATAAGCTGTGGTCCCGGTAATTATGCTTAATTATCGATGCGGTATAGAGCTTGTCAGTCTATGCCTCGCGTATTTTGTAGGGATCTGAGGGTTTTCTGCCATGCGTGTTCGATGTTAGATTGTAGTCATCTCAAGTCTTCTGCGCATGACGTGGCATTTGTAAGCGGCCTTAATTTCTCAACCTCGGTTGGGAAGAGGTCCTGTTGCATAATCTGATTGTAATGTCGATGGCGGATGCTGCTTTTTTTCTCTTATACAAAACGTGGGAAACTCTGAGGGTTTTCTGACTTAAACGCTTGGTGGGACGTAGTGGCGAACACACCTTACACTTTTGTGTGCTAGCCAGTGGCTCTATCTGCCTAGCGGCTTATTAAGGTGATAATAATCTCCAACCGAGTCTCTCTCGTTTTTGCGAGAGAATCTTGAGCTGACCATACCTCAAGATAAGCAATATTTTTATTTATAGCAGGTATGTAATAAATAAATAAAAACATTCATTCACAATATATTAATCTTAACTTTTTTGAATATTTAAAGTAAAGCCAAGGTACCACCTTGAACCAGCTCAGCAAAGCTCTAGGCTTGAGCGTTCACCGACTTTAATTGTTTTTTTTTAATTTTTTTTTATCAATATATAAAAGACCTTAATAAAATCAAAGTTACATATACTTTATTTAAACAAATGAAGTGAAATAGTATATAATATTATTATACGCGTTTTTGAAATCTATCTATTAAAGTCAACTCTAGTTTTTAATTACTCTGTCAAAAGATTAAAGACTCACAATCTAGTGTTTTGACACCCGCAAAAAATAAAAGCAAGATCATTGTTTTCTCCCCATTTTAATAATCTAATCCAACATGCAAGACACATCATCAGAAAACACACACGTTTCTTTTGAGAAATATGATTCCTACTAATACGAATGCATTGTGTACATGCATTAAGCAGATGTCAAAGTAATTCAGATTTCATCGGCTGTTGACATGAGCCTGTCCAATGTCCAGTACATCATTAAGAGAGTGAATTAAACGAGATTTACAGAGCATGGAAAAGGGGTTCAAAAGACCTAAAAAGATTCATGAGAGGACAGAAATATATTTTTTTTCAAGTAATTTGGAAGGACATACTTGCCTCATATTCTAAACTGAGAGGCTCTTTAAAGAAAAGGAAAATACTTGTCTGTAAAAAAACAGCAACAACAACAACAGCAGCAGCAGCAGCAGCAATTGTCTGTCTCAAATGTTTGGGCTTTGGATCATATATCACATCCCATAAGCCAGCCTTAACAGAAAGCTACAAGAAAATACGTTTTGAATGGGCTCCTGAGCTTGTCAATTGGACCTTTGACCAGTGGAAAGATGTAGTATGATCGGATGAATCAAGGTTCACAGTGGAAGGTAATGATGTAATAGTCAAAGCTATTAAAAGAGCTTGCGCAAGGCCTAACAAAAGGAATATAATTAAGGCAAGTAAGTGGATGGGAAGCGCAATGTGATGAATTGAATTTGTTTCTAGGCCAGTAGCTTTAGATCTTTTATGCCTCTAGATGGCAGCATAAACAAATATCAATAGGTGAAAATGTTGTATCAAAACTTTCCTCCTTTGACTCAAGATATTTTATGGAAATAAATCAAACATTTCATGTTCTAAGTAGAGAATGTCAGCTGTTATACCAGCTCTTATTTGAGGTAGCAGAAAGACAGACATGAGCACTTCTGGTGGGCTTTCAAAAGACATATGAGTGGTGAGAGGGTCATCATCAACAAAAGTGATCATTTGAAATCTGTTATACAATGATAGTAGCAAAGAATAAACGTCAAAATTGTATTAACTTTGGTAAGAAGTAGGTATGGTATACACATTACAATTGAGTGAAGAACAGGCTTAACAACTAAACTCTGGTTCCCTTTTGCTAATCAACCTTACAAGTTAATAATCTCTAGAACTGTTACATACCAGACATATGCCTACTATACACTTGAACTATCCCAAGCGATTACATTTAGCTCCAGTTTTACACAGGATACATGTACTTAATACATATAGCTCAAAAAAATAGCTTTATAAAGTACATTTCCAAGAATATTTTATAAAGCAAATAGTCACTTTACGACCCGCCCCACATAAACGCATGTAAATAAAAAAAACATAGATCAATTACTTTTACACTTTAACTGTTTTTTAATAAAGAAATTTTATCGAAGAAGACTAATAGAATTACCGGTAAAAAAAAAGACACTTTTAGGCAGTGCAATTGCTTAAATACTTTTCTATTATGTATCTGAAATATGGCCTTCTATTTTTTTTGGATTTCATATATTAATTAAATGTAAATGAGACATGTAACTGCTGTAAATGCTTTAAAATTCTCTTATTTTTGCAGTTATCAGGTCACTTCTTTAGATATAAGCTCGAATAGAGTATCCCTTCTATTTATAATGAGCTATTATAGAGTTATTCTTCTTTTATTATATATATAATTAAATATTAGATAGAACTGCAGTAAAATTTGACTTGATAGTGGCATATCTACTTTGCAAGTTAAAACACACCAATATATTATACATATTTTATGACTTTCATCCAAAACAAGTTATTGACTTTAGATGTTCACCTGCTTCACAAGACATAAAGTATGGAATATTTACATATTATTTAATATCAAAATAGTACTACAGCTATACTATATACTATTGTTCTTTTGGTTGTAATATAATTGTATGATAGAAGCGTAAGTTACTTTTTTAAATAAAAACCCCAAAATGCGATAAATGTCTTAATGACCAAACTTTAGTAATATTACATAGGATATGAAGTAATATTTTACACTACCTTTATTTTGTTCTATTATACAAATATTTATCAGAAACTTGAGGTGTGGGAAATCATCAGAAATAAGCAAAAGAAAGCTGTTTGTTTTTTGTGCATACATAAAATAAAATTTACTTGTGTATCTGCTTAAATTTGTATTCGCAAAAGACACATTATAATTAAACATTTATCTTTGAAATTCTATTTCATAAGCTATAAATGTGGTCATAATAATATTGTGTATGCTATATATAAGTATATATATTATAAGCTTTAGCTATCAAATCACAGAAGGTTTTGCTTATAGATACATGACAACTTCTGTTTTCTTTTAAGAAAACAGACATATAAAAATGTTCTGTACTAATATAAAACAAGCAGCTTTTGAATGATGGTGCTATACTATGTATATAATATACATTTTTATTAGGAAGTATATATTTATCTTTTATTTTCCTTTTTTCTTTAAAAGAAATTGAAACAATACAAGAAAAGAATGACCAATAAAATTATGGCAGATCAAATAATCTCGCGAGATTTGAAGTATAAATATGAATATTTTTATTACAAGAATAAATTTCATTTTCTATTGCCTACAGTACGTTAATCTCGAAAATATAAAGCATATAAAAAAAGTCTAGTAAGATAAAGAGGCTTTAAGTGCTTAGTATATATATGTACATATAGAAGAGTCGAGTTGAGAATAGCAGCAGAAAGCACTCTTTAAGTTTGAAGATATTTTTATCAAGGATTTCATCAACTCTCGTTCAAATGATATGATCATCAAATATATCTTTAGGTCTGATCGATCTGCAAACTCATGGCTCGTAAAAATATTCAAATACCTTCTTTTAATAATTATCAGCTCAAACAACTATACCATGGGAAATAAGTTGCTTTTATATGGCGATTTTGAAAAGAATCTTAGGTATATTTCAAAATCGTCATCAAAACCGCTGCTCATTTCCCATAGTTTTACATTATTTTTTTTCTATCGTGAAATTTTATACCCTGTACCGAATACCTCTTGTTATAATGTTTTTTTTCTTAATTAGCTCTATAAGTGATTCACTATTTACTGAAAGAAAAGAAAAGAAAGAAAAAACGTTATATTTATGAAAGTTGTAATACATAAAAACATACATGCCCAAATTTTGACTTGCTTATTTTCCTAGTGTAGATTAATTTTGCTTATCTACATTCTCTCTATAATGTACGTTATATTGCTTTTGAAATTTTCCTCGTTCTTATTAAAGATTGTCCTTATTAAACAATAGATACGTTTAAAAGGTATTATAACATAATAGTGCAAAAAGTAAGAGTATGTGTACCAGCTTGAGGATAGGAAAGTAACATCAGTACTATCTTTTAAATTATTGCTCGTTTCTTTTTTATCAAGCGAATTAAATAGGTTCATATCTGGTATCTCGTACGAATATACAAGCTGTGTATTAAGCTAGCTATAAATTCTCAGAGTCACTCAAATATGAGAATATGTGCGATTGGAGAATACGTATTAGCTAGTAACATTGCCTCATTACTGAATCTACATTTCCCTTTCCTTTATCCACTATACTAGCATACAGCAGATACTAACCAGCAAAAAAAAGAGCTAAGTAACGATTTCATATATTCAATAGTAATAATAGTAATATGAATCAAACAGAGTAAAATAACATAGGATTTTAATTCATACAGCTTCTTAGGGGTACAATTTTTTATAATGCACCGAAGAATTCATGTCTAGTAACAATTCCCCCGATTTGCTTTCTTTTTTTTTCTTTTTTTAAAAAATGCATGTATACAGCTATGGATTATATTCTTTACCAAGAACAAATGATTGAAGTGTAACTAAAATATGTGTTGATCTTAATATACAATAATGAAAAATTCACCTACTCTCTCTATAACATACTAATAATGCATACCTTTAGTGGATTTTATTGAACTAAATTAAGAGCAGCACCTGAATTCCTCCGGTTTTGATGTCTATAAATATAGGGCAGCTTTCAGAGATCCATGCTTCCTTCCTTTCTTTTCTTTATACTAGCCGCGCCTACTGGATGGGACAACGGAAGGTTTCTGGTAATACATTGGTCTGTCTCCGGTTGGTCATCGTTTGTACACAGAAGCCAAGAAGGTCTTCCGATAACCATGAGCTTCTTGAAGGCCAAGTTCGAACATTATAAGATAAGTATATGTGTTTATACGCTATATAAAATACATATTTGAATACTCACACAAAATGACATTGTGAGTAGCCAATCGTAAAAGTTCAAAAGAAGTTCATAAAGCCTTAGCAATATTATTTTGTTAAACTTGTTGAGCCGATTTTGGACTGGTGCGCTTGGCTACTCTTTTTTTTTCTTTACCGTCAAGAGCGTCCGATGGAATAGCCACGGGTCGAAAATGGTCTATCGAGCAAGTCCACAAGCGCGCGTGTAGCGCATGAGCCCGCTGTCGGTGTCCCCTTGTATTACTGGTCTCTTTCTATTGTCTCTGAAGGTGGGCGTGGCTAGGGTTAGTTGTTAGTAGGGTCCTGTTGCTTGTTGGTTCAAATTATCTGTTATTTCTGCCGGAGCCCATATTATTATAAAGGTACTGTTGCTTGTTGCTTTTTTTTCTAGTCTGTTGCTTCCGCCAGTGGGACTTTTCTGCCAGTGGGTTTGTTGCTTCCCACTGGTAGGCCCTTTCCTCCTACCAGTGGACCTATTACCTCTTGCCAGTGGAACTTTCTTTACGGTTGCCAATCACCCAAGTTCCTTTTGTTGCCGGAGAGTTTATCACTTCCACTGGGTGGTCCATTTATCTCACTGGTAGGAGCCCCTTATCCCACTGGCGGGCCTGTTGCTTCCTGTTGCTTATACCGACAATAAAATTACTTTTGGTGGGAGACAAAACGGTTCCGTTTCTGCCGCAAAATTTCCCGCTATTACGCGACTTATGTTCGCCAGATCGAAAGCCCATTTGGCTTCCAACACAGGCCCAAGGTCAAAGTCAAGGTCAAAAATCAAAATCAAGACGCATAGTCAAGGTCAAGGTCAAAAATCAAAATCGAGACGCAGAGTCAAAGTCAAGATCAAAAATCAAAATCAAAATCGAGACGCAGAGTCAAAGTCAAGATCAAAAATCAAAATCAAAATCCACGGTTAAAGTCAAGGTCAAAAATCAAAATCAAGACGCACGTTTAAGGTCAAGGTCAAAAACAAAAAACCAAAGTAAACCCACCGTCATAAAAAAAGAAAAAAAAAAGAAAAAAAAAGAAAAAAAAAAGAAAAAAAAAGAAAAACAAAAAAGACAAAAAAAAATTACACACACATATATACATACATAAACACACATACAAAACGCATGTAAAAAAGCATGTAAAAATCTGAAATATGTATAACAAAAAAAAACAAAAAAAACAAAAAAAAATAAAAAATAAAAAAATAAAAAAATAAAAAAATAAAACAAAAAAATGAAGAATTATCTCTGAATATCAAGTCAAATCTCAAGTCAAATCTCAAGTACAATACCAAAATCACTCAAATGGTCAAGTCAAGTTCCAAGTCAAGTTTCAAGTCAATGCTCAAGTCATTTATCAAGTCATTTCTCAAGTCATTTCTCAAGTCATTTCTCAAGCCAAGGTCCAAGTCAAGGTTCAAGTCCAAGTCCAGGCCCATGTTCTAGCCCATGTTCTAGCACAAGCACATACACAATCACGAAAAAGTCCGTTCTCAATTTTTATCCAAATCAAAAATCCGGGTCATGCCCTCCAAATTTCAATGTCAAGTTCATTTCCAAGAAGGGTTTCAACCCAAGTTCCGAATCAAGAAAAAGGAGATCATCTTACCCAAAGCCAAAGCCAAAACTCTGGTTTCATCTTCAAAGCACAGCTATTGTCACGTTCAAAATAAGGTCTTCTCTATCAAATCCATACAACTGTCTTTTAAAGAATCTGGTTTCCACTCAAATCAAAGGTGCTCTCCAACGAAGTCGCCTCTCAAGCCAAATCATCTCAAATCAAATCCATGGTGTTCTCTAACGGAGTCACCTCTCAAGCCAAATCATCTCAAATCAAATCAAAGGTGTTCTCTAACGGAGTCGCCATTCAAGCCAAATCTAACCAAATCAAAGGTGTTTTCTAACAAAGGTGTCTCTCAAGCCAAATCATTTCAAATCAAATCAAAGGTGCTCTCTAACGGAGTCGCTTCTCAAGTCAAATCAAGTAAAAAATCTGGTTAAACGCGACAGCAAGAATTATACATTGGAATCCGGATCTGGATTTGAACAAAGCAAGAAATCCCTTTACAACCTATACTTCCAAACCAAGTGAAGTCATAAAAAAAAACAAAAAAAAAACACAAAAAAAATTGTATTATAATTATTTTCTTATTCTTTCCTTATATCAACTGGACTAGACTGGACTGGACTGGACTGGACTAGTATAGCTTTGAATATCTTATATTTTATTCATTTTATTTGTATTTACCTTATAATAAATTCTATATACAAATATGCTTGTTTTGAGCAACAAAATATCTCTCATTTGTCTTTTATATTGTATTTAAATTTATATCTTTGTCTTTACCTTCCTTCTTCTTTTTCCTTGATTTTATGAAAATAGATTCACAGTGGAGGGTAAAAATAGACGCATCGAGCTATAAAGAAAAGTTAATGAGAGATATGTAGAATTCAATCTTAGCCTTAAGTACCGGCAAGTAAGAAAAAAGGTCAGTGTGATAATCTGGAGCTGTTTCTGGGCTTGTAGTTTTGAACCATTGGTATTCCAGAAGGCAATATAAAACAAGAGCAATATGCAAGCACTTTGTTTCAGAGATTTCTGCCCTTGACTTAAAACAAACTTTACATAAACAAAACAGACACTTTGTGTTCCAAGAAAACAACCTCAGCTTTCATACAAGCTCTTATTAGAGATCATAGAAATATAGCAATCAGATTGGGACCTTTGACTACTTGCCAGCTCAAATACTGGATCTCAACCCCATTGGACAGCCCTGGTAAGTTCTCAAGAGACGTATGAGTCATAAGAAGGTCAATATCAGCAAATTTTCTAATTTGAAGGCTGTAATGCAAAGAAAAGGGCAAACAATAAATGTCAAACTTGCATCGACTTTGACAGAACGTATAGAATACCGATGCCATATTCGGTAATTAATGTCAATAGTGGCCCAAATATTGATCTTTCATTTATTTTTTTATGTAAATAAACGTGTAAATTAACTTGTATTCAAAGTTTGAAGGCTACCGCTATTTTTATTGACGAGCAGTTGCATGTTGATTATATGTCTTGTATTTTTTTTCATATCTTTCTGGGCTCAGAGGTCGAAACTTGTTTTTTACTGTGGTTATATACCGTGTACTTTTTGCGTACCTTTTTTTTATTTTGTTTATTTTATTTTTTATACGTTTAGCCCTTCGTCTTTCTCCTCCTTAATTTTAGTTTTTACCTACCATTTCAAAGTACACTGACCTCGACATTAGACGGCTACAGCCCTTGAAGGTAAACAAAGGTGTGGTCAGTTTCGTGCTCTAGTATTGGTAGATAATCATAAATATTCAATAGATATATAAATCAAAAATAAGATAATACCTACATTAACAAACACATTACAATGGTAAAGGCGTATTATATGTATTACTCTCTTTAATAGCGATCACAAAAATAACAGAGATCATTCTCTTGAATCATAGTCAATTGCTAAAAATAGTAGAACATATATTCGAGTACTTGTTGAAGATTCCCGATACATTTACTGTCAAAAGTAGGCTATTAGATTTGTTTGACTATCTATTCTATCAAGATTTCACGGTTTAAATATCAACCCCAAGACAATTCAGACGAGTGTTGAAGTGATCTGTGAAAATGATGATATTTCAGTCCTATCACATAGTCAGCAAACTAAGCATGGATCTTATAAAAGAATAACATCACATATCAAAATATGGTGCTTTCTTGAAGCATGAATCGCTCAAAAAGACTATTTTACTTTCTAATATATAAGTACACTACAATCAACCCATGTAGATATATAGACACGAGCACATACAAATACACGCACGCAATGACTATATAATAATTTGTAATTATTGTGTTTGCTGGGGTATGTGTTAAATCACTCTCATTAGATACAGACGTAAAGCTGTAGATACCAAATAGTATATATAGTTTTCCTGTTCAGCCAAATATTATACTACCATATGAGAGGCATTTGATGTATTTATATTACTGTATAATGATGTAAGACAGATTAACGCATTAAAAAGAGCATACGTATATATATATACAAAGTTGGTTGTTTTTACAATCTTTATCTGGTGAAACTTCTTTAATGTGCTTATAATCACCGAAACATGACACTTTTTATGCTAAGATTATATCCTATCTTTTAATGACCTCTCACAGTCAACACCTAAAAAGTCTATAAAAGCTGTCAGAAAGTATGTTGGTTGCATTTTATTTCTCTTTCTGCCAGTTATATATTCATAATGTTCGGTCAAATTTCTTCAATTACCAACTCTACTTCTTCTGCTTCTGCTTTTGCCTCTGCCTCTTCCTCTGCTATAATGCAAAGAGCTTTCCTTCAAGGTAAAATTGAATTGAATTGAATAACTGAAACTTAGTTTTCTAACATACTTGTATTTCATTAGATTTTATTACTAGTTTTGAAGGAGATCATGCCCTTTCAAACGATAACTTCGAGGAAACCGATTCTGGGTATTGTTCCCTTGACGAGCTTGAACTCGAATTTGACAATCGTGATTATCAGGATGATGATATTGAGATCCTTTTGGATCCTTCTCAGCTTAATATAGAGGAACAATTTGTATATGAGATGCTGCAGATTTCAATCATTTGATTTTGTTCCCTCACTTTCTCTCTCTTTATCTATTCATATATCCGTTTATCTTTCAAACGAAAGTTTAATTTATATTCATACTATTGTATATTATTCATTACTCTTTACTTTAATTCAAATCCATACACGCTTCTTAATAAAGTATATCTGACTTTAGTCAGCGCATCTTTTCTTCAAAAGATTTCTACTAAGCATCTGTATTTATTACTCTCAATATAAAGCATTCAATTGTTGGGATCTTATTTATACCCTCTACTTTCTTGTATTTCCTAAGCAGCCTCTCTTAAATATACACCAAATAAGGCTCACCTTTAAAGACAGAGAATAATTAATTCTAGAGAGCAAAAACATATATTCCAAATGCAAAGCCTCAATAAAAATATAGAGCTCCAGTACATAAGATTACTTGGCTATTATTTATAATAGCCTTTGAAATAAAATTTATTGTGGTTTAGGTTGTACCTACTACCGACAAGGAACAATACTAGTATACTGTCTATTCTATTAGTTTCTGTTTATTTTTTGCATTTTGATCTTTTAAGCATATGCGTTATAAAAGCTGGCTTGTGGCTCTACTTTTATTTTGTTTTTCCCGCTGATGGTGAGCAATTGGATCCAAAAACTAATGTTTTTTTTTGGTGTACTAAAAAATTTGATAGAATTAGGTTCCTTCTATCACTCTATATAATAGTTAGCTTACCTATTAGTGACGCTCAATTGGATTAATAAACCCTTGTAATTACCATGCATACGACGAGTGAATTACGGAAGAAAGGGCTGAGACATAGAGCTTATATTGGTTATGCTCAATAACATCATCGTTATTTACTAAAGACCCAAGTCTTTTTATTTGGAAAAAAAAGCTCTTGTATTATACAATCCCATAAACTTTTTATCTTTGTCTTCTAATAACTTCACCCTAAATAAATACATACAAATGCTAGTAGCTTGTACTGTCTCTATTCATAAACCTGGTTTTGGAAGCTGTATTTTCCAACAGAAAAACGCTGGCATTGGTGAGATCAAGCACATTATTCTAGCTGAAAGGATGTTAGCCCAATTGTTCAGTGTGCTCGCACTTGATATTATTAAATATATGATATATTAAATGACCGTTTGCTTATGCAGATATGCCAGTGGACTTGAGATAAATTTATTTACTAAATAGAAAAAAAAAGAATTGGTTGTTTTTACAATCTTTATATGACGAAGAGTCTTTTTGTTGTGATTGTAATCACTGAAAGATGAGACTTTTACGCAAGTATTACATCTTGTCTTTTAGTTACCTCTCACAGTCACCATCCGAAAATTCTATAAAAGCTGTCAAAAAATAGGCGCATGAGATTTTATATCTCTTTCTGCTACCTTTTATTCATCATGTTTGCCCAAACCTCTTCAAAATTCAACTCCACTTCCTCTGTTCCTGCTAAAAGACAAAGATCGTACTCTCAAGGTAAATTTCAATTGAATTGGATATATAAATAAAACCTAGTTTTCTAATATACCTTTATTTTATTAGAGTCGATTAATATCTCTACAGAAAGCTCCAAATCTTCTAATGACTGTTTTATGGATATCGACTCTGGCAATCGTTCTCTTGGCGAGTTTCATATCGCATTGTGTAATCTTGGTGAAGAGACTGATGAAGATGATGATGATATTGATATTCTTCTGGATCCATCTCAACTTGATGTGGAAAGTCAATTTGTCTATGAAATGTGCAATATTTCAACCTTTTAATTTATCTTTATATATCTTTCAAGCAACATTTTAATGTGTATTCATATTATCGCACCCCATCTATTACTTCTCGTTTCAATTCAGATTCACTCATACTTTTTAATAAAATATTTCTAATTTTGAGCATCTTATCTTTTGCTTAAGTATTCTCTGTTAACCAATTGCTTTTATTACTCTTAATACAAAATATCCGACTGTTAGGATTTTACCTATATCCTCTAATGTGTGTGTGTGTGTTTTTTTTTTTGGATATTCCATAAGCAAATGTTTTTACGTATATACTAGAACAAGGCTCACCTTTCAAGAGAGAGAGAACAAATAATTGTAGCGAGCAAAAACATATATTCAATATCCAATCTCTCAATGACAAAATATAATTAAAGTGGATATATATATTCTGTATAATGGCCTTTCAAATGAAATATGCTTTGGCTTATATTATAGCTACCATCAATAAAAACTAATACCAGTATGGTGTCTATTATTTTCTATTATGTATAATTATACCATATTCTGTTCATTCTGTGCTTTGGTCTTTTAAACACATTAGTTTTAAAAATTATCCAGTAACTCTGATTTGATTTGATTTCCCCGCTAAATGTGAACAATTGGGTCCAAAAACTAATTATTATTATATTTTGGTATACTCAAACATTTGATAGAATTGGATTTCTTCTACCACTCTGTATGGGATCTGGTGTACCTGCTAATGACATTCAATTGGATTAACAGACCCTTGTCATTATTTTGCATACAACGAGTGACTTAGAAAAGAAAGGGCTGAGACCAAGAGCTCACATTGGTTACGATTAAGAATACCATAATTATTTACTAAAGCACCCAAAGCTTTTCTAGAGAAAAGCAATAGTGTTGCGCGGATTAATCTCATTTACTTTTGATCTTAGTTCTGCTATAATGAATCTATATGTATACATTTATATCCGGAAATCTCTGCTGCTTCAATTCATAAACCTCGGTTTGAGTATTGCATTTTTTAACAAAGAAATATTGTGATTGATAAGGCCAGGTACATTATTTTAACAAAAAACATGATGTTCCAACTTTGCAGTGCTATGGTACTTAATATAATTCACATATATCATACATTGAATGACTGTTATTTCATGCAGCTATACCAATGATTATGATGTGATTTTATTTTTTGAAGAGAAAAATAAGCGCATCTTTTTTTTAAAAAAAAAATAGGCTGGTTGTTTTTGCAATCTTTATCTGGCGAAGCTTCTTTAATGTGCTCATAATCACCGAAACATGACACTTTTTATGCAAAGATTATATTTTATCTTTTAGTGACCTCTCACAGTCACCACCTAAAAAGTCTATAAAAGCTGTCAAAAAGTAGGCGGATTGCATTTTATTTCTCTTTATCCTAATTGTTATTTATAATGTTTTCCCAAACCTCTTCAAAATCCAACTCTACTTCTTGTGTTCCTAACAAGAGACAAAGATCATTCTCTCAAGGTAAGATATAATTTAATTGAATACAAGAATAAAAACTAGGTTTCTAACATAATCTTATTAGAGTCAATTGACGTTCCTACATCAAGACTCAAAACTTCAAACGACAGCTCAATGGATATCAATTCTGGCGATTGTTCTCTCCAGGACTCTGAGATCTCATTTTGTGATCTTGACGAAAAGGATGAAGAGGAACATGGCATTCAACTTGATCTGGATCCATCTCAGCTTGACGAAGAGAGTCAACTCGTGTATAAAATATGCAACGTTTCAAACTTCAAATTTTGGTTTTCTCGGTCCAGCAACTGAACTTGTACCCATATTACTGGTGCTTCCTTCATTTTTTTTTAATTTATTTATTTACTTTATATTACAATTTTAATTTGCAAATAACCCATAATAAAGCTTTACCACTAAGCTAAGTCCATACATAGCTGGTACTCGCTAAATATTCTCTTGTCAGAAAGAATTATACTTTTTCAAACAGAATATTTCTATCAAAATACTAAAAGAAAGATGGTTTCCAAAAAAAACTAATATGAATAATGATGCCTTTGGAAGAACTAGAACTCTTCATAGCTTTACAGCCAATTTTATTTTGCAGAGTTACTTCCGGAAAATTTGGGATATGTCTTTGCTCTAGTTTGAATATAATTGGTTTCAATTAATAGAATAAGAAAGAAAAGGAAAAAAATGTATACTATTTAAATTTAATTTTTGCTGTTGTTCTGTTTTATAATACATTATTTGCATTAGGCTTATACCCTCTAAAAGTAAAGTTTAAATAAGTGCACAACAAACTTGAAAAGTCGAATACTGTATTATAGTCCCTTTATAAGACGTACAGCTTTTTCTTTATCTATAAAGCATCCCTCTTTTACTACCAAATGTATCTTGGCTATTAAGGATATGTTATCGCATTTTGAAAAAAAAAATGTTGATATATATATATATCACAAATCGAGCCATAGACACTCACACGATAATAAACGCACGGGATTTATTACATATAAATGCTCCTTTGTTATAGATATTCATATATATATATATAAGCTCTTGGGTATCATTTTTATTCAATTGTTAACTTGGGTATAATAACCTTACCGGATAAGCTTTTATTAGAGTGTTTCTTTGCAAAGTTGGATTTTATGCTCCCAAAAGCAATTACTTTACTCATTTTGTTTCATAATAGCACTACTTTTTTCTGATAATACTTGCTATTTTCTTTAGCCAAGTAGCATCAAAAACGAACAGGAAGATTGTATTTGAGTGTGATTAGTCAAGCTTTGTTATAAATATAAATTTATATACTGCATATTTTATTAATCATTTTTTGTCCATCATGTAAAGTCACAGCTGCTAAAGACAATAAAAAGTTTGGCGAGCTTTGAGCACAATTATTTGTTGATGAAGACAAATATTCAATGAAATCAAAAACCAAAGAGTAGGCTAATGTTTAAATTAACAAACACAATACAATACAATGGTATGTGTGTATTATATGTATTACTCTCTTTAATAGCGAATACAAAAATATCAACGATTATGACTATGTATCATTATTAACCATCAAAGACAATAAAATAACAGCTAGCGTACTTGTGGATATTGTTGGATACATTGCCTATGGTAGAACTAGTGGCATACTGAGTCACCTGTTTTTTTCTGTCGGCTACCTATATGGATAGGAAATTGGGTCTATACTGGTCAAAGAAGTTGTAAAGCTAGCTCATACAAAAGGACGATAGCTCAAATTATATTATATATATATATATATATATATATGCTTAAAAAAACCTTGTCAGAACTTGATAGATAGGAAACAAATATTAAAAATCTAGTGTTGTATGTACTGATATCAGAGACAGTAATAAAGATGCACTTGGCACCGATTAAATCGTCCTTTCTCTTCATATACTTACTGACTTCAATATTACTAGGACTCGAAGAGAGAGAAAAGGTACAGGTATAGATTGTAGATTATAAATAATACTGAAACAAGTTCATAGAACCTCACTGAAGAAGATACCCTTAATAATTAGTATTATATTAATATTAATATTAGTTAAAATATATTAAGTTTTCATTTTCAATTTCATTTTCATTTACTCATTCTTAATCACAATGACAAAATCAAATGACTTTGACTTATACTACCTTGTACCATAATGACAATCTAGATGATTCCTTTCATACGGTATTAGTAATGTTTTATTCGTTTGACTACTAAGGTTTATTAATAATAACATCAATAGCAAGCTTTGTTACAAGGTAAGTATTAGATATATAAATGTATATATATGTATTAGTGAGAGAAAATGTCAGTAAAATTCCACCTTTTTTTATCTTTATTTCTGATAAAAAGAAATCCTATATTAAGGGCAACCGAAAAATCGGATTCTAGGATGATTGGCTGAGCTTTCCTATAAATATACAGCCTATAATTTTTCAATTTTATTTATTTATTTATTTTGTTCATACTTCATTCACCATGTCAAAGTACAGCGATCTCGAGATTAAGCAGGCCATAACTGCTGAAGACAAACAAAAGTGTATTGATATTCGAGTTCGAGTATTTGTTGACGAGCAAAAATATACTTTGGAGTCAGAAACCAACGAGTAAGAAAGTGTCCAAGTACTATTCAATATATATATATATATAATACGATGATGGCCACCTATTAAAGTCTGTCTATATAATTATGATGATACTATCATTATTTTCTCTTTCTCTTTCTAGTGAATATGATGCTACTTGTGACCACTATCTTGCAACATGTCTAGCCACTAAAGACGACGGAACAACCGTTCGAGTACCTGTTGGAACTCTCAGATACATTGCCTATGGAGACTTTGTTGCCAAACTGGGTCGGTTAGCTGTCCATTCAGACGCCCGTGGGTTGAAGGTTGGCTTAAGACTAGTCCAGCATTTTGTAGAAGTGGCTCGCGCAAAGGGCGATAGGGCAATTGTATTGCATGGTCAACAGGACAAGCGCGGTTTCTACGAAAAGGCTGGGTTCTCGGTTGATGCTTGTGATGAAGCAGGTTTCTTGGAGGATGGAACACCTCATATTAGAATGTGGTATCGTTTTTAAAAAAGAACCAAATTGATATAATTTCCCTTGTGTTTCTCTCTCTCTCTCAACTTCTATATTGTATCCTCTTTATATCTCTATATATCCTTACCGTAACCAATTCACTTACATACACATGCGCGCAATTAAAGCAGAGTAATCTCAATCCCAATAATAAGAATAGTAAAACTATTTATAAGGCTTCCTCTTTTTATTCTTTATTGTATTTTATGAGGCAAATCTGTACCTAGAAATCCAAGGTTCATAAACACACACACAGAGAGAGGGAGAGAGCACCACCAAAGGTTTTTTATACCAAGTATGGTAGTTAAGTAATCTCTAAGCAATATTATTGGCTTAGATGTTCTTTGGTTATGTAATTTTATGAATTGGATTTTTCTACTCGAAACAAGGGAAGAAAAAAAAAGGTTCAATAATACTCAAACCCCTCTTTTTGAGCAAGGCAAATAGAATGGCTGTTCAAGACAAACCAATCCATAAGAAGATTTAGATACTCCATTGAGCCATAGAAAGTAATAATTCTGTTGAAATTTGGCAAATGCAGCGATCTTTTAGTACAAAATAAGTGTTATGTTTTTTTTTGTGCTGATTCTTACGTATGCTTACATTTAGAATATCGTTTTTTAGGAAGGAAACAAGTCTATGTATGCTTGCTTTTGAGGTATGTATAGCAGTAAAACACTATTGCACTTTTTGATCAATTGTTTAAGCTATATTTGATTAATATTGCTTTTTTTTTCGAAACTTTAGAAAGCACAATTTTTTAAATCTGTGATTTAATTTTGACCAGAATCTATCGCAATTAATGGGCTGTCTATAAAAGGCAAAACTTTTTACTCAGCCATGTAAATCCCTTTTTGAAATATATGCTTACACAAGAACAATAAGAAAGAAAAACCTCTGGTGGTGGTATATATTTTTTGTGTGTGTGTGTATGCTTTTATTGGAGTGGTAGTTTTAAGAAAATCTGGGAACCCCAAAGCTTGGTTATGAAAGTACCAAAAAAAGGATATATCTGTAAAGATGGAAAGGTTTAGTATCCAAATAAAGGCATATCATGAACGTGAATTGTAGCAGCTGCCTACCTTTTATCGCATCATTTACTACACATATCCATATTCTACGCTTTCTATACTTTCTATTCCTTTTATACTTTTATCCTTTTCTTTTAATGCTGAGCAGAAAATAATATAAATTAATATAAAAAGGGAAATATTCTTATTATTAAATTTAAATAAAAATATTTATCTCGTATGTTCTATTATTAGTTCTTTCCTTTTATACAACATTCTCTCTTTCTTTTTTACCTTTCGTTCTTTCTTCCTTTCTTACCATTTTTATTCTATTTTATATTTTAATATAATATTTATATTTAATTTCTTACTACTTTATTTTTTTTTTTTTACTTTTGGCTTATTTTCTACTACCACTTCTTCTTCTAATGACTTCACTTGTCCATTCAATTTACGACAATGCAAGTCAATACAGAAAACTCTCACATGAACTGTCACGCGAATCAGAATCAATAAATGAAATGAGGTCTATTAATAATGAGCGGACTCTTCTCAAACAACGCATTCAAGCAAAACAAGCAGATCTCCGAACACTAGAAGCACAATCGTAAATAACTTAAAATACCTATATCTATATGTAATTCTAATGAATAAGTAAATGAATGAATAGAAAAAAAGAATTTGATGAAGTCCGTAAAGCAAGACATTTGAGTCTTCGTTCTGCTGCAGCGGCACTAAAGGGCAAAAAGAAGGAATTGATTGCAAAGGAAGAAGCCAGATATCAACAGGCCTTTGAGAATGAGCAGAGGTGCAAGACAGAATATGAAGAATTGTGTGGTGCACTCTCACGCTTAGACATGCAGGTAAATAACACTTTAAGAATATAGTATATACAAGAATTAAACTGGTGATTATGAAAATTCTCTAATGGTTTCTTAAATAATATATGTAATATAAAAGTCTGAAGGAGTACAGAGACAGTTGGACCAATTTAATAGAGACAGAGAGCTGCTGAACAGAATGTATGACCAGGTGTTCTCAAATAACGATCCTGCGTATCCGTTAGAGACCCAGCTAAAAACCGAAATACACAACTATACCGAACAACGTCGATTGGTATGTAATCAGTACATTTGAAATGTATATTTAAAATGTAAATACAATGACATGGGCTTGGTCTTGGTTATTTTATTAGTATTATTACTTTGGAGAAAGCACAAAAGAACCAAAAGACTCATCTTTAAAGTATCTAGGCCCAAAGAGATAGTGGAAGATTCAGAGATGCAGATCATAATCTAGGACAGGCACTTCGAGAGACAGTGCGGGTTTCTGCCTTGTTAGACGCCTGTTTGACTTATGTTCCATTTGATATCTTTGGCGGAACGACAGTAGATGTACAGCAGGTCATCTATGTAGAAGGTAAAAAAAAAGAAGCACACAGATTGGGTTGTACATATTGATTATTGTCAACAACTGATACAATATATATTTAACTATCACAAAGCTGCAAGAAAACATGTATATGAGGCACAACGAAGAATCAACATTGCATGCACGGTTCTTCCAGAGATTCCCAATCCTGCTTTGCTTAATGTTGTGAGCAGCAATAGATTCTTGACAATGCAATTCAATTCAACATTTATTGACACTACTTGGCAAGGTACGGGAATTTGATAATTGGTTGGTTGGTTAGTTACTGGGTAGGGAGTGTGGATGAGGGGACTATATCTCCAACAAGATACAATATAATTCAAGGCAGGAAGAGAACAATGGCTTAAAATGTTATTTATTCTTTACGTTAAATATCTACACGTCTATACATAATAGCTGCTACCCATGAGATGCTTTATCGGATTGTTCTTGTTCAACGTAATATCGAAAACTCAATGACATGGACGAGACAATACATGCAGTATGCAGAAGGTGCTGTTGCAAAACTAGACCAGGCAATTGAAAATACCAAGAAATCATTAGAAAAAGAACGAAAAAGGATTTTTGAGCGTGTTTTGGCAGGTGCACCACCACCACCTCAAATAACCGATACTGCAGGTGGATCATCGTCAGCATCAACGTCTGCTAACGCTTCAAATTATGATGATTCATTATTTTCACCTTCGTACGATGCGCCTCCGCCCGTCTATGAGGCACCTCCTGCTAGCCAAATAGCACAAAACAGTAGTAACGGAAATGTGATGCCTCCCCTACCTACCAACAACTCGTCATTTCCTTCGGTCAATACACCGCCTATGGACAACATTAACATTGAACCTCCAATTCAACTATCACCTTCTCAGGCTCCCACCCATCCACCCAGACCAATCACTCCAGTAACATCAAATCCAGATCCAATCTCAAGTTACCCACCGCCCCAATATGTATCACAAAACGGAAACAATCCTTTCCAGCAGGGAAGAAGAGAAACAACACAATAATTAGAGCTTATTTTTACTTGCCCACAATAACTTGGGATACCAGACGTCTTTTGTTTTATTTTTAATTAATTAATTAATTAGCAGTTCACAGTTCATAGTTCATAGTTAATAATGAATCATGAATAATATTAATACTGATACTGATAATAACACTAATAAAAAGAACGTCTGAACTGCTTTTACCCCATGTTTATAGCATATGTTATAAACACTCACTGGTGATAACAGAGTACAAGTTCAATTCACTCACACATACTTACTACTACTGCTATTACTATTGCTGTTGATTTCCTTTGGTGTTTGATTTTTTTAAAGAAATTGTTTTATTATATAGAATATTGTTTGTACAAGCAAAAAGAGAAAAAGTAAAAAAAAAAAATTGTAATTTTTGGTATAAAATTAACAATCATTTTTTTCTTAAAAAAATCTTTCTTCAAATTTACAGTTATTGACCACATATTGAATAATGCATTGTATACAAAAAAAAAGATCAAATAAAGCAAAGAAAATATAAAAGGATCAAAATTGATATTCATTCTCTTTATAACATATTCTTGTTTTTATCTTCTTTTTTTTTCGATTGGCTTAAAGGACATTGGAGGAATAAAGTCTTGTTATTTACTTGGAGACTAGATTAGGAAAGACAAGGAAGTTAGATATCAATCTATGTAAATGAATAAGAGTATAACTTACCACCAATGACACCGCAGGCCCATCGGTCACCAGCGTTACCAGTGGCCTTGGAGAGCTCGTGGCCACCCTTGCCAAGATCGTCCTCAGCAGCGTGGACAACAATGGTGCGACTAATAGCATAAGACAAATCAAAAGATTAATTATACAGTGCAATGTAATGCAAACCAAAGAAAGAAAAAGAAGACTTGCTTACCCAATGATGGAGTGGGGACCGATAAGCTTGATGTGCTTGTCGGTGATCTTGAAGGTGGCCAAACCGTCCTTGCCGGCGTGGATGTTACCGAGATCACCAACGTGACGCTCCTCATCTTCGGGGGCACCGTGGGTCTTGCCATAGGGGTTGAAGTGAGCACCAGCGGAAGTGCATCCTAATCATACACAGCGAAAGAGAAAGATAAAATGAAATGAGTTAAAATAAAATAAAATAAAATAAAATAAAATAAAAAAGTACATCGGTCAACAGTTACTCCGAATCCGTTTCTTTCCTTCCCCACCACCTCCTTCTTTTATATATATATTTTATTTTATTCTAAATTTCCCCTGCGTACCAAAGAGATTTGATTGCATCACGCGTCAACTATCTCCCACCCTATTTTCCCTCCCCCCCTCCCTTAGTGTTCAACCTCTTTGAACATAATGAAAGACATTCTACTTCTTTATAATATATTTATATTTATATTTATATTTATATTTATATTTATATATATATATAATAGATATACTTGATCAAAAGACCCAATATATATATATATATATATAAAAGGTGGTGTCAAACGTACCGTTGGTGTTGTCACCAAACTCGTGGACGTGGAAACCGTGCTTGCCCTCGGTCAAACCAGAGACAGAGGCCTCAACGGTGGTGGGACCATTCTCGGACTCCTGGGTGAAAGTAACGGTGCCCTTGACGGGGGAATCACCACGAATGACAGCAACAGCCTTGACCATATTGATTGATTTGTTTTTAAGTAATAAAAAAAAGAAGGGGTTAAGAGGTCAACAAGGAGGGGAATAGATGGTCAATTATATATGCATTTTTTTTATTCTGTGACATCATTGGTAGCAACCAAAGTTTGTCAGCACGAATCAGTTCCGTCAATTTTATTATATATATATATATTCATTATTAATTAATTTAAATTCATAATCGTCATTTTGCCTGTGCATTTTATTTTATTTTATTTTTTTGACTTTCTCCCCACCTTCTTTACCCTTTTTTTTTGTTCCCCTATTCATCCACAGTCAATGACAAATAGACACTTTTGTGACTTTGGTTTATTGATATTCACAGCCAATAATATTAATGAGAGCTGTATTTTTATATGACCGACTCATCAAAGATTGATTTGATGAATGGCGAAGAAAAAAAAGAAAATCGAGTTCAAGGCCTTTATTATTATTATTACTACTATTTCTTTTAGTACAAGTAGATCAAGATCATCAAACAGCAATATTTAACCAGACTAACAAGCCATCTTATATTTACTTTTTGATAAACCATTTAGTATACACGACAGATCAATATATATATATATATATATATATAAAATAAAATCAGATTTGTGTACTACAGTAAAACTCGCGTCATTTCCGACGATATTTTCGCCAAAATACTCTTTACACACCCTTCATCTTTATACATATACATTATCTTAAAGCAAAAATGGGCATTTTTACTGTTATATTAATATTAGATCTTTCTTGTTTCTATTTGTGTGGGAGATGATATATTTGAATATATATATTTTTGAAAGCAACTCTTTAAATTAATAAACTAAAGCAATTGTATACCGGGGACCATTCATGCAATAAAAAGGCTATTTTTTTTTGGCTTTTGGTTTTGTGACTCGAGTGTAACAGTTGACAGATCAAATCCATTAATCAATAAGATACAATATAATAGCAAACCAAGATTTTCTAGGACTATTGCTCTTTACATATCTAATTTGAGATAGAAGTATAAGTAATAAAGAGATATGTTTTCAATGTACCTTGAGCTTTAAGATTGACTCTAATTTATCTTTCTGTCTATATCACGCAAAAACTCATATCTATAAATAGAGGCTGTCATTAATTAGAGTTTTATTTGATTATAAGCATACCATATATCAGAGAGAAAGGTAAATATATATATATATTTATTTATATATGTGAATAACAAAATGCATAATTCTCACAATAATTCTGTGACGCTGTCACAAGAATACTTAAAAAAAATAGTTAAAAATATTATTTAAGATTATTAGTAATTTTCCCCCAAAAAAAACAGATCAATACACCAGAGTTTTTTTTTAATTATAGGAGAGTAAGAAGAATACGATCATAGTCTTGGGAAAAATTGATGTATTTCGTTGAATATCTTTTTAAATTTGGAAGCAAGAACATTTGCCTTGTTTCATGCAAGTAGTCTTTATATATATATATATCTAAAATAAAAATAAAACAAGCATAATCTTGTTACAAATTCTGTATATATGAAGCACATTATTCTGGAATGCTCCTTTTGTGCTAGGAAAATTCTCATTTATAGACTTATCTATTTGTGTCAAACAAAGTTCGAGAATCTCGCACTGCAGGAATATTGTATATGATTTATGACTAAAATCAGGAAGTGGCGCTTTGACAGATCAGAGATAGGATCAATTTATTAAACTTATGTGCGTCGACAATCTGACCTTTCTTCTCACACACACACACACACATATATATATATATATATATACTTCTTTTCTAATGACCTTGGTTCTGACTTTCTTTTTCTTATTTTCATCGTTGCTAGGTTACTAGAAGATTTTGCACATCAGAACAGTTAGTTATTATTATTTTTCTTTACTAATTTACTGCTCAAGTTATCTTGTCCAGGCACCATTTAACACAAAACGTTCTGTATACGTAGTACGGCATTTCTTTAATTAGCCCGTAATTCAGTTTCTCATAACAATAATAATAAAAGCAGCTTTAACTCTTCTTGTTTATATATATATATATATTATTTTGGATTTTGTATGCTGAATTCTTTACTTTATTTTGTAGCGCCAAGATTTTCTCCAGATGTCATCTATTTTTAGATACTACAATTGCCTCTCTTTCTCTCTTTATATTTTTTGCGGGATTTTAAAATAGCGATCAGATTTCTTCGTACACGACATTGATTTCTATAATTTTCTTTTTACATGTACAAGTAAAATGCTATTTTCAATGTGTGGATTTTGAGCACATTTTTCCCTGGTATAATTCTAGCTGTTAATGCGCTATACCCGAGATTGAATTTCAATTGAGAAAAGTTATTGAGAGAAACGGATGGCTTAGACCCGGTTTTCTACCAAAACTATCCTTGAGTTCACAACAGCTAAAATAAGAGAATGTCACCACAGTCTGTCATTATAACCATTTATATATTTTGTTTATTTATCATTTGTGGCAATCATAAACCAAATTCTGTACAAGTGTAACTAACTATTTCTGCACTTTTGTTTTTTTCACTGTTGTATAAACCAAGAATTCTATACATCTACTTACATACATACATATAAATCAACATCCTTTATTAAAGAAAGAATAGGCTGCTTTCTTGTATTTAAATAGAATGTTAATGAAGAGAAAATATAAAAAAGAACAGATAAATATTTAGCATATCTAATAAAGCAATTGAACTATATATATATATGTTTGTGTGTGTGTGTGTGTGTATAAATTTTTGTATTTTGGTTGTAATATTGGTTACGGAGAATATTAAAGAAGTAACAAGTAAGGATCATTAAAAGAATACACCTTTTCTTGATTGATTCTGTTATTTTTTATTGTCATATTTTGTGATTTCCTATTAGCCTCAAGCTGCATTCTGAATCCCGATATCTAACTTTGAGCGTATGGAATTTTGGGGGTTTTTTTTTCTTGACTATATTAGTGTAAATGGTTGCCAAGGGCATCAGCAAAAACATATATAGAGATAGAGAAAATGAGATGGGTTATTATAATTGTTTTATAGTACATGTATACATATTCTTGGCAATTATATTATAGAATCCACGGCACACATACATACATTAATACATCAAAAGTATATAATATATTTATATAAAGACCTTTTGTGTTTCCAAAGAAGTTTAAAAATAGTATGCTCGCTTATCATTTAATTGGCTTGTGTATAAATGCTATAATTCAAAATACAGAGTACAAGCCAAATCAAATCAAGAAAAAGAACGGGTAGAATCAGTCAATAACTAAAGTAAGAAATAACCTATACAAAAGAGAACTTGGTTCCCCTCTTTTCTTCTTCTTCTTCTTCTTCTTTTCTCTCTTTTTATATTCTTTTTAATATCTCCATTCATAAATCAATTCAATGTTTGGTCGCGATAATCCAAATAATCAAGATAATCCAAATAGGTCTCAGGCATCCCCTGCGCTTGCTGCACAAGCCGTAAACCCTAATAATTCACCTCACGTCCAATTTGCAGCAAACTCACCAACAGTCATGCCATCACAATACCCCAGCCCCAGCCCATCTGTCAATCATCACGGATTCCAGACACCTTTTTCTGCCAGCGAGAGCTCGAGTCCAAGTCAAAACAGGATCGGATCACCGGTTCCTGAATCTCGACCAAGCGAAAAGACTCCACAGGATAGTCAGACAGCACTACTCCTGGACAATGGCAATGGAATCGACGGTGGCAATGAGCTTCACAAACGCAGTGTAGGACAACCAGACTCGATTGCAATGAACAACATGCCTCGCGCGGATGGATTTTCTCGCTTAGACTCAAATCAGTCACCACAGCCACATCAATATCAGCAACACCAACACCAACAACAATATCCATACCAATATTCTCAATATCAATATCCACCACCACCACCTCAAGGAAATGGCCCTTACATACACCCTCAGCAACTGGCCCGACCTTTACCCCACGGTTACAATCGCAGCGTGTGGCTGAGACTATTGATCGGTCCAGTCAGAAAACCTTGGTTCAGTTGGCTCTCGGCTCTGGCAATGTTGGGAGCTTTGATTTATGAATTTGTACGAAACTATCAATTGACTTCGAGTGTAATCGAAACAAGCCCTTTTAACCCAATGATTGGACCTAGCTCAACAGTAAGACTTTTATTATTATTTGATCTGTTCAAAAGAAAGTTAAAAAAATAATAATATATATATAGAGAGAGAGATCTTGTACACACATACTTATTGATACACCTTTTGAATTGACTTGATTTATGAATTGATCATTTTTTTTAACTTATTATTTTACTATCGTAATCTAGGTGTTAATCAATGTGGGCGCTAGATTTACACCTTGTATGAGAGCCCTTCCAGCTTATACGGCTAGTACTGTGTTTGGTGGTTGCTATCAATCGACAGACGCCACATGTACTTTAGAGGAGCTTTGTGGCTTTGGTGGATTTGAGAGTGGCATTCCTGATCAGTCTTTCCGCTTTGTATTACCAATCTTTCTCCATGCGGGTATCGTCCATTTTTTGATGAATATGCTCACTCATCTTCGCCTGGGTATCGATATCGAACGTGAGATTGGTCTTCCTCGATATGTTCTTCTCTACATGGGTTCTGGTATCTGGGGATTTGTATTGAGTGCTATGCTCAGTCAAGGCAAATCAGGTAAAGAAAAAGAAAGAGAAATAGGTTTCAAGTTTACTAAATAAACATATATATTTGTATGTGTACTCTTTCTTTCTTTCTTTCTTTCTTTTTTTTTTATATAAAAAAAATTGTAGCTTCCATGGGATGCTCGGGTGCCCTGTTTGGATTGATCGGGTACACACTTGTGGACATCATCATCAACTGGAAGACAAACCCAGACATCTGCCGTGAACTTTCGACCCTTTTTGTCTCGATTATCGTGTCCCTTGTTTTGGGCCTATTACCCGGCTTGGACAACTTTGCCCACATTGGTGGATTTGCGGTCGGTATTATGATGGGTATTCTGCTGGTGTCTATCAGAAGAAAAGCATCGACAACCACAAAGGGTGTACGATGGGTACTTCGTGGCATTGCAGCTGCACTACTGGTAGTGATGTTTGTAGTAACCATTCGTCAGTTCTATGCCTCTGCAGACCCAAGTCAGGTAAAGAAATATATATATATATATATATATTCTAGTTAAGGTTTCTTTAAGCTAACCCGAGTTAAATTATGTATAATTTTATTTTATTTTATTTTATTTTATTTTGTACATTAGATCTGTCCAAACTGCAAATACCTTTCATGTCTTCCTGTCAGAGACTGGTGCGATTCATCTTGATTATTATTTTTTAAAGCACCAAACCGAACCGCACAGCACAACATAGCACAACACAACAAAGCAAAGAAGTGTACGTTATTTCTTTGTACACAGAAAACTTTGTAAAAACACATACATAATCAACTTGTATATTAAGAAGCACTCTAAACACATATTAAGTTTGTAACTCTAAGAATTCAACTTCTCTACAAGATCTATAATAATCATAATCATAATCATAATATATACATATCTGGCTGGCACCTTATTTAATTAAATTTACCAACATCAAAAGACTTTATATTTTGCCTCTTAAACTTTGGCTAGTAAAAATTAAAAAGAAGACGTTATATATATATATATGATAAAATGATTCGCCCAAACTTATTAAAGATTTCTTTTTAAATAATATAATATACATCTGTCTGAATTTTTCTTTATTACTTGAAACCCCCCCTTTCCCCTCGTTTGAATTGATCTATTTACTTCTTTCTTTTTTTTTTGAGCCAAACAATGTGAATATTGATTCAATTTTCGCTGTGTCTTTATTATTATTGGCTTATACCTACATCCGGGCAGACTTAGTTTCTATGTGTATATATGAAGGCCTATACTAGAGTGAAGCTGATGTATACACACCTGTAACATGAACAATTTTAGATTAGTGGTTGTCATAAAATATAGCGATTATCGTTATCAACTATAGTAAAGATAAATTTAAATGCTCAAAGTTATAATGCCTATATAGATAAATGAGGCCTCAGGTCAAAACTTTTACATCATTCTCTAATTATAAGAGGCACATTCTTATCACTGGTCTCTCTATATAGACATAACTATTTGAATAGAAGAGTATTAAATTAATACCTTACCTAAGGACGAAAAGTTCAGGGCCTTTATCTGCCTCTGCATACTGGCTTGACACATTGGATCTATAGACAAAAAATATGTTGAGTGATGGAATGAATGAATGAATACGATAAAGAAATTCTTGCTCTAGTTTGCGCACAACACAAACCGAGTTGGGAGCAGCAGCCTGGGAAAGAAGGTAGAGTAAGATAGAATCAAAGCAAAAGAAAAAAGAAAGGTAAAGATGTATTTATATATATAGAGAGAGAGACTATATAATTAATTAATTAATTAATTAATTGAAAAGAAAGTGTAAAAACAGGCGATAATAACGATGATGATGATAGTTCCTGTGTCACTATAAATCTTATTTTTAGTACATATTTTAGAATAAACTCTTTCCTTGTTTTATATAAATAATTTCAAGAAAAGTTTAATAGGAAAACTATCAAAAGCACATTATTAAAGACATTGGTATATACATCTTATCTAGCTGGCACACATACGAAACTAGGACCGAATATTACTTCCAATAAAAACGCAAATAATCTACCAATCCTTGTTAGCTGGTTTTTCTTTATGCGGTATAAATACATGGTTACTTATTACTACTGCGACTATTGTTATTATTGATTGATATTGAGTTCTCTATTGTCTTTAGATTTGTCATTTGATGAGCACAACCTTATACAGTATTTTACGCTTCAAGGTGAACAGACCATTATTCAATATTTATTTGACTATATTAAATATCCTTTTTTTTTTTAAAAAAAAAAAAAAAAGAAGCAAAAAGAAATCTGTTGTCAAGGACACGGTAACATACTTTTGATGAGTTTAAATAGGTGATGCAATCTTGATGATGAATACTTTTTGGCTCAAGAAAGCTGTAGAAATATTGAGACTATCATGTATGCCTCTTCTTTTATTTTATTCTATTTATTTTTTGTGGTATTTATAATTAAAGTGCAGGGTCATGCTAGATTTCTCGATCTAAAGATTTAAAAATATGAGCTCATCTGCTGCAGCGAAACAGTTGGGTATTCTACATTCAAACTGCTCAAATATGGGCTAAGCAATACAGCATGTGCCTGGATAGTCTTTTTTTTTGTGTCAATGCTTTTAAGCATGTTTGTCGTGAATGCTTCTTGAGAAAAGATCATAAAGCTACCATTATCAACTTTATTGATTATGATCCTTCTACTACTACTACTGTTGTTGAAGTGCCCGAACACTTGTCAACGCAACCCAGTCATCTTAAATTTTCGCGTAACACGAGTTATAATTTCATGAAAAGCAAATCCAATAATTCGTTAAAGAAGGCTGACTTCCATTCTATCGAAAGAAAACAGTCCAGTAAAGATTGAGGAGCGATACGATTGGGTTCTTAAATAATAATAAAATTACAGACATGAACTTCCTGACAAAGTGTATGTTTCTTGGCGAATTTTGATATTAACATTAAACGCTCCAGAGTTTGGTACAGAAAAATAAAATAGGTACGCCTAACATTGTTACCAGGCCTATTATGAGAGAAAACATGACATCTACCTTGGGCACTATTTCTGTGGCAGTTTTGAGTGGAAATCACTTGTCGTTGTTGTTGTTTTTTTCGAGACAGACAGCAATTACACTAGTTTTGACTGTTTTAATGGTGCTTTACGGCAGTCAAACTTGTAAATGATGTTGGTACGCATAGGTTCTACTCGATCAATGTCATTTTGCTTGATTGCCTTGTTATTTCTACAGAAGAGGTAGCAATAACATTGAGTTTGGCCATCGATTTATTGGTTTTTATATATTTTTAACCACCTGATAAATTTACAGGCATTGTCTCTGATTAAAAGGTCTGAATTAGTCAGGTAAATGGGTGAAACGAACACTTTTTTTTATAAAGGTCATTGTCATGTAGGTTATACACAATTCTCTCCGACAGCTCAATGAGCTTTTGTTGGTTTTCTTTTGGTAAAGACTTTTTGTAATAACCAATCGTTATCCGATCCGTTGATCGTCGTATTGCTTTACGGAAAGACTTGCGATCAATTTTTTTTTAAAGAAAAGTTTGATTTTCTATTCCCCACCAAAAAATAAGATAAAATAAAATCAATCGTTTATCCAATTATCCAAGCTAACCAACTTACCCACAAACTCTGACTTCACCACTCATACTTTTCTGGCTTTGATAACTTTATGTTCTTGGCGCATAGAATCGCATTGCCCAAAGGTCCCATGATTATTAATTCATTTGATTATTTGGTTAGAGATGTCTACCTCGGGTAACGGTGCCATTAAAAGTGCACAATACTCTAGGCCTCACAAATCATAGCATTTATTCTTTAAAAGATTAATGTCCAAAGTATATATACTGATGTTGTCAATATTAGCAAGGTGCTTTAAAGTCTGCTGTTGTCAACAATAAAATATCTAAATTAATAATAATAATAAATCACCTATGGTAGTCTTGGGCGATAAGTTTTCTTATTACCACTAACAGACTTGTAGCTCGTGTTGCCTGTTGTTCCTTTCTTTTGGTAATAGATACAATATATGAAAGAAGGAAAGAAGAAGATATCACACGGATTGGAAGACTACTAGATTCTGTCATAGGAATTGATAAATACTTATAATCTTCCAATAGTTTCAGCTTTATTTATTTTTATTATTATTTTCATTGTTCTTGTTATATATTCACTGCCCAACGATGTTTTGGAAATATATAGTTGGCTATTTTGAAACGAACATTATGTATAGTATTCATCCTCTTATAAAAACTAATTTTGCAAGATAGACAGTCTTAATACGTCTTCTCTAACGAGCTCATAATTATTTTGACATTAGTTAGCATACATATATATGTTGCGCTTTAAGATCCAAAAAATAAAAAAAAATAAAAAATTAATAACTTATGAGACAAGTGCCTGTGACTGCTATCGTCTGGTAGGCTTCTTAATTCTACTCAAAAGTTTAATGCGTAAAGAAGTTGAATTGAAACTTTCAAGGGGATAATATGAATAAAGAGAGATATAGACAGAAGGAGGGAACCATTAGGGAGAATGAGTTAAAGGTATATATATATATAAAAGACGTGGATTTTAAGGGGTGAAGTGAAGATAGAGAAGGGATAAAGAAGGGAGAAGAGAAGAGAAAGGAAGGGGGGTTTCATCATTTCTCTCAACACTTTTTTTTGTGTTTAATAGTAACTGAGATTTAATAATTGACCAATAATATCCAATAAGAAAAACCTTGAAAAAAAAAAGAAGAACGGAAACCCCTCTCTTACACATTTATATAAATTTATATATACTTTCGTTATACTTGGCACTGTAAATGGAAAGTAGCAGAGACATCAGGCAAGAGTAATAGCTGTAATTATCACTATCACTATCATTCATATTAAAATCTAAAGAAATAAACTCTTACTTTTATAATATGCTTGTATCTATATATTTGAAATCAATGTCAGCCAACGTTCACTCACCTATAAATATTTATATATATATCTTTCTCAAGGTTAAAGAAAAAAGATTATTGTGAAACCCCCCTTAATGTTATAAATACATATATAATCTGTTTATATTATATGTGTGTGAGGGTGTGAGTAAGTGTTTATAGTTTATAACCAATTATATAAAAAAAAGAAAAAAGAAAGAGAAAAGACAGCTTTTGAAACCCCCCTTTACAATGCCTTTATATATAAATGTATAGATATATCTATATATCTAATATATGGTTATATATGTATAAATACGGGAGATAAGCTAAGCTACCTATGTGTATTGTACCCAATAAGAAAAGAAAATAGAAATAAAACCATCATGAAAAATACAGATTAAATACACACTCTGGCATTAAGTTAATTACAATCTAATCTAATTTAAATTTATAGATTTATTATTTATTCGTATATATAAATAAAATCAAATCAAATCAAATCAAATGAATATTGCAAATTTGTTTCAAAATGTTTATTTATTTATATATGTATTATATATTTCCATTATAAATTTAAATACCAGAAAGAGAGAGAGAAAGAAAGAAAGAAAATAAAAAATTAAAAAAATAAAAAAATAAAAAATTAATATTTCTTTCAGTTTTTTTTTTTTAATTTTTATTTTCTTTTTTTTCTTTTTCTTTTTCTTTTTTTTTTTTTTTTTTTAAATTTCTACATTTTTTTTTTATTCTCACTACATATATATATATATATATACACGCACAAAAAATGAGCACTCAAACTAGTATGTATATATATATTTCTCTTAGCTATATGTTACTCTGTCAAGAAGTCTATGCCTACAACACTTCTTTACCTATCTATATATCGTTTTTCTTTATTTTCATGATTTTCTTTGGCTGTATAGAATAAGAAAATAAAGATATAATAAATCAGCGCCTTATTTATATGTTTGTTATCATAATATAGGAGTATATTCGGATAACATCAAACGCAGATCAATTAAGCACTGGAATAAAGACAGCGTAAATGGCGGTCCAACTTCTATAGAAATCCTGGTCACCTGGCTTTGTAAAGAGGGAAACTATGGAAGATGGAGAGGAGGTGAAGCTCAGGGAATATCCAAAGAATCCCTGTGCTCAGAAATTAAAGCCAAGATGACTGAGAATGGAATCACCCACCGTCTTAACAGTGATATCAGAGCAAAAATACAACACCTGCAGGAAAAGTACCGTGATGTTCTCCAGTTCCTCAACACCACAGGCCAGGGTCTTATTGAAGGCATGAAGGCTAACGGTGTCTCAGAAGAAGATATCAATGCAATAATGAAAGGTTTGTTGAATAGCTATATACACTTTACTTTGTTTGCTTGTTTGTTTGTTTGTTTGTTTGTATGTATTTTATACTACATGTGGAAACACGCACACACTTTTATATATATGTATTTAAATATGTATGTGTGTATGTGGGCATATAAACAATCATTTGAAAATATTAATATTAATAATAATTCTTCCCCTCTTACTCACTTACTCACTCACTCAAAACAGGCAAAGTAAACTCCAAGTTTTCGTACTTTCATCGCCTTGAACCAGTCATGAGCGATCAAACACCAATTTCATCGGACGATTCCACCTCTTCCCAAGGCGAAAGAAACGTCGAAAACTCTATATCTCGTGGAGGAACTGCAGAGACCGAAAACAGCGAGGATGAAGAAGAAGATGAAGATGAAGACGAGGAAGATAGACAACTGAGAAATGAAGCCAGGATTGGAACTGGAACTGGAACTGGAGCTGGAACTGGAAGAGAGGCAGACGCAGAAGTAGAAACAGAAGCATACGATGATGAAGAAGACGACGATGAAGACGACGACGACGATGAAGAGGAAGAAGTCAATGGAAACAACGGAGGAACACAGTTAAAGGTGCCTCCAAAGAGACAGCAATCACAGCCACCACAAGCACAACCGCAACAAGCACAGCAGCCACAGCAAGATCGTTCTGCTGTACCTCCTATTAGAAATGATCGACCCAGCAAGAGAGTCCGCAGAAATGTTGATACCAGCATTTCCGAGATCCTGAAAAAGTCCGCGGAAATGGATAAAACAAGAAACATTCAATTCGAAAGACATTTTGCTGCAGAAGAGGCATTTAGACGCGAACAGTTGAGGATCCAGGAAAGGCAGCTAGCCTTGGAGGAAAAAAGGGCGATTAGTGAGCAAGCTCAGGCTCAAGTAAACTATGCCGAGATGCTGAAGGACTTGGGGTTGTCCAACGAAAACATCTTGAAAAAAATTAAGGAAATGTTCAAATAAATAAATAAACAAACATATAAAATACATACATATATTTGTGAGTAGAGTGAATGGCTGTAGATTATGAGAAAAAAGAAGTGTTATAATATACTATAGCTATCATAATAAAGGGTTGCAAATTACACCACTTTGGCATGTATTGATAATAATGATTTGAATATCCCTTTGAGTACCAATATATCAAATTTGAGCACACATATTTGTGGGTCTATAATTGGACAGCTCATTTTTTTGTTTTTTTCTTTGTTTTGAAGGAAACAACTGAATCCCCCAAAACATATCAATATATATATATATATAAAGTGATAATTATCATTATCATTATTACTCTTATTAATATCATGATTTATATGCTCACCATAATAAACATTGCAGATTCTAAAGAAATAGACTACTCAATGTGACTTACAGACGCACAATCACCATGCATTCTCACACTCTAAAGCAATTGACAACATTTGAATGATTCCATCAATCTGCTATCTAGTTTAGATTTATTTTGGAAGTTGGGAATGCTCATAATCTCTATGAATCGAATCAATAATAACAATAATAATCGATAGCAGCAAAAGCAACAGTAACAGAGACAGTAATAGTAATAGTAGTAATGAGTCTTTCTTGGTCTCTCTTCTTTTTTTTTGGGTTGTGAATATTGGAGTCTATCGTTGCCCAGTTTATTTAAGAGCCGTTTCGTTTCTTACTGGAGGAGGGAAGGTTTCATGGATTGGATGGAGGGACTTAGGAATTAAGATCTTCTAGTTTCACTGCTGTCACTGTTGTCACTGCTGTATCTGCTGTATGTGCTATATCTGTTGTGTTTGGTGTATTTGCTGTCTCTATTATCTGTGTTGTTTGTGTAGTCTGTATTGTCTCCATCTCGTTTTCTTTATCTTTATTTGATACTGTGTTATGTAGCTTTGGTGCTCTCTTTTTGCAGGGCTTGCGTCTCTTTGTTCTGGTGGTCAGATATCTTTGTTCTTCCACGGCAGCATACATGGCAACCTCAGGCATGTCACGGATTATATTTGACGGCACACAAGATTTGCCAAGGAGTAGACGTTCAATCATTCTTTCAAGAATTCGATCCTTGAGAGATCTCAGTACAGCCTGTCTATCACTTGTCTTTGGCATGATTTTCTACCCTTTCCTTCTTAAATAAAATAAAGTAAAGTAAAGTAAAGTAAAGTAAAGTAAAATACGTGTGCAATTTAGGGAGAGAGAAAGGGAAAGAGAAATCAAACAAATGCAAAAAAAAAGTATAAATAATATCTGCTGTACAAAGATTTCTGTTTTTGCCCTTTTTTTTGGGTTTATAAAATATTACTTTCCGAATCAATTTCAACCAATAATATACATTTATTCGCCTATTTTATTTTATTTATTTATTTATTTACCTGTTCAAAGCATTAACAATAACAACCAACAAAGCGTATATAAATTTATAATCATAGCAAAATTAAAATCTTGAAAACAGACAAACAAATAAATAAATAAAGAGGTGTTGAAACCCCCCATTTTCTCTGAGTGTCCTTAATAAACTGATAGGAAGTTTGGATTGCGATTGTAATTTATCAATTTTTTTTAAGGAGCTTAGATAAAAGTTGTCAAGACAATTTGAAAAAATATATATATTACAAAAAAAAAAAAACCAAATTATATGTCTCTGTGTTGACCAAGATTTAGTTTTTACCCACGGTTTAGCTCTGGCCAGACAATATATTTCGTGGTTGTTGTTGTTGTACTGCTTGTTGCATCTGATACCACCAGACCAACCAAATCCTTGACATTCGCCAGGTGGACTACCTTCGGCTTCATTTGTCAATTTTTTGCCACCGGCACACCATTGTATTCTTCAACAGAATAAACCTGCACTAAGGCAAGTGGCCATCTTTTTCCAGAATTCTCATGCTCAAAAAAGAGAACAACCTTACCAAAAAAATCCTTTATGATAGGAGTATACCTCCGACGTACATTACGAAACAGGTCAACCTGGACCTGAAGACGAACGTGATGGGCCTTTCTTAACGGGGTTTGGGCGAACGAAGAGTCAATCACACAGCCATTAATAAAAGCTTTGCGGCTTGTTGTCATGACTGGTTCAATCCTGCTACATCCAACCCCCTTTGATTCACAGAAAGCTTGAATCAGAATCGGAAGGCAAGAAATGCCTTTGAAACTTTCATCAATCAATCTACGTCTCAAAGGCCCCCAGTACTCAATGTCTGATTCGGCACCATCACGCTCGCCCTCCTCCGTCATCGGCCAACCAGCAGACACATCATCATACTCCAACGCAGTAGCTCTGTTGGCTTCTTCCCCAGAATCTTTCAAGTCTACACGGCGTGTCCGAGCTAAACGAACCATAATGTTGCCAGCATTAACACCAATAGCAGAGTTACTCTTTATTGAACAAGAGTACTCGCCAATGGCACGCTCTAGTGATCTGGCACTATATGCTCTTGGGGGGCCGTACGCGTCTACCATTTCTGGATAGTGCTTCAGCAAGTGCTGGTTAATTGTAAACACTGGCAACTCAACCAAATCTTTTACATAGAGATTTTCAAGGTATGTGTTCCATGAAACAAGTTTTCTAAGAGGAAAAAATAGAATAAGTCTCAGAGAAAGATAAACATTGACTAGCGTTAACAATACCTTTTTAAAGAGGTGTGCTCCTCTGTTGATAACTCCCAGTTCATGAGTAGGTTACATGCCTGAACCAAGTCAAAGTAACGCGCTGCAGGCAGTTGTATCTCCAATACGCTCTGCCACCAGCGTAGGAACGACGAACAGAAGAAAGTCTGCCCAGTCGACGGCCTTGAACGACCCCGGGTTTTTGTATACATCCCTCCAATCGCCATGGAATGATGTAGGGATGGTATTTCTTGTTTTGTACATTGCTGTACCGATCTCCTTCCGAACACCAGAAGAAAGAGCAAAACAATGGTCTGTTCCGTAGGTACCAGAAACCAAACCCCAGACCTGCTTGCTTATTCCATGGCAAAGCCCATACATCTCATCAAGGGCAAAAAAAAGAACGGGCCAGAAAACGATTTCATCGAGGCTAATGGTGACTGACTATTGGATTTTTTTCTTTTTATTGCTTCCATCGCTTGCCAAGTTGTAGTTCCTGAAACTCTCTAGTGAACGCATCGGTGTTTTTCTTTAGGCAACATACGGAAGTACTGACTATGCCCCAGGAAATCGGAAAGCTCATCAATGGACAAGATGGCAAATGTCATTTTTGCCCGAGAGAATGTGACTGCTCATCCAAGATATCCGACTTATTACATTTGGAGTATTTTTTCTTTGTGGTGGCGGTGGCGGTGGCAGAGGAAGGAAGGAAGGAATGTACTGTCAAAATTGTGGCCAATTCTTTCATTATATTTGCAGAGGGTGTTGGTGATCCTCCTTATGTCACTATAGCCGGGAGTGGGGGGGGACAAGGTAACTTGAAGAGCATCCATAAGGTGGCTTATATATAAAGCGTTGTACTTTTTACTATTAATATTATCAATATAGTATAAATGATAGTTAGTATGATAGATTCGCAAATGTAAAGTTTTATTTCAGTTATGTATTTACTGCTTACCATGAGGTTTGTGATTGTTAGCTAATGTCATTGATCTTGTACAATAAGACATCAGATCTTGTTTTACTGGTCATCAAGTCTTTTTTTTTTCTTGCTTTGTTGTTGTTGTTGTTTTTATATTTTGAAAATTGTAAGAGAAAGAGAAAATTTTCGGACGATTTTTAATTTTAAAAAAAATCTGCTTAGCGATATGTGTTTTTATATATATAATATATCTACAGCTTGACATGACATCATATTTTGGTCTGGATTATATTGCTCATTGAGCTTTTATAAACTGCGAATAGAAATAGAGAAGAAGAAGAAGATAGATAGATATATCAAAGTAATCCAATCATATTCATTTAAAATCATATATATTATTATTTCCATGCATGAAAATACTTTTACACAGGATTCATGTCTTTAGTACGTTATTATTACTGATCATCAATGCCATCAGTATCTACATTATTTCATATATCCTAATTCAGGTACAAATAGACATGATCTCCATAGCAACAGAAACCCGAGTGACCCTTTTTTTTATTTATTTTTAAACTCTTGGTAACCGAGTTTTAATTAACTTCAAATAAAAGCTCAATTTATCCTCAACAGATGTATAAATATAAATATTTCATTTGAAATAAAAAAAGTAAAAAGAATGGAAGAAGTGCGTTCAATGATCTTCTTGAATAAAAAGGTCTCATAGATTAAAGGTGTATATATATATATGTATATATTACACATTATTTCTTTTTATTCCTGGGGCTTTTTTTGGGTTGCCTAGTAACCAATAGCCACCAAAACCATCTACCATAATATTGTTGCCGTTTTTTTTTTTCAATTACTCAACATGTAGCAATTATACCTTGTTTTTTTTTGCTGTTGTTTGTTTTGTAAGATATCGCATACCATAAAATTTAGGAAATGTATTAAGAGAAAGAAAAATAAAAATAAAATATAGGAAATAATAATAAATAAGTAAAGCACAATTTCGCCAGGTATCTTCTCAATCTCATCAATACAACAAGACGTTTTGATACACTAGAAAGTGTAAATAGAAAGGGAAATAAATAAATAAATAGAAAATAAAAGGAAATTGTAAAAAGTGATATGATATATATGTGAATTGTGTGAGGGTTGGTGTGGGAAGTAAGGTTTGGTTGGGTTTAAAGTTAAAGGCGAGGATATTCAAAAAGAAAGAAAGGAAATGAAAGAAAAATGGTATAAAAATGAGTTCATATATATATAAACGTCAAGGTATCTCTCCTAAAATATAGGCTTTCTTCAAATCATCTTTCGCATTTTTCTTTCTGTTTCTGTTTCTTCTTTTTCTTCTTCTCTTAGATAAATAAATAAATAAAAAAGAATAATGGTAGAGGATGTTTGTTTAATAGCCACTGATGACTTCTTGAAGGGCATTGATAATGGTGGTAGCACCTTTTCTGTTGTCAGCAAAGATCTGGAAAGAACCTTCATTTCGAGTGAACAGCACAAATGCATTGGGCACATATGTATCGTGCTCTTCATCGGTTGCACACAAGCGTGTCACTGACTGAAGATCAATGGTGGTAATGGGGGATTTTTGCTACATAAACAAATTTTGGGTTATTATAGTAATTGTTTTATAAGCCTTGAATTGAATTGAAAAAAAAAGAAAAGAAAAGAAAAGAAAAGAATTAAACTTACCAGTTCATCACTGTACAGCAAAAGGTTGCTTCCTCTGATAATAAAGTAACGGCGTCTCCAGAACTATACAAAAAATATATATACGAATATGAATAAATACAAACCGGTTCCCATAGAGCCAAAATAGCCACCGTATTTTTTTTATTTTTTATTTTTTATTTTATGTCATCTACCCCCCTTTTACTCCTTTTCATCTTTTTTAAAGAATTTACAGACGAGCTGGTTGTACAAGTCTAAATATAAAATACATAAATTGAAACTTACTGGGCTATTGCTGGGTTGAACAGAAGCAAAACCAGAAAGTACAATCTATAGAGAGAAAAAAGAGGGGAGAGGTCAATCAGTTTATTTTATACATTTATATATTCAGCTTTTTTTTTGTAAAAAAAAAAGGATCATTTCGGACAGACTTGATCCGACTAAACCAGATACACATTTAAAAGAAACAAAAAGAAAAAGTCTACTAATCCAATAATCTTTACTACCCCCCTCACTACCCTCCTCCTTTTTTCTTATATATATATTTCATCTTCCTCTTCTAGCTCTACCTCTTCTTCTTTAATGAAGACGACAATGTTAATAGTAAAGAATGAAAAAAAAATCACACACTCACATCCTTGTTTCTCTCTGTCTCGGCCTTCTTGCGTTGAGAAGCCTGCTTCTTCAAAAGCTCGATATTTTCACGCTCAGCAATCTTACGCCTTTCTTCTTCTTCTTTGGCAGCCACAAGACGAGCCTTTTGTTCTCTTTCTGCCTGCAACTTAGCCTCAGCCTTGGCTTTGGTAGCAGCAATAGCGGCTGCTGCAGCCGCAGCTTCAGCTTGAGCTAGAATCTCCTGTTCCTCGAGTCTCTTTTTTTCTTCCGCTGCAGCACGCTCCTGCTTAGCCCTTTGCTGCTGTTGAAATTTCTGCTGTTCTGCCAATTGCTGTTGCTGCTGTTCCTCGGCCAGTTTTTGTTGCTGCTGCTGTTGTTCAGCCAGTCTCTGCTGCTGCTGAATTTGCTGCTGTTCGGCTAATCTCTGCTGCTGTTGTTGCTGCTGCTGTTCAGCCAATATCTGTTGTTGCTGCTGTTCAGCTAATCTTTGTTGCTGCTGGAGCTGTTGCTGTTCGGCCAATCTCTGTTGCTGCTGCTGTTCAGCAAATTTCTGCTGCTCCTGAAGTTGTTGCTGCTGTTCGGCCAATCTCTGCTGCTGCTGGAGTTGCTGCTGCTCGGCTAATCTCTGCTGTTGCTGGATATCTAGGTTTCCTTGGGGTGTTTGAGGACGCTGAGGGATCTGAGATGGCTGCGGTGTCTGAGATTGCTGGGAGGAAGGAGTCTGAGGTCTCTGAGAAGAGGGAGTCTGAGGTCTCTGAGAAGAGGGAGTCTGAGGTCGTTGTGGGATCTGAGAAGGAGTCTGGGGTCTGTCGCGGGTATCGAGTGATGATGATCCGGGCTGAGGGGACGAGTTCGAGGCTACGGATTCAGAGGGAGTGACAGGAAGTTCTTCGCTGGCCTCAACAAATGTCTCGGGTTCTTCGGTAGTGACATTGAGGTCGTGGCTGTAGCCGTCGGCCGGAACAGGAGTAGAAGGAGATGGGCTGGGTAATTGAGTCGATCGGCGGCGGGTGGATCCCGAAGCACGCTTACGCTCGGACATAGATGTCGGGCGAGTTCTGTTGGGCACATGGTTCTCACCCAACTTTAGCCGCGTGCGGATACTGGAATCGCTCAGGTCATTCAGAGATGAAGCAGTAATCTGCGCATGGTGCATCTTGAAAAGAGCGGCAACTGATCGACTGTGCACTAGAGCTCGAGCTGATGACCATGAACCATTATAATTAGAAATTTATTTAATTACAAGCATAAGCGATAAATAAGGTGGGTTAGATAAATGCATAGATAGATAAACATTTAGATCAAATAGGTAAGTTTTGATTGACTGTATTGCTTACCTCTTCTCACACCACTAGTGAAATACAACCAAGCACATATATGATAACAATAATAATAATGTGAGATTGACCCAATGAGTAACTTAATTCATATATATATATATATAAAAGAGGTATGGCTATAGAAATTCTTTGACTTACCTCACTTGGTCAGGCACATAGGTGATGAGGATGAACCGGTCATCGACACGCACAAAGCCGTATTGGATTTCATTGACTAAATGATTGCGAAATTCACTAGCAGAAAGAAAAAAAATTGTGTTTTAGGATCCTTTTCTGCTTCTGCTTCTTCTTCGTCTTCTTCTGATTATTATTATTTTTAAATTATATTATATTATACTATATTATTATTTAAAGTATTTTATAATATTTATTTATTTTTGCACACATAAGAAGTAATATAATTTTAACAACTGATTGATGAAAAAAATAAAATACAAGAGTAAAATATGTATAATTATGGATTTATAATGTAGAATAGGTTCTCTAGAGACTCTAGAATTTTTCTTTTCTTTACCTGGTACCGTCTGTACCTTTGGAATACAGAGAAATAACGTCTCTGGTATCATGATATCCGAGAATAAGCCTAGCCATTCATACACACGCATTATTATCATTATTAGTATATATAAAAATAAGTTTTTTTTTGCTCTTCCTCTTCATATTATTCAGGACGATTCCCCTCAAAAGTACAATGTGCACAATGATGACAACATGTAAACACAAAACAGAAAAACTCACCAGTTGGTTGGCTCATCTTCAATAATATCATTGTATGCTTCTGTGATTCTCGGATCGGATAAATCGCACATGATGTAAAAAGAGTGAGAATGAAAGAGGAAATTAAGAAAGGAGCGGGTTGGTTAATAGAAAGAGAAAGAAAATAAAATAAAATTAAGTTGCTTAAAGACGTGCAAAAAACAAAACAAAAAACAAAAAATAAAGAAAGAGAGAGAAAGAGAAAGGGAAGATGAAGAATATATACAGTGAATACAGCCAAATAACGGGATTTTAAATTGATGACGGGAAATAAAATACCAATGAACAGCTTTTTTTTCTCATTCTGCGGGTTTTCTATTTTCAAAGGCCGACTTATTTACTCCAAAAAGCGCGTATTTTTTTTGTGTAATATCAAAGGGCGCTTTTATTATCGAATATATTGACGTATTTCTAGAAAACATATTGGGAGTGCCAGTACTTTTCGATTTTGTTCCTAGATCCTGAGAAATATACGTGTGAGCAAGAATGAAGTATTTCACTCAACAGTTTCCAAAAATCAATGTTTCAAATCAGAAACAAAGTAACCTTGATCATAGTAGGTAGTTGAAGATAAAATTACGAAAGGTTTAATTGAGAGACACACTCTTTTTTTTTTAAAAATAAATAAATAGGTAATCATCGTGGTTTGCAATGGGATGTTTGTCTCCAAAATCATTTGTTTCAATATTCTTATCTTCATCAACCAAAAAGATCTATCCATATCGATCTACAACAAAGTCGAGGTTAAATTGGCACATTTTGAGTTAAAAAAAAAGATGAGCATCATTATACATACCACTTGAATATAAGCACCAAAAATTTCACGAGCATCTGTGATGTCATGAATGCAATTCAACAACCCATTAACAATATACTTTGTATTCACAAGCAATTTTACTGCACCAGTATATATGTCAATACCAGCAAGAGTTACAACAATTCGAATATCAATTTTCAATCTACACAATTTTCTGTTGTTTTCATATTGCATTTGCCTTATAAATTGGGTATATGGGTTGGTGAATTCAACACTATTGGTACTGAAAAAAATAACCAAAGTAACAATTGAGATAAATTAAAAAGCATTACCTTTTGACTTTGATAATATTGTCATGAATAGGTACCATCTTCTGCAAAAAAGGAGCCCAAATGATTGACAAAAGAAAAATTCGAATTCAGCCTTTTTAGTTTTTCTCTTCAGCTTTTATCATTTTATTGAGATACCCTTTTGATTTTGAGGTGCTGGTTTTTTTCACAAAACGAAACAGAGAAACGAAATTGATTATTACAAATAAACCCTATAACACCAAACAAAAAGGCAACGCATACTACAGAAATTTATGGCCCAGACGTTTTTGAGCATTGGTGACAATTGACATCGATGTCTCTTGTAAATGTGAATAAAACACGAGAAACGTTAAGGACATACTGGCAGGATGCAGACAGGACGTTCTGATAAGACCAAATGGAATCATTAGGCCTGACGTTACTCATAATTACTTTTTTTTTCTTTTTTACGTAAGACACACTTTTTTTGGGGGTCAGACTTTGATATCTGTTAAATGTTTCAAAATAATGATAATTCTAGAGGGGAGCGACGCTTTCTGGTGGGAGACGACATTTCAGATCTACCAGATCACAAACTAGGACTTTTTTGCCGGTCTGAGATAATTATATCTGGTCCCCAAGGATCTATACTTATTATAATAGCTATAGGACAGGATACAGAATATGCGTATTAAGATTTTTCTTTTGTACTTTGCAAAAAAATAAAAATAAAATAATAGATGGAAACTACTTGCCAGTTGGTGCTTACAAACTCTGATAATATTTATGTGAAAAAAAAGACAAAGACATGATATACGTAAAAAGGGCCAATAAAGAGTAAAAATACCCATCAAGGTTGTGTCACAATCTAATGATAGCAGCTCCTTATGATCTTGTTCATAGCTGGCTATTTATATAGTGTATTCTTTTATGGCCAAGTCTAAATGTAGGGCGCAAATGGTTATTAATTGAATACCTGATTTCCACTTTAAAAGTTTTGGTTTTCGTTTTCATAAAAGAAAGAGCAAAACGAAAATTTTTAAAGTAGAAATCCGGTAATACAAAAAAAAACGCGCTTTTGAGAGTAAATAAAGCGCCGGTTTAAAAGAGAAAAAAGCTGCCTGTTGGTATTTTACTTCCCGCTCTCAATTTCAAGACCCTCAATTTGGCACTGTTTTTACTGTTATATATTATATAGAAAAGAAAAATAAGAAAAAAGACCGCTTATAATAGAGTACACCTTTATTTTTATTTATTTTATTCTTGTCCCACATTTATTTTGCAAGACCTCGAGTTCTTTATTGCCTTTCCTATGCCTTGTAATCTATTGAAATTTACAAAAGCATTTATATATTGCTATTTAAGATTTTCTTGAGATTTGCTTGTAATTTATCTTGTATCTTTTTTAAACAATTGGATTTAATTAAGTTTCCTTTTTTCTTTTATTATTATTATAAAAAGAAAACATATAAATTCATACATATTTGTTTGTTTGTTCGATTGATTAAGTACTTAATTGCTTAATTGCTTATTTGGCTGAACAATCGGGACAGAAGTAATGATTAGAAGGGATGATGAGAAAGGGGGTAAGAGAGAAGATAAAAAGAAAGGGGGAAATGGTCGAGAAGAGGTTGAATTGACTAATTATCTCATGATCACAATCCCTGCCTTATATATAAATATTACCGTTTCTTATATATATATATAACTATTTTATAGGATCTTGTTCTAGGGGAGGGCGTACTGTATACTGTAGGTTGCGTTGTGAGCGAATAGAAAAATTCATGGTATCACACAAAATAGACTTTGTGCTCACATATAATAGAAATTATATATAAAAAGTGCTTCGTTTATATATAGATATTTTAATAATAAAAATATTATTTGCAAATTGGTTCAAATAATAATAACAGTAAAAAAAACCTTGCCATGTTTATTACCATTGTTCCTATTGAAATATATTTATATTTATATATAAGAAAAAGAGCCAGAAATACGTGGTAATAATTAAAATTTTCCCAATTATTGGGAACCGTCTTTTTACTTTATATACAAATATATTGAATTCTGCAAAACACGTATTTGTATATATATTTATACTTTATGGATAAAAAAGGAAACAAGTGTTGTTAAATGCTCTGAAAGTGCTGCAATCTTTGGCTCGGTCTTCTTTCATTGGCCAACTTGATTATTTTTCCTCCCTTCTCATTCCCTTTCAAAAATAAAATAAAATAAAATCACATCCAAACAAGGAAAAGTCCTTTTTTGGTTGTCAAGAGGTGGCTTTTTATTACTTTATATTTATATATATATATATATTTTCTTTAACATTTTACTTTGTAATTTGGTTTGATTTACTCTTAAATCTACAAAAATGGAATCAACAACCATTGGCAGTGAACCTGTTCTTGACAAACGAGAAGCCGAGACACTTGAAAAAGAAGTTCAGCCCATAAAAAAACAAAAAGTCGAACCAGATTCAGCGCGACCACTTCCACGCAGCAGTCGACGTAAACCAGACGATTTCCGTTCAATCGATGACTTGAATTCAGCAGAATATTATATTGAAGATGGTAAAACGAAAATAGAAACACCATTTGTAATACATGCATGCATGCATATACGTTCCTGCTACGAAACAAAAAAATAAAAAAAAAGACAGATACTTATGCTTATTATTTCTAAAAGGTCTTCGTAAAGTCAAGCCTTATTTCTTTAAATACCAAGCTTATGCAAAAGGTCGTTGGTTAGGCCGTAGCCTCTTGAGTGTTTTTACAGAAGAGTTCAGGGATCGCAGCGAACAATATTATGTAAGCGTGCATATAAAATAAAATAAAGACAAGTTTCATTAATCAATTCATTAATTTGCAATACATCATTGTTATTGTACATCTTGTAGAAATATGCAATTGAAAAGGGTTTAATTACCATTAACGATAAACCTGTCAAGATTGACACAATTGTCAGAAACCAAGACATCATTGGCCACCAGATCCACCGCCACGAACCTCCTGTGACAGACAAGGATATTGTGATTGTAAATCAAGACAAGGATCTTTACGTGGTAAATAAACCAGGTGGAATTCCGGTAAGAAACAAAAGAAGAATATATATATATGTGTGTGTGTGATCTTAATAAACGAATAAATAAATAAATTTTAAAGGTTCACCCGGCTGGAAGATATAGACACAATACTGTAATTCATGTTTTACGAAAAACACATTCGATACCCATTCTATTCCGTGAGTCCCTTTGTTCTATTCAATTACTTTAAATTAATTATAAATTATCTTGACAAAACAATGCAGTACAGACAAATAAGAAAATGACTTTTCCCCTTTCTTTTTCGTTTTCGGTTTTTTTTTTACTCCTCCCATTCATATCCCTTTTAGGACCCATGAATTATAACAAATTATCAACCTACAATTATTGATTTATTTATATAAACGTATCATTTTAGCTGCCAATCGACTGGATCGGCTCACATCGGGGCTAATGCTAATTGCCCTGAATGCCAAACGTGCTCAGGAACTCGAACGTGAGATGACGACAGGTAAGATTCGCAAGGAATATGTGTGCCGAGTCGAAGGTGAATTCCCAGAGTAAGTAATTACCCCCACTATAATAACCTTTTTTGTTTCTTCTTCTTTATCTTTAATATATGAATTCCTTTCTTTTTTTCTTTCTTTTTTACAAGGGGTGAGATTGTGTGTGAGGCGCCGATCAAGACAATTTCGTTTAAATTGTCATTAAACTATGTCCACGAGGATGGCAAGGACTGCACGACCGTATTTAAACGTCTGAGCTATAATGGCAAGACCAGTGTGGTACTCTGTAAGCCCCTGACGGGCAGGACCCACCAGATTCGTGTTCATTTACGATACCTTGGGTATCCGATTGCCAATGATCCCCTCTATGGAAACAATACCTCATGGGCACCCATCTTACATGCAGGCAAACATATGTCAGAAGAAGAATCAAAAAGTCTAGTAGATAGTCTCTTGGCCAATTCAGAATACCAAGATGGCGATTGGCAGCCAGTAGCACCAGTTCCTCTCCCAGTACCTACAACAAATAGAGCACCAGAATCAGAACCAGGATTAGAATCGGCACCGGAATCAGTACCGGAATCAGTAACAGAAGAAATAACCTCAAATGAGCAAAAATGTGATGAATGTAGTATTGCACTGCTTGCTGATCCGGTACAAAGTGATCTTTATATCTGGCTTCATGCCTTGCGCTACTCAGGTGAAGATTGGGCTTATGAAACCGAACTTCCTGAATGGGCCACAGAAACATTTGAAGACACATCTTGAATAAGTTTAAATATGTATAATATACTTCTTTACTTTCTTTCTTTTTTGTTTATTATTTTATTTGTAAATAAAATGAATAGGTTGAATTGTTCTTTCTTTAATACATCAACACAAACATGACTACAGAACTCTGTTCTTTTTCTGGTTTTTTTTATCTTCTTTCTCTCTTTTTTTTTATGATTCTTCCTGGTTGACTGGCTGCTTTTCAGTAATAGTCATATTGTCTAAACCTGCCAACACAGCCTTCTCTGATTCGCTGGGAGGAGATGCCAAAGAATCCTCTGGGCCAGATGGTGGTGTGCTTTGTTCAGCAGATTCTGAACGATAAGTATATCCACTAATAAACAAGCACAAACAATTTTAAATACAAATACAAATGCTAATAATGATGATATTATATACAATGCTCGTCAATTAACTTACTTTGCAGGGTTTTGATAGTATGCTGACATATTAGCCATCGGTGTGGGAGCAATGCCCAACATAGTCTCGGGTGTAATTGGCATCTGGCGAATAGGGAATCCACCCATGGATTGGAAATCGCGAGGTCTAAACATACGCTTGCGTGCAGTCTGGTTCTTGAGTTTCTTTTGAGCTGGCGAATCTGCAAATCGAACCTGTAGTGGTGCCGAAGAGCCAGGGATACTATAGCCACTAAACTTTTCGATGATAGTCATGGCTGATCCACGGTCCGAGAGTCTTTGATGCGTTTGGTTATAATCAAGAGAGGTTATGTTATTTAGTTTCGTTCTTTCATTTCCACCCCTCCTCCTCCTTTTTTTTTTTTGGTATTATTTCTTTCTTACCTTGCGAATCCAACACCTCTGCTCATACCAGACTGTGGGTCACGTAAGATACGATTAGAGACCGTCAGACAAGGTTTGAATAGATCCTCTAGTTTCTATAAAACACAACACAACACAATACAATACAACGGAAGATAAGAGCATGAGTATTGGTTTTAAAAAGTGATTTTTTGTATATGTTTCTTACTTGTTCAGTCATGTCAAGAGGAAGATTAGAAATATAGATGTTGGTAGATGTCTCGTCTTGCAAGTGTCTCAGGCGCGAACTAAAGGATTCGTGTCCAACCCGGGCAAAGGATGCCTGGAGACCAGCCTTGTTGAGACCGTCGATTGACGCCTGACAATCCTCTTCTCTCTCGTACATAGCAAAACCATAACCTTTGCATTCGCCGGTCTTTTGGTCAAGAATGGCCTTTGACGAGACGACCTTGCCATACTCCTCGCACAGATCCAAGAACGAATCGTCGTTGATTGTGCTCGACAGACCACGGACATAGATATTAAGAGAATGGTAGTGCATCATCTGTTCGTCCTCTAGTTCCTGGGCAGCGGCGGCGGCAGCGGCAGCGGCGACGACGGCTGCAGAACCACCAGCAGCGGCAGCAGAACCAGCAGCGGCAACGGCAGCGGCAGCGGCAGCAGCAGAGGCACCATTGGAGTTTCCGGAATGGTGATTATTATTAGTATTGTTGTTGCTGTTATGATGATGATGATGTCTCTTTGACCGTTGGTTTTCGTTGAGATGGAATGGTCCTGGCAAAGGCTGAAGGTAAGGATGGGGAGGAGACCCGGGCACGGAGGCTGCTCCGGTCAAGATTGGGGATATATGGAGCGGAGGAAAGTTCTGGCCATGTGGAGGAAGCATGTAGGCGTGGGCGGGTGGCGAAAGGGTCAGACCGCCGGCCTGGTGGTAGGGGTAAGTTGGGCTGAAAGGTGGTGACTGGGGGTTCATTGGAGGAGACTGTGGGTGGAGGGCAGGAGATCCAGGATAGCTTTGGTACCCATAGTCTGAGTAGTACTGGACAGAAAACTGAGGGCTGAGAGGATAGACATATGCATAGTGGGATGCATCATTGGGATCAAATCCACCGCTGACTGCTGTTGAACCTGCTCCTCCAGTTGCTCCTCCTCCTCCTGATGATGACGACGCTGCTGCTGCTGCTGTTGCTGCAGCGACTGATTGTTGGTGTTGTTCATAGGCAGCTGCCATCGACTGCTGGTGCTGTTCATAAGCAGCTGCCATCTGTGCAGGATCAATATGTCCATAGTATGGAGGGTATGGTGGAGAAGTAGGGATGTTGTTTTGGGTCTCATGAGAACGACGGTATTTTTTCTCTCCATCTTCCATGACCTTGGTGACTGGTACTGCGCTAACTTGAGGGGAAGCCATAATCTGTCGAATGGGTCATGTTGATTAGCAGATTGTCGCAAGACTCATCTTCTGTGTTCATTTATCTATCCATGTATATTCTTTTTTTTCTCTCTTTCTTTTTCTAAACCTATCTATCTCTCTCTCTGTGTGTGTGTGCGTGTGAATATCCACTTTTTTTTTTGGTTTTGGTTTTAAAAGAAACTTACTTTTTTTTGTTGGGTTTGTTAGGGGAAATAAAAAGAAGGTTGGTGTACTTCTTTTAAATGAGAAGGTTTATTAAGAGAGAGAGAGAGAGATAAAAGGAGATGATGAGAGGAAAAGGGCGTGCGTGTGAATGTGTGTATGTATAATAATGCGATTAAATTGGGTGTTTGATGTGATTAAATACAAGGTGTATTTGTATGGAACATATAAGTATATATTCTTCTTTATATTATATATATATATATTATATATATCTAAAAATAATATTTCTACAAGCACATGGATCTTTTGAAAGACTGAGTGCAAATATATATATATTTATATATAAGTATATATATATAAAAATATATAAAGGAGAGGTAGATAAAGAAGTAGAAAGAAGAAGAGGAAGAGGAAGAAGAAGAGAGAAAGAGAGGAACGATAATGAGGAAATTGCTATTAAATATTTAAATATATATTTAATTATTATATTTATATATTCGTGTGTAAAAAATAAATAAAGGGGGGGGGGGGGAGTGAGTGAGAGATAGAGAGGAGGGAAAAGGGAAAAGGAAAAGGGGGGAGGGAAGGGGGAAAGGAAAGGAAAAGGAGATTTGATATATAAAATTTGTATATATAAAAAAAAAGAATAAAAGATTCAACCGCCCTTTTTGGCTCTATAGGATTTTCTTGTTTTAGTTTTAGTTGGGTTGAATTGGGTTGAATTGGGCTGGATATTGGCGTTTGTTTTGGGATTTGGACTCTACTTGAGCTGGCCCTTTTTTTCTTTGCTTTTTCTTGTTTTCCATTTGAAGTGCAAGTTCATCAGCCTTGATTTGTGCAGGTTAATTTTAACCTCTTGTCTCTTTCAATTCAACCAGAGAACAAGATGCTCTTCTTTTATTTTCAGCTTCAATACAGATACCTAAAGAAGAAGTATGGTATTCCGAGGATTGCAAGTCGTACTCTCTCTTTCTCTCTTGCTCTTGAAAAGTCTCCATACTCAGTCATTCAAGTCGTGTGCCATGAAATTAAAGTCGTACAGACGAAAAGAAAATCCCAAGTCGCACATGCCTAGATATTAAAGTCGTACATGCTAAGCTATATACACAAAGACTGTTTTGTGTGTGTGTAAAGGAAAAGAAGAAGAGAAAAAGGATATTAAATTCTTCTTGATTGTATCTCTCTTCTAGGAAATCAAAATAAATAAAAAAAGAATGTCACTGTATGATTGACACTGACATTGACAACGTGCTAATGAGCCGATAGAACTTTAAGACCTTATGAATGAACAAAGATATCACTTATATATTTGCATGGTTTGGAAAAAAAAACAATACAATATAATATAAGAAGGTAATTATGCGGATAACAAGCCGAATAAACATTTAATATAATATAAATCCAAACTTAATTGTCAAGGCCAGAATATGAAAATGAATAATTTTTTGTATTATTTGTGAATGACGCATGTCCATGCTTTTATTACTGACAATTCTAAAAGTAAATCTCTGTCTCTTCTTTATCATCCTTCATCTGCAATCACAACATCCTTTTCTATAGAGAGAAAAATAAGCATTACTGTGTATCAATTGTACATGCAAGAAAGAAAGAAAAACAGATCTAATGTGTGGTCATGACCATTGACCAGCTTCTTTAATCGAATGGACATTATTGTTACTCCACACGAATACAAGAACATTACGTGAATAAAAGTAAGTCAAAGAAAGGCAGAGTTTGACTATTTTATTAAACATCAATAGAGTACCGGTGGTGGTTTCATTTGTGATTATTATCTCTTGTCCTTTATACAAATTAGCCTTGATTATCTTTTTCTCTTTATACCCCCCCCCTCCTTTTTTTTATTCCATTATGAAATGCCATTTTTATTTTTACAATGTTATCTTTTAACCCCATTGATTTTCGTACTGCTTGTCTAAATGATCTGTGGTTGAAATGTAGCATGTTGTGCCTGAATTCGTGTCAGCCAATCAGGTTGACAATTTCATGAATGTCTTTTTATTTATTTGGCTCTCAAATATATATAATACATATGTCTAATTCCACCCACTTGCTTACACTACATGCATCTAACAAAAAACAAATGACTCAATAGGCCAAGAAACCAATAAACAAAAACAAACAAAAATTATTAACAATAATGGTAGAAAATCTATAGATTGTATACATCAGTTTGTATGACTCTATATTGCTTGACTTGAATATTTGGCTATGTTGTAGGATTTGAAGAACAAGAAAGAAGGTACAGTTTACATAGCACCATAGAGTATTAAGTTTTGACTAAACTTATCTATATACCATAGTAATACTTTGATCCAAATAGAAGAGGAGAAGAAGACGAAGAAGAAACCCCATGCTCAAGATGATTGCAGCTGAGAAGATCGATAACCCGCCTTTATTGATTTAATGACTTGAGAATAAACAAAACTGAATGGTTAGAATGCATGCGTGCATATAATTTACATATGCTTCATCTTCTTGCTATCATAGATCATACTATCAGGGTCGTTGATTAACCAAATATTCTTATGCTTGATAGGATCAAAACAAAAAATCATGCTTTCTTTTCCGATAAACCAAAATTATATACACAAATATGTATAAAAACTCTTTATTGGTCAATAGTAAATGGGAAATGTAAAAGGGTGCTTTTATTACATTAGAATAGTATCACATACCTACAGTTACTTTTTCAATGTATATATATATGTATGGCTTGCTTTTTGAGCTTAATAGATAAATAAACTCAAGTCTTTTTTGTTGTTCACCTTGAAACGATTCTCTCTGGTAACAAAATAGCTTATCACAGCTTGCACTACAAGATAGTACCAGACACTGCAAAAAATTACCATATAACAAAGACTAATCCATGTAGTGGTGTCCACTCGTGTCGGTCAATCAATCAATCAATCATATCTCGGATGTAGTAAAACTATACCATTTATGGGTATTTCTAATAGCCTTGGTATTGGTTCAACAAATGCATAATATTTTTTGGTAGTAAAAAAAGAGAGAGAGAGAGAGAAAAAGGGCAAAAAAAAAAACTGGGTACTATCCAACCAGACGTCATCAATCGCATTTTATTTTTCTTTTTCTTTTGTCCCACAGTGCGATTACTTTCTTGTTTTGGACAACCATCCTCGTTCCAACTATATAATTTGATTATTTATGGATTTTAAGTTTGTCAAATATTTTATTTAGACAGATTGTATGTGTAGATATTTCACAATTAGAATTCTTTAATACTTCTTTACACAACCTTTGTTAGTGTATGAATATTTTTTATTTTTGAAGAAGAAGAGGAGGAAGAAGTATGCTTGTAGGTATGTAAGAGATGAATTTGTTTTGCATGTATTTATATAATAAGCGGTCATGGAAAGACATTTCACAGAGTGTAACTTGTGCTGTTACAACATGAACGGAAAATAGTTTGAATTTTTTTAAACGTTTTTTTTCTTGCTGTTATTGAAGCATCCTTGTAGTGCAAAGCTTCTTTCCTTAATGCAGAAATGCTATATTTCTAATTATTATTATTATTATTTAATGAATATTCTATTGTGTGCGTTGTGTAGTCCTTAAGCTTGTTCCTATAAAGTTTATCACTGATAATTAAGATATCCAAAGTAGTCCCAATCGTACTCTTGTTGGTTCAGCGCGCACGAAAACAAAAATTAGCGTTTCACACCTTGTAATCGCTAATTTTAGGGAGACGACATTTTTATTCTACCGGACCACAAATTCTGACTTTTTCTTTTGTTACCAGCTGAAATAGTTTTATCTGGTCCCTAAGGATACAGAATTATATAAATATATATAAATATATAATAGGTGAAAGAAAGACAAAGTCATAATACGCGTAAGAAGGCCAATAAACAGCAAAACATACAACAAGGTTACATCACAACTTAATCCCAGCTCCTTATAATCTGCTGCATTAAGAGCATCTGCAGCGGTTACATTATCGAAAACATTATATATAGTGTAGTATAGCCACACCGTGGATTGAATACCAGTTAAAAACAGATTGCCAAATTGTGGTTACATTACAAAGGAACTATTTGAGCTTTTTGACTGTCTAAAGTTTCCAGTTTTTCACTGATGGTTTTGTTCATATTCTTTTTCTTAAAATTTATTTTATTGAACATTTGCTCTCTATGGATGCATTAAAAATATGAATTTAATAATTTCAATATTGTCAGATTAATAGTTAGCATAATTTGCGAGAATTTCTTTGCTCATTTCTATAGACCATTGTTCGCTTTAACAAAGGATGTGAAAGGGAAGAAAACGATTCAAAAAGATAATACAGATTTATAATGGAACACTACATGTAATGTTTCTGACCTTAAAAATGGACTACATTATCTATAATGTTGTCTGTAATGTAACCGCTGCAGACGATTTTTTTGAGAACATTTCGGAATCTACATTAAAACAGTCGCAAAAATTAATTTTAATGTAACCGCTGCAGATGCTCTAAAAGTACTGAAATTAAAATGTATTTGAGTGTAGAAGGAGAAAAGTTCTAGCAATATAGCTCTAGAAAATTGCGAGCAAAATTTCAGGAACTAAAAGATGCTCTTCAACATACTCGGTAAAATTATTTCGGGTATATTAAAATTCAAGAATAATAATTAGACTAAATTACCTCTTCTTTTTCAGTTTTTAAATTAGCTGTAAGAATCACACTGCTTTCTTGCCCGGCTATAAAAGATTTGCAGTGTTTATAGCCAGACTAGAAAATACTTACACTGCTTTCTAGCCAGTCTAGAAAAGGTACAATGATTTTTAGCCCGACTAGAAAGAGTTGATTTATCCTTGCTTTATTATCTGACGGGGCAGATGAATGCCTCAAAGGGATTATCGAGTTTGAGGATGTGTTTACCGACCTCTTAACCCAAACTTTAAACTCTGTTCAAGCTGCACTTGATAGTACAGAAGCAAATTTTGCAGATAGTACATCAAGCGAAGCACTGGCACTTTGTTTTCTTGTTCTCAAGAGCTGGCTTCTTTTAAGATCACGCTCAAACTATGTATGTGTTAATGTTGACGAAAAAGAGCATGTTCAATCAGACCCGTTGATGTTGTGGATGTCTGTTTGGCCGGCATTGCGCCGGATCCTGTATGGTATTGAATCCTCAACCTTGTTTGTGGTAAGTGTTTTCTGCGCTGTCTTAAACTTGGACCAAATTAACTACTAGAATGGTATATATATACATAACATATACATAACATATGAACTTTATATTAGCCCGGAAACTATGGATTGTCGATATGGTCTATGTTCCTTTCCTTGTTACAATTTCTTTTTGGGTGTCATAGTAGCATTGTTCTGATTAATGCCAACGAATGGAACAGTTTATTGGATACCCTTGTTACTCAGGTAAGAAATTGTTTTTTTTCGTTAAGTTGAGCACTCTATTTACGATACTTTAAATTGATCCTTTTTAATGTTTTTCTTTCGCTTCTAGTTATCGGTTACAAACGGAATCGATGAGTTGATGAGTAGTTCTGTCGAAGAGACATCCCCTCTCTATGAATTTAAAGGCAGAGTAACAAAAGTGCGCCAGATGTTTGACGTTCCTCCTATTGAGGTTCCTGCTGATATGTTAATCGACCAATTATACCTTGTACTGCGTTCTGTTATGCAATCACAAGCCGATAACCTTGCCTTTCCTGGTGCTACCAGAGTTATGACAACAGCAATGGGGTTGCCACAATAAAAAAAACATATAGAAAGCACACTTAATTTTGTAATAGATTTCATAATTCATCATTTGCAAAGTTCTCTATCCTTTAATCTCCATAAAAATCACCCTCTCAGTATCTACTTTTACCATTATTGAGGTACGGATCCTAAAACAGAAACCTAAATTACTCGGGGTAGTCAGACTTTGAATAGAGCTTATTGTTTTTTTTTAATAAAAAAAAAGTAATTTGATCCAAAAACCCAAAACAATTCGGTGGGATATTCAAATGGGCTCACTTTTTATTTTTATTTTTTTGGAAATAAACTGATGACTTGGATAAGATGCTTTTTGTCTATGGAATAGTTGGTTAAATGTAATAGAGACATATAGAGAATTTATATAAATAACAAGTAAAGATATTTGTTTTATTCAAACGGCCGTACAATTGATTTACGTAATGGTGAACAAGACTTGCAAAGACCTCTTTACAGGTTGGTGCTTCGCTAGTCTTCAGCAAGTTAGACTAGGAATAAGTTATAATAAGGAGATATCACAAAAAAGAATACAAGAAGTTTATAAGTCTTAATTGACTAGCTTTAATTTATTGATACTTAACTTGGATCGAGGAGATTATTACTGGTTACTTTGATGACATTATATTGATGATTGTATTGGTAATAATAATATATATATATATATATCTGATTGACCGAACACATTTTTGACTACTTATTTTTTCTTCAACCTGTCCACACAAAATGTATAAAAATACACCTATATGTTTATAGTAAATCCCGTTTTTATATAAAAATTAAAAAGAAAAAGAAAAACCTTTATATATATACATTTCTTTGTATTCTGTTGGTTCTTTGGATACAATATACATATATAAATAATTGTGTTTCCGAACTGGCGCAAAGTGATACGTATGATTGCAAATGGTAAAAGCAGAAAAATCCGCAGGGTCCTTTTTAAGTTTAAGCATAAAATATATATATACACATACATACTGGATACATTATATATATATATATTTAAAAAAAGAATATAACAAAAAGGGGGGGAATAGCCAGATAATTATTATTTCTTTAAAAAAGCAAACAAGAATGTTGGATATTAGTCAAATGAAAAGAAACGCAACCAGGTATCATGAATCAATATGTACACAATCGCCTTTGAATATTAGCTGCCACTGTTTCATTTGCCTTGCAGATATCCGGTGAAATTATGTTAGCCATATTTTTCAGAACACAGTTGTTCAATTCCATATTTCCAATAATGGGCATTTCGGTACAGTTGCCAAACAACATGATCAGATCAGTAAAAAGATTCTTGATTTTGCTATCATTGTTGCATTGGCCATGCAAGGAAACAACAAGATCCTTTTTGATACTCGCTTCAGAAGGCGACTTGATAACAGTGTATGCAATTCGCTGGAAGAGCTTAGAAGCGATCACTGATGAGCTTTCATTGTCCATTGATTTTTTCACACCTTCATGATCACAATAAGTAAACACTGTATATGGTTGACAGTAATGTGGTAGAGCCAGATGACTTGAAGCACGACAAAGAAAGTAAGTGCTTGGATGGTGAAAATGCGATCGGAGCTGTCTTGCTTGGCCAACCAAATTAAAAGGTTCGACTGACCGTATTGATGTATTTGACTCAATCTCCTTGGCTTTTTCCCAGCTGTCTTGGTCAATAAAAATCCTGGTATGTTGCGGTGATGCAGCAAAGTAAAAAGACAAAGGGCCCACTTTTGGCTTTTCGTTTCGATCAAGGCGAACAATTGACGTGATGAGGCAATCGCATGATTGGGTCCCAATTACCAGCTTAGAACCATCCCTCGTGCTTTGGATGCAAGGCCATATGTTCGGATACATTGGAGTGGTTGTGAGGATTGAGGAGGTAGCTGAAGTAGACAGTTCTCGGTGGATGTCAACTGATTTTGTTCGACCATAAGTCTCTACCGTATTCACAAGAATGGCTTCACCGTTATTGACATTCATCAGAATTGAACCTGCTAAAACTTGGACGCAGCCAAACTTGATATGTGGTTCATGCGTCCAATCTTTGTTAAGTAAGAGCGCTGTCTTTTTGTCCAGCTCAAAATATTGACGGCCAGAAAGCATTCCTCGATGAGGTGATCGGTGAATCAATGATGTCAAATTTGCACAGAAGCTTTGCTCAACAACATTGCCATCGAATAATCGTTTTGACGGAATGATCGGTTTGCATTCAAATGTGTGATCACTCATACCTCTGATGTTGTTGTGGTGACTGAGTGCATTGTATTCTACAATATTGTTGTTATGATCACGGTAAATGAGAGAGAACGGTTCAAGCTTCAACTGTTCAATGATCCATTTGTTTTTGCCTTTTTCTTCCTCAGCTGCATCAATTGATTGACATGCTTGTACAATTGCTTGATTAAAATCGTGTCGTTTGTCAAGTTTGGTTACAATGGTTGGTGTTTCGGTTAATGCGGTTAATGTAGGTACTGTGGCAAGAGTCAATAAAGTCCCATCTACGGCATCGCTGTCCAAACTAACATCTATGCCAAACACGATCAGTATTCGCTGACTCTTTTTTTTTGACGTATTTACACCTTACCATCATTACTACAGTTTGCCTGGCTGGTAATAATATGCTTTCTTAAAGTATCAGCCGACGTATACTCTTTGGAACAATACTTGCAGCTCAGGATATTGTTCACTCGATTAATTTCCACACATTGCACGTTTCCTATCAACAAAGCAAGTCCAATGATTTAAAAATTAGTTTGTTCCCAAAGTGATACCTCTTTTTCTACCTTGTTGATCGGTGTAATTAAGCTTATACGATTCATTGTGGTATTGATATTTATGATTTTTTAATGCTTTATCGCTAAACCGCTTCCCAAAGTCTTTGCAGTACTCAAAAGCACATTGATTTTCGTTATATTTAGAAGCTAAAACTTTGGACTTGGAATCGTCAGAATCTAAAGTTGAAGTCATGACAATTCAATTAATTAATCAGACAAATTTGATTATTATTTTTAAAAAAGAAAGGCTTTGCCATCCCTCTCCTCCGAGGAGCAGCGATTTTATTCTACAGACAGTTGATATATAAACCTTTCATATTACTATATTCTAATGGGCACACAATTATTATAGGCTTAATTTTTAAAGAGAATAATGAAAAAGAATTGTATTGTGGCGGGGATCAATGGAAAAGTTATAAGATTTACCATATTTGGACACATTTCAATAAACTTAGTCTTCTTCCTGCTGTTATCTAAAGTTTTACCTATTCTTTGATATAGTTCTCGCTAAATAGAATCCTTCGTCTCTGATCACACTAAAGAAACTATATGATTTTATTTTGAGAAAATTTGCTTGAATCAAAAAGACAATTTTACCGTATTTCAACCATAATATTTTTTACTTTTTGAGGTGATAATTCCATCAGGTTAATTCTACTGGATACGAGAAGCGATGAGTTTGTTGTGTTGTATAACTGGTCAGAAAGCATATAAGAAAAGCGTGTTGAATATGAATTAATAAAGTATAATCCAGGGAAAGATATTATATAAAAACTTAAAGAAATGACAGAACTCCCAATCACACTCAGGATTACTGAAGAAATTAATAGAGTAAAAGTACTAAAATTAAAATGTATTTGAGGGTAGAAGGAGAAAAGTTCTAGCAATATAGCTCTAGAAAATTGCGAGCAAAAGTTCAGGAACTAAAAGATGCTCTTCAACATACTCGGTAAAATTACTTCGGGTATATTAAAATTCAAGAATAATAATTAGACTAAATTACCTCTTCTTTTTCAGTTTTTAAATTAGCTGTAAGAATCACACTGCTTTCTTGCCCAGCTATAAAAGATTTGCAGTGTTTATAGCCAGACTAGAAAATGCTTACACTGCTTTCTAGCCCAACTAGAATAAATTTCCACTGATTTTTAGCCCGACTAGAAAAGACTTACGCTGATTTCTAGCCAGACTAGAAAAAAAATACGCTGATTTCTAGCCAGACTAGAAAAAAAATACGCTGCTTTCTAGCCAGACTATGAAAGACTTACACTGCTTTCTAGCCAGACTAGAAAAGACTTACGCTGATTTCTAGCCAGACTAGAAAAAAAATACGCTGCTTTCTAGCCCGACTAGAAAAGTCACAGGGATTTCTAGCCAGACTAGAAAAGATTTACACTGCTTTCTAGCCAGACTATAAAAGACTTACACTGCTTTCTAGCCAGACTATAAAAAACTTACACTGCTTTCTAGTCAGACTAGAAAAGTCACAGGGATTTCTAGCCAGACTATGAAAGACTTACACTGCTTTCTAGCCAGACTAGAAAAAAATTACACTGCTTTCTAGCCAGACTATGAAAGACTTACACTGCTTTCTAGCCAGACTAGAAAAGACTTACGCTGATTTCTAGCCAGACTAGAAAAAAAATACGCTGCTTTCTAGCCCGACTAGAAAAGTCACAGGGATTTCTAGCCAGACTAGAAAAGATTTACACTGCTTTCTAGCCAGACTATAAAAGACTTACACTGCTTTCTAGCCAGACTATAAAAAACTTACACTGCTTTCTAGTCAGACTAGAAAAGTCACAGGGATTTCTAGCCAGACTATGAAAGACTTACACTGCTTTCTAGCCAGACTAGAAAAAAATTACACTGCTTTCTAGCCAGACTATGAAAGACTTACACTGCTTTCTAGCCAGACTAGAAAAGACTTGCGCTGATTTCTAGCCAGACTAGAAAAAAAATACGCTGCTTTCTAGCCCGACTAGAAAAGTCACAGGGATTTCTAGCCAGACTAGAAAAGATTTACACTGCTTTCTAGCCAGACTATAAAAGACTTACACTGCTTTCTAGCCAGACTATAAAAAACTTACACTGCTTTCTAGTCAGACTAGAAAAGTCACAGGGATTTCTAGCCAGACTATGAAAGACTTACACTGCTTTCTAGCCAGACTAGAAAAGTCACAGTGATTTCTAGCCAGACTAGAATAGATTTGGAGCATCTGCAGCGGTTACATTATCGAAAACATTATATATAGTGTAGTATAGCCACACCGTGGATTGAATACCAGCTAAAAACAGATTGCCAAATTGTGGTTACATTACAAAGGAACTATTTGAGCTTTTTGACTGTCTAAAGTTTCCAGTTTTTCACTGATGGTTTTGTTCATATTCTTTTTCTTAAAATTTATTTTATTGAACATTTGCTCTCTATGGATGCATTAAAAATATGAATTTAATAATTTCAATATTGTCAGATTAATAGTTAGCATAATTTGCGAGAATTTCTTTGCTCATTTCTATAGACCATTGTTCGCTTTAACAAAGGATGTGAAAGGGAAGAAAACGATTCAAAAAGATAATACAGATTTATAATGGAACACTACATGTAATGTTTCTGACCTTAAAAATGGACTACATTATCTATAATGTTGTCTGTAATATATTTTTGTTTGTATGGAGCGGTGACAGGCTCAGTGTTGTCTGTAATGTAACCGCTGCAGACGATTTTTTTGAGAACATTTCGGAATCCACATTAAAACAGTCGCAAAAATTAATTTTAATGTAACCGCTGCAGATGCTCTAACTGGTTATTATTGTTATAGTTTATTTTTTTTAGGACACGTCATTTTGCCCTGAAAGACTATAGAGACACCGGGTCCCGGACAGGTTAACGACAACTAATTAGTCCGGTTAGATAGAAAAGTCATGGCCGTAAGCTTGCTGTTAATTAAATTTGTATGTATTTTAATTATATATATATTGTGACCCCTGCTTATGTAGTGTGATTGCAAGTGTAAATGTGAAATTAAAATCAAATCAAATAAAATATAACACTTACAAGAGGTGTAGTATGCAAGTGAATGAGAGAATAAAATAAAACAAGCAAATAAAAACAAAACCAAGCATCAAACGTAAAAGCACGTGGTAACACTTGCCCAAAAGAAAAAAAAAATCAACATTTTGCTCTATGCCCCTCTTTTTCTATATATATAATAAAAAAAATTGATCCCTCCTCTAAGGTCTATACAGCACCCGGGGCCCGTTAATCTTGACTTTCTCCAGCCGATGAGGAAGAATATGGTCATACACCATCGAGACCCACTCACACACCAGGGGCCTCGTGTCGCGGGGATCAATGATTTCTGGCATGTCAAACAACTCGGCTGTTCTCAACGGTGACCGAACTGCCTCGAATTTGGCCAGGATAGATTCATACAACTGCTGTCTGTTTTCTCCTGCTGCCTCCAGTTCTCGACGATAAGCAGCCTAAATTATAGACAATAAATTACACAACCACAACTATATTTTTTTTTGTTTTTTTTTGTTTTGTCTTGACTTGCATTGATTCCACCTTCAAGCGGAAGACTTCCCCAGTCACCACTTGGCCAGCCAACTCGCATATTTGGTACCCGATTGTCTACAAATGCAGCACCCGCAACTCCAAACACCTTGCGTAAAACAATACTAAAGTAAGGCACATCACACTGGTACAAGGCAGCTGTGAGAGTTGACCCATGTCGAATGGTTCTAATGACAATATATTTATAAATAAATGTGTCAAATTAATTCAAATAGACATATTTATGCTGATTAACTTACGCTTCTCGTTCTGCCTTTGTACCAACCGCAAATCCAGCATAATCAGCAAAGTTTAGGATCGGAATTCCAAACGTGTCGCAAAGATCGATGTGGCGCCTGAACTTTTGACAACTGGCGGCCGTAATCACACTTCCATTCACAGTACAGTCAAACGAAATGATACCCACACTGTATCCACCAATCCGGGCCAGCCCACACACGGCACCATCTCCCCACCGAGAACCGATTTCGAACCAGCTTTGGGAGTCTATTACCTTGGTCAGGATGTCTCTGATTTGGTACATTCTCTGACGACGCCTGGGAATAATCGACAGCAATTGATCATCCCGACGGTCAACGGGATCTTCAGAGTTGTGTTTAGGAGGCAATTCAAAGGTATTCGAGGGCAAGTATCCCAGGAACTGGCGGATCTGGTCAAAGCATTCTTGTTCAGTCGAGGCCAGATTGTCAAACGTTCCATTGGACGTGTGGATCAAGGCACCACCCAGGGTTTCCTTTGTGACCTCTTCGTATGTTGCATTGGCAACAATCGGAGGACCGGCAGCAAACAGAGATCCGATATCCTCAGAAACCACAGAAAAGTGAGTCAATGTAGCCCTAGCGGCTCCAAGTCCAACAGCTACATTATTGATATTAATAGAATCAAAAATCAAAATCAAAATCAAAAGAAAACTTGCCTGGTCCAAGCGCTGCAGCTACAACAGGAATCTCTGACAGACTGGCAATCATGTCGTGCATGCCAATCAAGGGTGGTAAATAGGTTGCGCCCATATCCAGAATAAGTGTCACAGAACCTCCTCCGCTACTACCATCAATCAAACGAACCTAACAGCAAAAAATTAAAAGCCATTAACACCAAAAATAAAAATAAATAAATATATTTATATATATATATGATTTACCATTGGAATCTTTAATTTTCTTGCCATTTGTTCGGCATATAACTAATCAAAAAGGCAGAATTAGATATACTTTGATTTCAATCCACTGGTTGTTTTCTTATTTTTATTATTATTATTTTTTAAAAAAAAAAAGCAATACCATCAAGACTTACTGACTTTCCCCAAATGGCACCATCTGCATGACCTCCACGAATCGAAAAATCGTCTGCTCCCACAATCACACTACGTCCATTTGCGGTTGCCTTTCCGGCAATAAAGTTGCCAGGGCTAAAAGACTCGATCGACCCATCCTTGTTGTATTTGGTCTTTCCGGCAAAGCTTCCAATCTCTCTAAAGCTGCCCTTGTCCGTAAATCCATCCACACGTTCACGCACCCACAGTTTTCCAGCCGTCTTTTGACGAATGTATCCTCTATCACCGACATCTGGCACACTATTTCCTATCTTTCGTCTTGACATTTCTTCCAAAATATCCTATAGTCATTGTTGTTCTTTATAAGCCAATAACATCTATTTTTTCTTATAAAGATAGTTTATATTTGCCTTCCATTCTGAGGTTTCTGCTGCTTCATCTTTTGGACGCTCTTGTAAATGTTTGGCAATGATATCAAGTCTATTTTTTGCAGTTTTTGACATGGCTATTCTTCTCTTATTATCTTTAATAAAAAATAACAATAATAAAAAAGGACAAAAAGGAAAGAGAGAGAGAAAGAGATAGAGAATAAGAAGGTAGGGATGTGTACAAGGTAAACCTTTTGTGTACGTTTTATTTCAATTTAATTTATATTGTTCGTGCGAATGAATTTAGTCATGGCAGTGTGACGCTATATAAAATTAAAATAAGAATCCCGACTCAGTCACAAAAAATTGAACACAGCCAAAGTACAAGATTAACTATAATATATATTTATATTTATTTATATAATACAATTACATGTGTATGTAATTGCTTATTATTTTATTACACCGTCAGGATTTCCTATTTTTCTTTTCTTTTCTCTCTTCTTCTTCTTATTAGTGTTTATTTATTTATATATATATAATGGCTACCTTTAATGACGCTACATTCGCACTGGCCCATGAAAAGGCAAAGCAACAGGGACTCAGTGAACAAGAAATCCAGGCGATTGACACTGCAAGAACCCAACTAAAGATACACAGTAAATACCTACCTGCCTACCTATGTTCATTCAGTTTACCAAACCACCAAATAAAGAAATAATAATAATAATAATAATAATAATAATAATTGAGGTCCTGTCAATTGATTTACACAAACTATTTACTAGCTGGTATTGGTGGAATGGCAGCAGCAACAAGTGGTTTTTTGCTGGGTAAGGAATCCCCAAAAGATAGACTTACTACGATGTGTCTATATAGAAGAGGATATATAGGTGTATAAGTATTTGTTTCTAAAATAACAGGATACAATTTGTAAAAAACAAAAACAAAAAAGGCAAACGAAGAAAGTCATCACCATTCCAATTGCTGGCCATTACTGCTGGTTGTTACTTTATGGGAGCTCAAATGGGTATCATTTCTGGAGTCATTTCAGGCACGTCTACCTTGAGAGCTCTTCCAAATCCAAAGAGAGTCATTGGAGCCATCCGAGACGCGCAGTAAGTTTTTTCTTTAATTATTACTACTATTATTATTATTAGTCTTGAGCTAAAATTTTATTTAAAAAAAAAAGAAAAGAAATTGCCTATGGTAATCATAATCCTACCAACAACAAAACAGTATCCCACGAGACGTCTATTGATCAAAACGAACGGGCCCAATTTTCATCTCTTGACTCTTTCGCGACCAACAGTAATGACAATGATCATGCCAAACTTGAATCTGGGTTCGAACCCAATGGTACATATATATTATATATATTTATATATAAGAAAAAAGCATACTTTTTTTTTCTTTCTTAAACCAATTTTGAATCTATAGACTCCATGAGACCTTCTAGCTGGGGAAACAAGAGATCAGAACAATTATCAGGCACTAGTACAGAACAAATCGAAAACTCTAGACAATCCACAAAACCTCATACTACAACTACTACAACTAGTGCGTGGGATGAAGTACGAGCCAAGAATCTTCCCAACAATACATGGACACGGTTGAGAATACAGGCACAACAGAACTCTGATGCTGGTGCAGTGCGCTCGCCTCAGGAACGAATGGAGGCTGCCAGACGTCTGAAAGAACAGCGCGAATTTGGAACAGAAGAGATGCCACGAACGCGCGAAGAGACTGAGCAGAGAAGCACGACAAGAAAGAATCAGTGGGGAGATGCCATTTGATTTTTGGTTTTTGATTATATTATGTATTTAAAGAAGCAAAAAAGAAGCAAAAAAGAAGCAAGATAAGATAAAATAAAATAATGATTAGTTTTATATAAAGAAGAGGAAAGAAGAAGCAGAAAGGTAGAGGGGGTTTGATTATTATTATTATGATTTTTTAGACATTAAAATATACTTGATACAAGAAAGGTTAATAAAAAGAAGAGGAGAAGAACGAAAGGAATAAAAGATTTTATGTTGATATTAATGTCGATGGTGCTATTAATGTTAATGATGTCGATGGCGATATTGATGTTAGGTGATGTTGATGTTTAGTGATATTGATGGTTATACATTGTTCGTATTATCAGGTCTGATGGCATTTGGAGGAAGGTTGTTGCTTATTCCACTTGTGCCAAAGTTGAATAGATGTGATTGCTTATTGTGCATGTGTTCGAGCCGCTCCAATGCCTCGGCTGCTGTCTGGGGATGGTGAACTGCGTGATCATATGTATTGAAATCACAGGTGAATATAAGATCTACTTCTTCCAAGGACTTTCCCTAGTTATTCATAGCATAAAAAATCAGCAGGATGTTAACACTATCTTTTATACATAGTATATAGTATATAGCATATTCTTTACCATTGTTTCTGGAAGGTATTTGTAAATCACCAAAGCCAATACTGCACAAATGACAGCATAGATTGTATAAAATTTCCATTGAACTTGATCTAGTATAAAAGGAGATAGCTGTATGACAGCAAATGTGGCTATCCAACTGGCTGCTGAAGTGATTCCAAGCGCCTTTGCTCTCACACCTATAGTAACAAATAACAATAATTAATAAGTTTTATTAAAACAAAAACAAAATATACTTTGTATTTGCCTTGGGAATATAATTCGGTTGGATAGGCCCAGCCGGCTGGACCCCATGAACATCCGTAACTAAAGATGTAGACATACATCGTCACCATAAATGCAATCGTGTATCCTCTACCGTCTAATGCAAGAAGGGTCAAACTACTTTCATCTGCAAGGCTGCCTGTTGGTTTTGCAGAGTCGTTGGCCTCCACAGTGCCATGTATACCAGATATTATTGACATTACTATCAAACACATGGAGCATATTATTGATCCCATTACAAGTGTAGGTCGTCTTCCCCATCTGTCCATCTAATCAATCAATCAATTGAATTGAATTGGATTGAATTGAATTGAGGTCAGTAAACAACAGACGATTAATTAAAGTACTTACGATTATAAGAGGTGGGATTGCTGATACACAGTTGATAATTCCGCTTATACCATTAGCTATCGTTAAACCTATACTTATCAGTTGAACAAATTTTGTAGGCACTTTCTTCTTCTTCTTCTTCTTCTTCTTTTCTGTTCTTATTTTATGTATATTTTTAATGGTTTACCGAAAAGAGTGGCATTTCCACCCGATGCGCCGGTTGTTTCAAATAACATTGGTGCATACAACCTTATCAATAGACACATATATATATACATATAATTTTATATAAACAAAAGCAGCTCTTTTGTTGTTGTTGTTGTTTTTTTTTTTGTAAATTATCAAAATAACCTACATGATTGCATTTACACCTGTCAATTGTTGAAAGATCTGAACTGCCATTCCGAGTAATAATCGTCGTTGGTTATTGTCATTTCCACGTTTGAAGAGATACCAATAATCTCCAGAGGTGTGCTGTCGTTCGTAGGTTATACTCTGTTTGATTTCTGTGAATTCCATCAATACATCTGGATGGTCGCGTTTGCCATCGCCACGAATGAGTGCCAGTACTTCAATTGCTCGACGATCTTGTTGTTTCTGAACTAAATAACGAGGACTGAAAAAGAAAAAAATAATAAATAAAAATAATACTTGTTTTTTTTTATATATTATACCTTTCTGGTGTAGCTAGCATGCCTACAAAGAATATTATGGCAGGGATCAATTGTAATCCAAACGGAAGCCTTGAAATGATAAAAATATCGAATATTAATTATCAATAAAGCTACATACTTTTACTTGAATTTACCTCCAGGACATGGAACCTTGTACTTTCAAACCAGCATAATCGATCCAATATGCTAATCCCATCCCAAGTCCAATACTCAATTGTATAGTAGACACAAGTCTACCTCGCATTTCCTTTGGTGCAATTTCGGATTGATCTATATGTTAAAGAAATATAAAGGTTATTAATATAAGCAAACAAACAAACAAATAAATATATATATATATATATATAGATATAGGTATATATTAGTTTTATACTTGCAAAGAGGTACAACTACAGATATCATCCTATAATAAATAAATAAATAAATAAATAAATAATATGTAATGATACACATCTAAAGGAGTGTGGTTTTTTTATTATTAATATTTATTTTATCTAATTATTTTTACCCTACACTGGTGCCTGTCATTACTCGCCCACCATAAACCATCGCAATAGAATCTGCACCGACCTGAAGGACGTCTCCAAAAACAAAAATCGTGGTCCCGAGTAGAGTTAATCCTTTGCGGCCAATGATATCAGCCAGTGGACCCGCGGCAAGTGATCCCACGAATGCCGCAGCCATCATTGTGCTGATCAATAGACTGCCTTGCCGCTGTTGGTCAGCTTGACTCATCAAATTGAATTCCATGTCTTCCAGAAACTGGGGCATTGCTAGTACTCCGGTCAGAACTCCAAAATTGTAACTAAATTTTTGTTTTTCGTTTTGTAGTTGGCGTTGTTATAGGTAATACATCTTTAATATCTTTTATATATGTATATACGCATGTTTGGATGTTGTGTTCTATTTACCCGTACTTGTAGGTTCAATTGACATTGATAAGTTTCGTGATAAATAGACAGATAAAATAAATAAATAAATATATCAAAATTTAAAATATGTGTGTATTAAAAAAAAAGGATAGTTTGTAAAGAGATATAAAACTGTAAAGAAGTATATATTTGATTGCAAGTTAACCCTGTAGAATTCAAATTATTGAAACAAATTTATATATATATATATAATAATAATAATAAATGGCTGGTTTGTTGGGTAAATAGTAGGTATAAAAATGCGCTTACCAGGAACCCGCCCAGCGAAAGAAAGCTGTTATGTATATATAAATTATAATAATAACTGTTACAATTACACAAGCGCTATTTTTTTTTCTTGTTTCTTTTTTGTTTTGCTTTTTATTTTTTTATTTTTTAGGAATCTCGAATGAATTATGACTTACAGACATATCAGGATGACTTTGGTTTTTGTTGAGAATTCAGTATAGTTAATCTTCTTTTTGAGATGTCTCATAACAAGGAGAACGTTATGTGCGTGTGCGTGTGCGTGTGCGTGTGCGTGTGCGTGTGCGTGTGCGTGTGCGTGTGTACGTGTATGTGTGTACGTGCGTGCGTGTGTATGTGTTTGTGTTTGTGTTTGTGGGTTGGTATATGTATATGTATATGTATATATTTAAAGATAAGTTTTGGTGATGATGGTGATGTTGATGGTTGGTGGGGTAATCACGGCAGATAACCAAGCAAAATCAAGTTTATAAATGTATATGTGTATTTATACATGTATGACTATATTTATATATCGTATATACACACATATAAATATATATAAATATAATTATATATATATATATATATGTATGTATGTATGTATGTATGTGTGTATGTATGTAGGTATATAAATATAAGCCTGACAAGTGGTCAGTTGAGGAGTGTTTGCTGAGCTTTAGACTCTTTCTCTATATATTTTTGTCTGCCCGTCTGTTCGTCTGTTCGTTCGTTCGTACTGTATTGTATTGTATTGTATTGTATTATATGTCTGAACTGTTTTTATGCTTGTTCCAATAAATCGTTGCTGCTTATATATATCAAGTGTTATATGATATAATAGGTGTATATTGAATTGAATTGACTGTGGCTGTAGCTGTGGCTGTGGCTGTGAAAATAAAGGGGAGGAAGAGGAGAAATGGAAATAGAAGAAGAAGAAGGAACAGGAACAGGAAAAGGTGGGCCCTTGTTTTCTTCTTCCTTTTTTTTATTTATTTTTTATTTTTCTTTTGGTGTGGGGAAGACCGGGTTGAAAGTGGGGTTTTTTATTTTATTTTATTTTATATATATATATATTCTATAGAGCGTTAAAGTTTTCTTCTATCCTTTGAGTTTAAAGAATTAGAAGAAAGATCAAAAGAAAAGAAAAAAAAATTATATAGGTAAAACCCTATTTTTACATTTTTGGTTTTGCGTTTTACGTTTTGCATTTTGCGTTTTGCGCTTTTTTTATTTTTTTGGTATATAAAAAAAATCTAATTGTTTTATAATACAGAATATCTACACATTTGGGTGCAATCTTTTGCTGAGAGGTATTCAAGTGATTCTATAAACAGAGAAAAGAACAAGAGGTACAAATAACACACACTAAAATAAAACAGTATAAAATACAGTCATTTCAGAAAGTAAAGTCACTGATTTTGAGTTTGATGCTATGCAAAAAATTCTCGTATTCAACAACAAAGAGGTGTTCACGTGTCATGAACTGCGTTTATTTTACTTGGCGTTTTTAGATTTTATATATATAAAAAAAAGGCACTGTGGAAAACCATTTATTGTAATATAAGCTATAAAGTATTCCTAGAGAATGCCTGCTTAAGGCTGATATGGCTGCTATATCTGATGAACATTCCTACAGCTCTTCCCTTTTCATAGCATAAAGCCCAATTGAACCTTCCAGCTGATTGGGCTCTCTCGTTAGTTACAAATGTTGGATCGCCACTTGGTTTCTCGGGAGTTGTTGCTCTGATTGGCGTGACACTAGAAGATTTTGTGTAAAGTTGCCAACATTTGAATTGTCTAGCGAAATCGATTCTATCTTCCGCGTACTGACGAAGTCTTTTTCTGGATTTTTCTGAGTAGTCTTTACTTGTACTTGAGAATTTTTACAAACTGGCTGGCCATAGCATCACAAAACGATTCGGTGCGTCGGGTCAAATCGTTAGTCGTGTCTTTGTCAAAGGAGAAAACATTCAGTTCTGTCTTGTAGATGTCTTGAATAGTCGGGTCATCATATTCATCAAGCATCACTATGCTCTTCTCTTGAAGGGTAAAAATACATGCCAATGCAATCATCGGATCAATCGGAGCTGTCAATGTGTTTCGCAATTGAATCTGCAGTGTATACTTGAACTTGTTTCGCCTATGCCTGGAAAGGATGCGTGTAAAATGGATTGGCATCCGATTTGTCAAATGCCAAATCACGAAACTCCTTTCCTCGAGAAACCATCTGTGCTGATCAATATTAATACAGGCAATGCCTTGACATCATCAAAGATGTTTAAGCAGTACCGAATGGCTCGAGCGACAAATGCATGATTCACTTTGTTCTGTATTTCAACGATCACAGGTGCAAGATCGTGTGCAAATTCCTTGGGCGGGAGATATAATATCAGCCCGTCGACCATCATGTTGTTCATTAGCACCGACAGAGTATGCGTCTCTAGTGATTCCATTATCAATGATTGAGGTGTGGTAATCCAGAAACTCGACAGTTTAATTTATCATATCGGGATTACTTAGTAGCTATCATCTTGTCAGCATATAATATATATATAAGCGATAAAAGGCTTCTCAAGCAGTATTAATTCTTGATTTTTCTATAAACTAAACTTTCAAAAATTAGAGAAAATCAATTGTGATTAAAAGCGTAAAAATGACTTGAAGATGATAAAGAGCTATATCAATCCTTTGAATTTAGAGCAATGTAAATCTAATGCAATCTTATATTTTGTCTTTTTGCGATTTTATCCAATTCTTTGGGTCTATATTTTTATATTTTTATATATTTTTGACACTTTTGCTGTAATTTAAATGTGTGATTTTTCTTTTTTTCTTTCTTCTTCTATAGATTATTTATTATATGAAGGATTTATAGTGGCGGGTCTTATACATTGGTAATCAATGACAAGGGACGCCGGAAAAATATAGACTATATTACTCAGCTTGTACAATCTACAGAGACCTTTAAATTAGTAAAGAAGAAGAATAAAGATCAAGACTTTTCATAGATTACTCTTAAGCTATTTCTTTACTCTATTTCAAGTAGTAAATAATAAGGAGATTTTCTTTTATTTTGTGAAACTAAAGATTTGCATTTTTTTCTTTCTTTATTCTGACTAGTAACATTTATTTATTTGTTTCAATTTTATCGATTAATATTAAAGTACTATTTTTTTTTGTAGATAGATTGTGATCAGGAATTTGGCCTCTTTTACTTTATCAGATTAGCATACACTTATATATATATATATATGTTAAACTCAATTTAACCTATTTCTTCTGTACATAAAATAAAATCTAAAAACAAGAATCAGCCTTGGTCAAGAGAGTTTCACATACAACAACAAGAAAAGAGAGATCCTAAATATAGTGAAAATACTATTATTGTATATTCATACTAAATTTTCTTTTGACGTTTTATGATTATGTGTTTCAGAGAAATATTCAAGGGCAGGCGAGGCGAGGCCAACACTTTGTATCAAAAGTTTCTTGCTTTTGTTGTTACATAAAGTTTGAGTAACGTCCAGAATTTATTTACGGCCTTGACTTCTGCACAGGGTCCTTTAACAAAAGTCAATAAATAATTATTTATCTTTTTTTTAAAAAAAAATCGGTTTAAAACGAATGAACCATTGATTTTTAAGAAGAAATGGTTTTGAACTGTAAGCCAAAGCAAATCTTCAACTCTTAAACTCTTTTGTTCACTTTATCGTATCTGCCCAAGGAAAAGAAAAAGAGCAAGTTGAAAAGGGGGAGGGGGGATATTACATCATTCTCAATCTTTTGTACCACATCATGCTGTTAAACTCTATAGTCTTTTTTTTTTATGTAGTTGGATAATTTCTTCTCTCACTGACTCAGCAATCTATATAAATACAATTATAATATTCCATGATCACCTTAAAGGCACAATGTAACTAAATCATCCTTTCATGGCCCAGATAACCTTAGATTGCTTGGGTGGGTAAGTTAACCTCCAAAAGATACCAATACCCGATACTGAAAAATGAGGTTTGTTGGTAATGAATATGCTTAATTATTATTTTAATACATATATAAAAAAAATATTGATAAACCACCTTTGTAATTTCACCATACTCTAGAGCTCGCATATAATTTGTATCGCAGGTCTTTTAATGGACTATGGGAAATGTAGTGGTGATTCCGGTAGTTATGGTGATGGTGCTTTAAACTTTAGAAGGAAAAAAGAAAATCCTTTTCTTCAACAGTTTCTAAATTTTAGTGTAACCCCGGCCGGAGAAGGGGAGGGAAGAAAATGGTACACTGGACCACAGTAGTACCATTCATACCATATTTGTATTCATTGATTCTAACCAACCGGAAAATATAACCCTAATTTGTGGATGTGTCTGTGTCAAAAGACAGCACAGCAATTGAGTAAAATATAGGCATATGTATGTATGACTATAAGTATGTGGATACTACAGTATCGAGGTGATGAAACTACTGATAATGGGTGGCGTATATTAACCATAGCTATATATCTTGACCAAACAATCTTCTTATTCGAAAGATGGAAAATAAAAAAAAAAACTTCCAGTATTGATTTTGTACTTAAAAAAAAAATGTACGGAAGTGAACCGAACCGAACCGTATCGCATTGCACCGAACAGTACCGAGCCGAACCACAGTGATTAATAACACCATCTTGTTGCAACATCTTTTCAACGCCAAAAGAAGTATATTTTCAGGTACAAGTACAAACTATATATCTATATATTAAACTTGCCTTACTTTTTGGTCGGACTACTGTAATACATTATGCACCCACCCACACACCCACCCACACACACACATACAGACATCTGTATATATTATTGTATAAAAATCTTTATATATTAAAGCAAATAATAATAAAAAACATAAACAAAACAAAAGAAAAATACAGCAAGTAAGGTCAACTACAAGAAAGAAATGTAAATTACAGGCGATATGAAATATAAGGGATAAAGAAGAGTGGGATAAAGATTAGAAAGCCTTAAGAAAAGTCTGCCTGGACATGAATAGGATTCTGGAGTTTGAATGGATGAGCTTCTGTGTTGAACACATATTCATCCAAAGAAATCAAGTTTGGATCACTGAATATAAGGTAAAGATACTTGAGAGTCTCTGCAAAAAAGTAACTGTAACAAAAAAGCATATTTGAATACGGTTTATAGAATATATGTGGTGCTATCAGAAATCCAACACTCAAGTATGAATACAAACGCTAGTATGATATTTTTACCTTTCTTCAAAGTTCAATGGATCAACATTTTCTTTGTCCATAACATTCGCTACTCTTGTGTATCCGCCAGATGTCTTGCAGTATTTTTCAATAGCCTCAAAGATTGTCCATGCCTTATCTTGGTAAGACGGATCTCCAGTCATTCTATAAAAGTAAAACAGACTCTCAAGGGTTTCTATATATATAAATACATACATACATTATCGTTAATATTAATATGTATAGGCTCTTTCTCTTTGTTAGTATATATTTTTACCTGGTCTTAGGTCATAAGATTTATCATTTGCAACAAACCCATCGTCTTTCATCATCTGTTGCATCGAACCAGGGAATTGAGTGTTGTCTTGATCTTTCTGTATCCAACTCCACGACTCTGGTGACAAACCAGTAGGAGTTCGTATCCAAGTATTGTAGCAAGAATCCATAAGCTCTTTAGCCAGAGTGTCCATCTGAGGATCATCCAGATATCGACCACCCAAAAGAAGATTTCCAGGCATAAAGCAAATCTAAGAAAGAAAGAAAAAAATAAAGCATCAATAAATTATAAGATTATTTTTGCTGTACATATATATATATATAACGGGTATATAATGGGTATTCTGGAATTCTTGACGAGAGAATGTACATCCTTTTTTCTATAAGAAATTAAATGAACAAAGAAGAGGTATATTACAAGTTCACCAGACTGTAGATATTTGTATCCATTCGAAAACTCGCTCAAGAACACCATGCCATCTGATGTCTCCGATCTGAGTATACTACGCATACTCTCAACAGCCGTTCGCCACATATCAATCTGAGTCTCTTCTTCTCCATTCATTAACATGTGTGTCTTTAGGAGATATTCATAAAAGCTATCAGCTCCACCAGAGATAGTCACATAACCTATTAAATATCATTATTTGGTTGGTTGATGAGTTTGATATATAAATTCATTTTTTTTGGATCTTTGGTAAACTCACTGTTTATAGGTGTAAATGAACTTGGGTCCCAAGACATTGGGTAAAGACCAGGAATATCAGTATGAACATTGGTCATTCGGTGAATAACATTGTTTGCGAGTGTAGAGTATCGTTCATCGCCAGTAATCTGACTGAGACGAACGAATTCCAATTGCATCGATCCGAATTCTGCCAGCGTTAGACTTTTAGTTTTTAATGGTCGACCACTAAAGAAACAAAGAAATAATATATATATATATACATATATATCTTTTATGCTTAGAATCATATAACCACAAGTCTATACCTTTTCTTCTTTCTTCTTCTTCTCTATTACCTTTCTACGTCTACGTATGCAGCAGGTACACGATTAGGTGTTCCATAGGCTGGTAAAATCACCAGCTTGGTCAATTCTAAAGCCTTTTCTAAAAAGATTGGTTCTTGGCGTAAATCATAGGCTGACAAAAGTCCACCTAGGTACCGAATATTGGTTTCGAATGTCTTTGAAGGATCTTTGGTTGCTGACCAGTCTACTTTGCGCACATGCTCGCGTGCATTGATATACTCATCCTCTAATCCCATAATTATCAGTGTGTCCAGAGAATCAAAGATGGTGGCTATTTACAAAATCACAGGCCAGTAATAACAAGAATGATACACATGTGTAAGTGCAAATAAATAAATGAATGAATTGATATACAGATTAATCAAAACTCTTGTAAATTCCATTCTTGCTACAATTAGATGCTGTCTTACCTCCCCACCCGTTGCTAATACCCAATAGTACATATATAAATGTACGCACATTAGTATCGATCCAGATAACCAATATTTTGTCTTGTTAGACAATGTCCATTTACCGTGAATCTGTAGTTCCGTTTGTCAGTGGTTCCAGTTCATCGTGTCCAAATGCGTGTGTCGAATAACCAGACCAGGCATGTCGAAAGGCATTCTTGATACTTTGGGCTCTAAAGACATTGATATCCTCTTTACTACCATGATCTTCCAACGGAGCACCCGATACACATAGGTTATTTGTGAGACACAAGGCAACAGCCAAGCTCAATCCAATGGACCAATTGTTGTTAAAGATGTGCATTCAACAAATCGCAAAATTAACCAAGAAAAAAAAAGCAAGAACAGAAAACAGAAAGAAATATAAATAAATAAAAAGAAAGAGAGACTATATATATATATATATATAAAAGAAACAAAGGAATATGCGACAATAGAGACAAACAAAATTGAAACAAGTTGAACAAAGAGGTCAAAATGACTTTTTATTTTATAATTTTATAACCTTGTTGAATAATTAACAAATATAATTTTTATCTACACTCATAGAGAATACATGCCGCCGCCGCTGTATTTTTTGTTTTGTTTTATTTTATCGGAGGATATGATAGATATGTAGGTTGGCTGTTTTCACTATTTGTGTAGTGGTGGTGGTGGTGGGGGTTATTCTTCTTCCTCTTCTTCTTATTCTAATCACCATTATTATTATTATTATTATTATTATGAAGTGGTTCTATTCGGGTCATTTTAGACCCAAAATTAAGAGATGTTACGATAAAGAAATATTAAGATAAAGACATGTGTATATATCAAAAGAAGAAGAAGAACAAGAAAAAAAAGGGGGAAAAGGTGATTTAGTTTATTGACCTCTTTGTTTTTTTTTGCGTTTAGTATTTAAAATACTATACCAAGTTAAAAGGCGAATAAAAAAAATAAGAATTAAAAATAAGAGTTAAAAATAAGAATAAGAATAAGAATACTATTATGTTTGTCACCAAGGGTGTTTAAGTTATACATATACATTTGTAGGTTCAAGTTTATCAACCTCTTTATTTTCTATTGATTTTTTATTAAATTTTTACCCGCCTTGTTTATTTTCTATACAGTCTTCAGTTCATTTAAGAATCTCTCATTATATATCAATATCAATATCAATATCAATATATATATTGTGTGTGTGTGTGGATCATGGCGGGTAAATTGGGTCGAGTTATCAAATTAACTCTATTTGTAACCATGGTCCCTAAACCTTGGTTTTTATAAATACAGTAGTATTAGAATAACCACAATACTCTATAATCAAGACTCATTCACAAATCTCTAAAATAGACATCTTTGTATATATATACAGAAATTACAACATACTTTTATATTATTTAAATCTCTACAAAACTAAAGGCACTGATCTGGTTGGTTTAGCTTACGGATCAAATCCTTTACTTTATCATTCAAACCGGTCTTTTTTTTTATTCTTCTTCTAAAAAGAGACAAATTGACATATCTTTACTTGCTGTCAAGGCAAAATATATTTATAATTATTCATTTTTCTCACCACCCCTTCCCTCTTTTCTTTGTGATGCCAAATCAATGTACTTCATAAAGCCAATTGTATCAGCCTACAAACGAATTTTATTTATATACATATATAGGCATATTTGATCTGAGTCTGTTGGTTGGTTTGTTAATTCAAGGAGTATATATGTATATAGCCTTTACATTGTAACCTATCTAAACCATTGACCAAAAGAGAAAGAGAAAGAGAGAGTTCTTAATAAGTTGTTGTCTATTGACTACAGTCATATTGAAATCGATGTCTTGTATTATCATTATTTCACTTCTTTGTAACCAATGTTGTTTCTTTTTTGTCAAGCTTTGGATATTCAAATATCTCTCTGCTTTTTTTTTCAGAATACACTACATGTAATTATATACATATACATCTTGTATATGATATTGAAACTTTTTAAATCAACAAACACACAAACCCAAAGCAACTTAATAAGAATAATAATAATATTCCCTTTCTGTCTGTTAGTTGATTCTGTCAAGTCTTGTGTACACACACACATGCACAAAGGGGTCTAAGAATTTGGTCATTTTAGGAAAGGACAAGAGCTATTTCTCTTTCTAGATATCAAGGAATATGTTTTCAAGTGTCAAGCAAATATAAGCCTATCAGGTTAAATTAGGATCATTTTGCTTTACATAGCTGAAACCATATATAGATATATATTGAGGTCTCTTGATTTCTGTTTTCTTATTATTTCCTTTAGGAGTTTGCACAATTTGAGGGTTATATTAAAGCAAGACTTTTGAGCCTTATCATATTATCTGCAGAATTAAATCAGACTTGACAAAATAACAATCAAACAAAAAAGATGCACTATATACTAGTGGTAGACAGATGAAAATGGTACAAAAATATTCAGTACAAAATATTTCTAAACCAGTCAATAATATCAGGCTTTATCTGCCTACAATAAATAATTATTTGAATACTATCGCCCAGTCTAAAGATGCTGGGCAACTGGCACAAAATTGGTGTATATCAAGGTTTTTATATAATGTCTTTTTTTTTAAAGAAAAAAAAAAGAAAACAATTGTTCAAGATTTGTTCAAGAATTTGTCCTTTGAACAAAAAAAAAAGGGGGGGGGGGGGATAGTTTTGGACAAAATTTATTCAGGCTCGCCCAATCAAATTGATTTATTTTCTTAAAAAAAAAAGTACAAATATATTCTTATTTAGAACAAATTCATCTGGTCTACAGCTGGTTACATCAGTAAAGGAAATCGGAAGATGTATCTACAATTACTGGTTCGGGATTTAAGAAAGGCAGCTCAGTAATTTCCCCACTAACGTCCAATAGTGTTTTATAACGGAAAGCTTTGGCTGCAACAGCCGCCTTGACCTCAACCCTGTCCAGACCAAATCGCATTTTAATTTCCAGGTTCTTATTCAAACCGCTTTCTCCATCTCCAAACTTAAATCCAATGTTATAAATAGCCACTGGATTAACCTCTTCTTCAGTAGGATACTCGGGAATTGGATCGTCGCCATCATATGCAAACACAGCTTGTTTTTTTTGGTATGTCAGATTAGTTAATATGTACAAGGAAATTAGGCCAAAACTTACACATAGTAGAATACTGATTGTTTTCCAAATTTAATTCTTTAGAGATCCATTTATCCTTTAAGATAGGATCACCTTTAGTGATGCACACATCGAATTTACACTTTGATGGCCCTGGGTTACTGAAAGCTTGAGACGGTGTGCATAACATGATACCATATGTACGGCGAGAGGCATGTTGAGTGACTATATTTCGGTCGATGCCGTACAGAAGCGCTCCTTCCATTACAGCCAGTGTTCCAAATCTGACAACCTCAAAATGTTTGACTCGATCCTTAAAGGTTTCCTTGATCCGGTGTTGAAGGTATGGCGAGCTTCCAAATCCCCCGGTAATAAACATGACATCTAGTCTTCTTTCTCCCAGCTGTGAAAATTGTTTTTCGATAATCTCAAGGACTTCCCTTACTACTGGATCAAACACTTCTTCACGAATTTCATCATATGAAAACTCGCCTGCAAATGTGGGGCCATTATGTTTATCGTTACGCATCTCTCTCGTCTCAGGCTCGAACTTGGATACAGGATCACTCAAGCGTTTCTACACAGCATAAAAGACAAAATGTGTGTTAGTATTTATTTTAATAAAATAAGATATATATGTATATATAAAAAGAAAGGGCTTGGGTCATCGATCGCTATAATCCGTCTCATCCCTCGCATATTGAATGAAGAATTAATTAATTAATTATTACCTTTATATTATTGGTAAATTTATATAAAGCGGGTTCTATATCTTCTTCACTATATTCTGGGTACCGATATAGATTGTCTTCCATCAAGGCTTTGAATCTTCCATCCAAGAAAGTTGATCCACAAGAACGGCCGGTTCCTATGGTAATCTCTTTGTAACAGGTTTTCTCCGACAAAACATTCTTTTCAAATACAGCAATGTCTACGGTTCCACCACCGGCATCACAGATCATATAACTCTGGCCGTCCGTGAGTTTTGGACCGGATGTGTTACGCTCAGCATACAAGGCAGCCGCCACAGCTTCATCGACAATGAACAGTCTGTCAGGCTCATCATGTTCTGAGATAAGACCTGCCTTGACAGCAGCTTTTCTCATGAGATCTCTTGATTCATCAGTCCACATTGTCGGGACTGTCAAACAGTATCTATACTTGGAGGTGTAATATTTAGGATATACTTTGTATATATCCTTTTTGATATATTTGTATATTTTCTCCAAAAAATCAGCAATGACTAGAGCAATAATAGCAATAAAAGTTAACAACCAAGCAATAAAATAAAGAAATAGATAGATATGTATATCTAACCGTATGCTGTTTTTGAGATTCTTACTTGTCAATGGAGTCATATCTGATGGTATAGAAGGACGACACTCGTTTTGGATAGTTTTGTCTAGTAGTAGTTTGACTTTGGACACATAATCGTATCCATAGCTGGGATATTTTCTGCGGTACTCGTCAGCCTCTTTTCCATATTTCACGAGTGCCCTTCTATGTGGACTATACAACATCTCGGATTCCATGCATTTGGATCTCCAGGCACGCTTACAGCACTCTGTACTGAGTAGAAAGTATATTAGTTAGGATCAATTAAGTAATCATTTGAAATATAATATTCTAGTATTTAATATATATATATATATATATATATATATATATACATTATGGCTAAAGTTTTATTTAAAGTAATAGTAGTGCTAGTAATGATAGTAGCAATAGCTTTACCAAGCTTACTTACTCTATTGAACAAGTAAAACTAGGTTCTCAGAAAATAAAATAAATAAAAAAGCAGATATCTTACTTATTGAATACATCATTAGGATTAGCAATTTTTGGTATAGGCTCATTTAAGTTCACTACGTCAAAACCAGAGCAAGTTGTTCCAAAATCTAGTACAAAAATAAATGTATATTTCATGTTCATCTTAATATGTAAGAAAAATGTTTTAAAGAAGAAACAACACACAAAAAGCACTTCTTTACCTATAGCAATTAGAAAATCATATTCGCTAGTATTGTTACTATTATTCTTGCCAGACGTAAGATAGGATAACATTTTCTGCCTAGGAAATTGAAGTGAAAGAGTGAGAGGAAAAGTAAAATAAAAGAAAGAAGTGTTTTTATACTATTATAAGAGCTATAAGAATTATATGAATCATTACTTTCCCTATTAAAATAAAATGAAATAATTTGTGTCCCTCTTCTGCTAATGTTGTTGCACTAAAAAAAAACAACGATTCTAACTCATTTTTAGAATACTTCTTTTTTTTTCACTGCTACTCTCAAAGTGATATGAAATATACACATACATGCACATATACGTATATGTACTGCTTTTGTTCTTTGTGTATTTTCTCTTTCTTTATAATATGTAATGTGTATTTGTTTTCCGACGTCCCCAAGCTACAGTTTCAAGCTTATAACTTATATAAAACAAAACAAAACAAAACAAAACAATTGTTGCTGTTACTTTTTTACCAATAAAATAATTACAAGGCCTCTTCTTCTTTGTATTCTGTCCGTTTGTTTAAAGACAGCTTTAGCTTGAGATTTTTTTTCTATTCTCGTAATACTTGCGCACACGAAAAATATTATTTTAAGTTAAAGTTCATTTCCTATATGATATCATTATGCTTTTGCTGTAAGATTTGATGTCCTCACAATATAATAATAATCCTTCTATAAGTCTACACCTCTTTAAGCTTTAATTTTATCATTTTTCATTTTTCATTTCAATCTTCTGATGCAAATGTATCAAGTGCTTGAAACTACTACTTTATATTAACAAATACGAAAACTCACATTTGGTCAAAACAAATCTATTAAAGGTCTTGTTTAGATGAAGTACCATTTATACGTATTTGAATGCAATTAAGCAATATTATTCACCAGTATTTTCTTCTGGCTCTTCCTTCTTTTCACATTTTGGCTTAGAGAGATTGATCGGTATCTGTAAAACAGAGACTATTTCTTCTATTTCTTCTCCTTCTTCTTTTTATTCAGCGATATGATAAACGATAACGTACTCAAGATTTTTGTTTTTAATCTCTTGTCAAGTAATAACTCAGTATAACAAAGAAAACAGCTGCTATGTCAACCTCTTTAGCAAAAGTTTACCATAGTATGGGATCATTATAACCATCTACTCGTTCATTTGTTTATTTATCTCTTTCTCAAATCGATATATCAATGTCACATCTGTCAGTTACTATAATCCTCTTTTTATATAAGGTAGCAAAAGAAAAGCATTCTATTATCTGATTATCCAGCTGGTCAATTACTGGTGATGGAGGGGAGAATTAATCCTTCCCTGGTAGTTCGACGGTCTCACCCAAATCTTGGAAAAGTCATTTCAGACTCGATCTATAAATTTGTATATTTGAATTTAATTTATTGCACAAAATAGTGACTAGTTTAATATGTATGTATGTATGTATATATGTATGTATGTATAATATGAAAATATAATATTTAAGCGTTAGAAGTTAAAAGTCTCAGGGAAGGCTTCCAAACAGCGATTGTGTTAAATAATCGTCTGAAGATGTCTTGTCAATCACTGGTTTGAGGGATAAGAAAGGTAGTTCAGTAACTTTCCCGCTAACATCCGATACTGTTTTATAGCGAAATTGGTGGTCTACGAATTCTGCCTTGACCTCAATCCTGTCCAGACCAAACCACATATCTATGACCAGATTCTTATTTGAAACACTTCTGTCTTTAATGCTAAATTTAATGTTATAAACAGCCACTAGATGAGCCATTTTTTCAGTAGGATACTCGGGAATTGGATCATCGCCATCGTATGCAAACAAAGCTTTTGTTTTATATTTGATAGGTAAAATTAGTTAATATATACAAAGACATTAAGCAAAACTTACATATAGCAGTATAATGATTTTTCTCCAAATCCAGCGTTCTACTAATCCATCGATCTCTTTTGATAGGATCACCTTTAGTGATGCACACATCAAATCTATTACTCCAGGACCTTGGCTCATCGAAGGCGTGAGAGGGCTCACATAGCATGATACCGTATGTGCGGCGCGAGACATGGTTAATTACTATACTTTGGTCGATGCCGTACAGAAGCGCTCCTTTCATTACAGCCATTGTTCCAAATCTGACAACCTCAAAATGTTTGACTCGATCTTTAAAGGTTTCCTTGATCCGGTGTTGAAGGTACGGTGAGCTTCCAAATCCCCCGGTAATAAACATGGCATCCAGCTTTCTTTCACCCAACTGTGCGAATTGCGTTTCGATGGTGCTAATGACCTCATTTACTACTGGGTCAAACACTTCTTTACGGATTTCATCATATGAAAATTTGTCGGCAAATGTAGGGTTTTGATGGGCACCATCACATATTTCACTCATCTCAGGTCTTAGATTGCATATAGAATCGCCAAAGTATCTCTACAAAATATAAATTTCAAATGAATAAAAAATAAGGCTTTGGGTCAACCATTGATATAAGCTATATCATGCCTCGTATATTCAATGAAGAATTAATTAGTTATTACCTTTATAGTATTTATAAATTCATCTAGAGCGGGTTCTATATCTGCTTCAGTGTATTCAGGGTGTTTATGTAGGCTTTTTTCCATCAAGACTTTAAATCGTTTATCCAAGAAAGTTGATCCACAAGAACGGCCGGTTCCTATGGTAATCTCTTTGTAACAGGTTTTCTCCGACAAGGCGTTCTTTTCCAATACAGCAATGTCTACAGTTCCACCGCCAGCATCACAAATCATATAACTCTGGCCGTCCGTGAGTTTTGGACCGGATGTGTTACGCTCAGCATACAAGGCAGCGGCCATAGCCTCATCAACAAACAAGAGTCTTTTGGGGTCGTCATGCTCTGAGATAAGACCTGCTTTGACAGCAGCTTTTCTCATGAGATCTCTTGATTCATTAGTCCACATAGCTGGGACTGTCAAACAGTATCTGTACTTGGAGGTGTAATATTTGGGATATACTTTGTATATATCGTTGTTGATATCTTTGTACATTTTCCTCAGAAAATCAGCAATGACTAGAATAAGAGCAATAAGATATAAAGTATAAGTATAAATATATGTGTATATATGTAGATACTTGTCTCTTGACCATAAGCTGCCTTTGAGATTCTTACTTGTTAGTGGAGTTTTATCTGATGGTAGGGGAGGCAGATCCTTTTCTTCGATGAATCCGTCTAGGTGTAACTTGACTTTGGACACATAATCATATCCGTAGTTGGGGTATCTTCTGCGGTACCCATCAGCCTCTTTTCCATATTTCACGAGTGCCCTTCTAGTTGGGCTATACAGCAACGCAGACTCCATATATTTGAATTTCCAGTCAGTCTTACAGCACTTTGTACTGAATAAAAATAAATAAGTTTAGTCAGAGTCAGTTAAGTAAGTAGTTGAAATAAACTACTCTAGTGTATTTATTCTTCAGCTTATGCTTTACGTATAGCAACAATAGCTTTACTAAGTTTACTTGTTCAATATAACAGAAACAATATGATTCCAAAAGGCAAACAAATAAAACAAAAACTTACTGATTAAATAGATCAACAGCTTTTGGTTCCAGTTTGTTTAAGCTCATTACTTCAAAGCCGGAGTAGGTTGTACCAAAGTCTAATAAGAGAATATATGTATTAATATTATGTTAATATTCAAGAGAGTGTTTTAAAGAAGATATAGCCAACAAATCAACATAAGGATATATATATATATTACCTATAGCAATTAGATAATCATATTCGATGGTCTTATTTGTGCCGCCTGTAATAAATGATAGCATTTTATGTATATAAAATAGAAGTGAAAGAGTAAGATGAGGAGTGAGAGGAGGAGTGAGAGGAGGAGTGAGAGGAGGAGTGAATGAGAAAAGTGATGGGTTTATATAATTATAAAAATTATAAAAATTATTAATACTTGGCTTCTCTTTCTTAATTTTTTTTCCTCTTCTGTTAATGTGGTTGCACAAAAAAAGCATAAAGAAAAATCTAACATTTTTCTATAATACTTCTTCTTTTTACTGTTTTACTTAAAGTAGTATTGAAAATACATCTCCACCCACATATATGTATATAAACAGGTCTTGATCTTGACAAGTAGATCCTCCTTCTCTAAAATATCTAGTGTGCATTTGTCAATGTTCCGAATCTACAGCTCCAAAATTATGGCTTATAAAACAAGGATGAGCATTGATTAAATTTTACACACACAATCTTTTAATTTTTTGTAAAATGTGGTACAGAATTTCAAGCCTTGAGTATCTTTATGTCAAGAGTCACCTAAAGCTGAAAATGAACAGAAAGGTTTTAAAGCGAATGAATAAATTTTATAAATATAAATATATATATATATCTTGAGCAATATTTGTTGTTGTAACTGTTGCCGTTATCAATAGCATAATTACAAGGCTTCTTCTCATTTTTTTTATACATCTTTGGTTTAAAAACTTTTAAATTGGTTTCTTTTACTCTTGTAAGACGTTCCACACAGACATTATTATTGTTTTTTGCTTTTAAAGTCCCTTCGCCATAAAACATCATTAGCTATTTTGGTGTAATATTTTGATCTTTTGACAGAACAGTCATAATTCTACAATCTTGCATCTTTTTAAGATTCTATTTTCATTTTCATTTTGGTCTTCTGATGTAAGTGTATCAAGTGCTTGGCATTACTACTTTATATTAGTAAATAAGAAAACTTACTCTTGGCCAAAACAAATCTAGTAAGCAAAGTTGTGCTTACATAAAGTATCATTTATACGTCTTTGAATGCAATTAAGCTAGGCGTTTCACCATTCTTTTCTTCTACTTCCTTCTTTTCACATTTTGGCTTAGAAAGATTGATCGGTATCTGTACAACAGAGACTATTTCTTCTCCCTTTTTTTTTCTTATTCAGCGATATGGTAAGCCGTTATATACTCAAGATTTTTGTTTTTAATCTCTTGTCAAGTAATAACTCAGTGTTACAAAGAAAACAGCTGCTATATCAACCTCTTTAGCTAAAGTCTACCATAGCATGGGATCATCGCCATATTTATTTATCTCTTTTTCAAGCTAAAATATCAATATCACATCTGTCAGTTGGCGAGCAAAAATTGACATTCATATGTATGACATAAGGCACATTTAACTATCACATGTAAGTTGGCACCTAACAAGTCTATCCATTCTATTACAGTTCCTGCTCCCCATTCCCAGTATTTTCTCTCTCTCTCAAAAGGATTGACTCGAAAACGAATAGTATATTCTTGATCTAGTAAAAAGTTTTTTAATGTGTTTTGCAATCTTAATTTTCTGTACCTAATTACTATACCGAAAAGAAACCTTTGAACAAACAATATTCTTATGTATGTATTATCTCTATGGTAAGTAAAGATATTTAGGGTCTTTATCTCTCTTTTGCTTTCATGATACCTTTTGGCTGCTTAGCCTTTATAGTCAACACTTCTATACAATATATTACACTAGAGATTATTGCCAAAGTGTGTTTAATATATATATTATTGTAAATAGCTTTATGTATTGAATCCTATAAAATTTACTTATTTCTGATGGTACTGATCCATAATACTTAGGTTTATAAACTACCAACTGATATAAGCCATTCGTATCAGTGGAATTGCCATTTTATGAAAATATTATAAAGTATCGAAGCTTTAACTATCATAGACCAGGTGAGAAAGAGAAAGAGATAGAGAATATGATGATAATAAGGATGTATTTGAAACTGAACGATGAAAATATGATTAGAGAAATAAAATAAAGGTAACAAAAAAATTTACAGATAATATGTGAATGTGAAAGGGAGCTCTTTTCTTCTTCTTTTTTTCAAAAAGAAGGAAAGAAACAAGGGACTAAAGGAGAGAATAAGGAAGAGATAAATAATTAACCCCAGACGTCTTCATTGTATTGGCGAGACTGAATGAGTTTCTGGATGAACTTGTCTGCTTCTTCTTCATCTTTAGCAGCGCCAAAACTAATAGCCATGGAACGGAAGGTTGTACGAACATCGCGGCTCATGGCACCACTACCGCAAATATAGACAACTGCCGGCTTCTTGCTCTTGTCAAGAGGAACCATCATACGCCAGATTTCATTTGCATTGGCAAGTACTTGGTGTTGGACATACTTACGGGCCGAAGGAGGGATCTGTCTAGAGTAAGCCACATGGAGGCCAGAGATGACACCTTCCTTGACATACTCGTCAAATTCATCGCCATAGATACGATCCTGGTCCTCACGACGGCAGCCAAAGAATACCAAGCACTCGCCTACTGGGCCAGAGGCGTGCTTGTGCTGGTAGGCACGTTCCTGAAGGAAACCACGGAAGGGTGCGATACCAGTTCCAGCTGAGATCATGATTATAGGAGTTTCGGCATCAGGAGGCATTTCAAAAACACCTTTGGATGACTTGAAATTCGCGCGGAGAACCGCCTTGGACTCGCCGGGAACCTGGTGAGCCAAGAAAGAAGATGCCAAACCAGGATAGTGCTTGCCATTGACAACATCGTCAACTACACCTACAGCCAAGTGAGCCTCCTTGGGGAACAGGTGGGGAGAAGAGGCAATAGAGTAGCGACGGGGCTGCATAACACCGACGGCTGCCATAAACTGTCCAATTTCAATCTTCTGGACCTGAGGGAAACCCCTCTGGAGGTCAAGGAGGGTACGATACTTCTTGGTGAACTCAGGGTACTGATCCTTGTTGTTGACATCGGGCATGGTCAGGCTGTCAAACACCTTGGCAGTCTCGGGTGCAATTTTGTGGAGCTGGGCAGCAAAGTAGCCGAGTATTCGGCGAGAAGGAGGAGACAGGAGATCGGCATAGCATGTCAGAGCGTTGCGGATGGTGCAAGTACCCTTGATAGTTGCAGCCAATGAACGAGGAGAGAGTCCGACAATCGAAGACTGATCAATCTCAAACACAGAGTCAAGGATCATTCCGAAGCCAAGTGCAACAGCCTCGACAATATCGGGATCGTTCTCGGGCATTACTTCGAGATGGTCACCGGGAAGGTAGAGCAGATCATTGTCACCGACTGGGTTAAGCTTAGAGACATCAATACGAATATCTCTGGTGCTTCTACCAGAATCACCCTGCTGGAGTTCCTTGTTCTCGATTACAATAGCATTATGTGTACCATTGCGGTTGTTGAAACCAAGCTCCCATTTTTCGGTGTCTTTTGGTGAGACGTAGTGAACAACAGCCGCCTGAGTAGCCTCATTATTTACACTGGAAGATGGAACAATCGAGGTGTCTTTTGAAATAGCCAGGCCATAATGACTCAGAGTGTGAGACCAGAAATGAGCAGACCTAAAAAATTATATATATATATAACACATACATACATACATAATTGTGTTAGCTTTGATGTTTTGTAGTGATTAAATTCAAGAAACTTACCATTCATTAAAGTCAGAATCAATGTCACCATCAGTGTCTCCCTTCCCAGAAATGAAGAACCGGTCAGCACCAAGATCATCAAGACGGCTGTCGACCTTGATAGGGAAGTGCTGGTATGTACGCCAGTTCTTGTTACCGATACCGAATACAGCGTACTGAAGTCCATGCAAAATCTTTTCGTTGCCCTGGGTATCAGATTTGTCGAGGAATTTGTCGAACTTCTCAGCATTGTCGGGGGGCATACCATTGTAAGTGGCTGTACAGACAACGACCAATTCGCGGTCCTCATTTACTCCAGTAGGGCCTTCGTATCTACCTGCCTTTAGAACCTTCCACTTGTCCATGTCAGTCAGAGTAATGTTCTTGAAACCGAATTGGCGGGCTTGGTTTGAGAGAACGGATGCATAATCCTGAGAAGTGCCGGTCTGTGTTCCGTACAGGAATGTAATTGGAGGTAACTTGAGCGTGGCCATCTCAATGGACTGACTCAGCTTGGGCATCTTTTTTGCAAGTCCAGTGGATTCTTTGGGTTTGTAAGCCTCGGGATTGATAGAAGATTCGGGGAAGTCGGTACGGTCATGGATTGTCATAAACAAGTCTACAGGCTTGGTTGTAGGCTGCTTAGGATCATACTTGACAGGAGGACCATCTGATATATACATATAGGCACAGAGAAAGAAAGATGAAAATATTAGAATTATTATGAATGCATACCAATAAACACACTTTTTTTTTGAAAAAAAAATACCATAACAGAATTTGAAACGGTTTAAGAGCATGGCGATAACAGTCTTGGCTTCCTGGAGAGCAAAAGCCATGCCGATGCATGCACGAGGACCAGTGCTGAAGGGTAGCCATGCAGCCTTTGAACGCTTCTGTTCTTCTTCAGGAGTCCAACGTTCGGGATCGAATCTGTATGGATCGGGATAGACCTTGGGGTTCATGTGAAGACCATAGAGTTGAACAGATACAGAAGTACCAGCCTCGATTTTGTACCCACCAGGGATAATGCAATCCTGCTGACAGTACTTTCCTAGAGCACGCACAGGGGGGTGCATACGAAGGGTTTCCTTGAGACACATGTGGATATATTTAAGTTTGCTGATTTGTTCAGAGCAAGGCAGGTCTGTATGTGTGATGCCAACATTTGCGATCTCCTGAAGAATCTTGGCTTCGATATCAGGCTGGCGAGAGATTTCGTAGAGGAACCAGGCAAGAGTGTTGGCTGTGGTATCGTGGCCGGCGATCAAGAAAGTAACGACCTGGTCACGGATGTTTTCGTCAGAAAGACCCTGATGATGCTCGTCGCGGGCGTTCAACATGAATCCCAGGAGATCCTTTTCGATATCATTGGCATCCTTGCTCTGCTTGCGTTCCTTGATAACCTCGTCAACGATGGTATGCATGAGTTTTACTTCACGGTCATAGCGACGGTTCATTTCGAGAGGAAGGCTCTTGATAAATTGAGCCTGAAGGAAACGAGCTATACTCTGCTTAAGACAATAGGCCATAGCTTCAATAAAAGGATGTGGGGGTGCTTCACGTTTTTCGAGAAGCCCAAATTCATAGCCGAAACCGATCTTGCCAATGGTCTCGAAAGTGAGGTTTGTAGTCCAGTGGAGGATGTCTACTTTCTCGTCTGGTTTGTATTGTTCAAAGATACGGATCGTATCCTGGGCAATGATGCCCATTTCTTTTTGATAAACCTTGGATCCAAATAAAAAATATATATATATCATTAATCATTGGTCTTTCTGTCTTGAGAACATACTAAACTGTAGATTTCCTTTCTAAAAAGATATATATAAATTTGTACCTTGATAGCACGAGGACTGAATGCGGGCATGAGCAACTTGTGAGCCAGCTTCCAGTCGGGATCACTAGTATCGGTTGTAAATAAACCTTGTCCCGCAAAAAGTTTGATTTCCTTCAGAGCGGCCTTGATTTTTTTGGTAAAGTATTCGTTTTCTTTGACAAAAAGTTCGGCGACCTCTGGGTCGCAGGTTGCTATAACTCTATTTCCTATGATATTGACATCGACTACGGGACCATATTTTTCGAAGAAACGAAGAAATGCAGCGTTCCTGGAGAAACAAAAGAAAAAAATATCAGTAAAACTCCAACCTTATTCGCAAAAAAAAGGGATGCTTTATATATGTCTGTGGCTATTTACATGTCTGGCATCATTTCATAAAGATTTCCTATGTAAGGCAGCTTGGTAGGACCAGGAATTACAGTTTTTATTGTATCTTTGGGATTCAGGTATACGACTTTTTGACTGCGAATTTTGTCGATTTCATTTAAAGGATTCCCCTCCATATCTTCAAGGACGATATCAGCAGTCGGACCAACAAGATGAAGTTTTTCGGCTGCAAGATTACGAACAGTTTCCACACTGGCACCGTTTCCTATCTGTATTATATATCCATCTTCTTCAAGATCATTTGCACCTTTTATGGCCACGATTATTGATGTTGTATTGACCACCATATTATTTATCAAGGAGATGTATTTGTTTGTTTTTTTTTGAGTTTTTTGTTGCAAAAAAAAATAGTTTTGTAAAGTAGAATAAGATGCAGAAAATTTGGTCTCCATCGAGTTACTTATACCCTTTCTTGACTCCGAGTTTGGAGAATGTTCTTTAGCCAATTACGTGTGATGCCTAATGCGTTAAGTTCTGTCATGGTTTATAACCCGACAAAGGCAGGAAATATCGTAATTGGAATTGAGAGTAAGACTCCTGCAATAACTTGGACATATATTCCTTCCGTTTCCTTTCAGTGACAGCGAAAGAAGATTGATCGAAATGAAAAATTGTAACACAAGTCCAAAGTGTCAGTCTGACAATGAAAAACAAAAAATTATATACATATCTTACTCCGGTGGTTTTTCCGGATTGTGTACGAGTTGCACAAAAAAATGATCGAATCTAATTCCCCATGATTCAAAAAATTAGAAAGCTTTCCAGTAATATTTAAGGTAAATGGTCCTTATATGCTTGTTATAAAGGTATAAAGAATGTGATGCTAACTATCTGAATATTGTTTGATTATTTTACATATAGATATATGACATATTATGATTAAACAAGAAAGAAAGCTAGAAAACCTGTATAAGAATCAATTTTTATATCGTAACACAGGGGTCAGTTTGAGATTCCATCTTATGGCTTGTGGTTGATGTACTTTGATCATCTCAACATGGTGAGCCAAAGTACCCAGCTTTATTTGGTACGCACATTATGGTTGATTGAATCATATAGATTTGGTCTGTAATATTATATTAAGATCAATTAAGCAATATATTTCATTATCAAATTTGATTCTACTTCACAGAATACAACGGTTAATTTAGAATATTTGATATCATCTACACAATAAAGTCAAACCAGGGTGTATATGGTAAACATCGGTAGTATTTATAATTAATTTACTCTAATTTATTTATAGGAAGATCATATAATATTTTATTGTATTTAAAAGCAAATGGAAGATGATGAAAAACCATATAGACCCATTATCGACTATGGTTTAGATGTATGAGAGATTCAGTATCGTTTATTACAAATATCAAAGGTAAAATAGGCAATGACTCTTACGTGGGAATTTTACTATTGTACTGAGCAACTACGTGAAACGTAAATAGATAAACAAGCTTATTAGCTCTTTCAGCTTCTTTTGTATTCCATAGTGGGGGTTCTATAGCTCTTGTTTGATATACATGTTATTATTAACCTTCTGTTAGCCTATACCAAATAACCGTATGCACCTATATTTTAAAATCTTATTATTTTCAGAACTCGGGAATTATTCTATGCAGCTCAACAAAACAAAAAGAAAACTATTATTCTTATAGGGTAAGATCAAGAATGATGTGTACTGGATGTTTATACCATCATAATAAAAGATATATATATATATATTATTGTTCTCTGACCTAACCGCCTCGATTCGATCATTCGGTATATGGTTCAGCCTTTATTGATACTGTTCGTACTGCATAAATACACACACATATATATATAAAGCGGTTATATCTGGTCATGATTAATTGTCCTTACTTGGAAATCTCGCGAGTTTGGTTATTTTCTGGATGTGATTTCAGTGTGGCAAAATGCTGGGCTCTATTTTGGTGTTACGAACCCAAGATTGGGTTTTAAGGAAATAGCAAATAATAGGTAACCACCTACACTCAAGAAATCTTTTGGTATTTGTGAATATCAAGGCCCCTCCCCTGTTCTTTTTTAATTTATATAATTTCAGCCAAGGTCTATGTTTACAGTAATATTTTATAGCCAATTGATGCTTTTTCTTTGGAATATAAAGAACAAATTAATATCTTATTTTCTCTCAAATTGTACATTCAGTAATTTTGCCGGCTGTTCATCCGCAAATCAAACACCATACGACAGAAATGAGACCTTATCTCTGTAATAATACTTGCAGAAAGGTACCTCCATTCCAATAAAAAAATACAAGGACTTAAAAACAGATAGTCATTATAAATCATAAATGCTAAATCCAATCCATAGACTTATACACATACACATACATAACCATTATTTTTAAAGAATAATATATATACACTCGAGTGTAATAGGTCATTAGACGGTCACAGATTTTTTGATTTTTTGATTTTTTTATGCATTATCAAAATACTCTTTTCTTTGTAAAACCACTAAAAACTCTTAAACAAATAAAACAAAAGCACAAAATGACTCCACCAACTTCTAGCATCACAAAACCCAAAAGACAAGAGTTAGATGCGTTCATTAGGGGCCGAATTATAGGTCAATGGGAGAAGGACGCTACATATGGAGAAATCTCTAAAGCCCTTGACATTCCGAAGAGCACTGTTGGAAATGTAGTGAAAGCCTTCAGAGATAAAGGTGTTTCCAAGCCCTTGACACGTCTAGGAAGGGAACCAAAGGTTACAAAGAGAACACAATCTGCGATGGTGCGCTCATTTCGTAGTGAGCCATTCGTGTCAATTGCGGCTCAGCATCAGAGATTAGTCGATGTGGGAATCTCCATCTGCATGACTACATTCCGTAAGAACATGGAACTTCTTGGCTTTAGTTCTCACTCAGCAGCTCGCAAGCCAGGGTTGACCGAGAAACAGAAGGAAAACAGGCTGAAATGGTGCCTTGACAAAGTGAATTGGACTGTTGAGCAGTGGAAGTCAGTTGTCTGGTCAGACGAGTCCAGATTCATGGTAGTTGGCAATGATGGAAGAGTCAGAGTCATCAGAAAGACTGGCGAGAGGTTTGACAAGAACCATATTGTCCAAACATACAAGTTTGGTAAGGGTTCCGTCATGATTTGGGGTTGTTTCTGGGGTGGGGGTCTTGGCCCCTTGGTAACATTGAAAGGAAACATCGATCAAGACAAGTACATCGACTGTTTGGCTCAGTACTTTCTTCCCTGGTACGAGGAACTGTCCAGGGATAATAACAAACAGTTTTTGTTCCAAGAGGATGGTGCACCATGCCACACGGGCACTTATGCCACATGGTATAAAAAAGAGAGGTGTCTAATAGATAGCTTTGATTTTTGGCCTGCCCAGAGCCCAGATCTTAATCCTATCGAGCATATTTGGGCTCATCTTGCGAGGAAACTTCGCAAGAATAGAGCACAAGTAACCAATGTGGAAGAACTTGAAGCGGTAATCCACAAGACATGGTTGGAGATACCACTTCAAGTTCTGGAAACTTTGGTAGCCAGCATGCCAGATAGGCTTAAAGAAGTAATCGAGAGAGGTGGTGACACAACTCATTACCAGAGCTCATACCTTTTCTCTTAAATATATATATAATAAACTATGTTTTCTCTAAGTTTTGCTTTATTCTGAGCACATTTTATTATCAACATTATTGAAAAGAAAATATCGTCCATAATATGCTTGAAAAATAATTTTGAAAATTAGAAGACCGCCCAATGACCTATTACACTCGAGTGTATATATATATATATATATTAGCTAGGCCTATTTTTCTTTGTTTTGTTCTGAGAAATCATATACCCAAATATGACGCCCAGTTGTTGCATTTGGAATACTTCAATGGCGTTATAAGGTCCCTGATAAAAGGATCTTTCAAAGAGGTCGATATAAATTATTATCCAAATCAAATATGTTTGATTTATCATCATTAGATCAGCTTTAAAAGGTACTTTGGGTATTATAACCAAAACTGTCAACAACCACTAATATACAGGGCAACTAGATATATCTCTAAACCTATACACACCATTGCTAAAAGAAACCCTTAAAGACTTAACTCGATTCGCCTCGAGATATCTTCAAAACACAACAGAGTCTCAAGATACTTATTACTCCAGAATTACATAGCATAAATATCACATAGCTATTGTCGTATTCTGTTGCTGTTGTTTTTAAAGTATGTGATATACATAAAATATGTAATGGTATATCATTGGATTAATATAAAGAAAGATAGACTAAAGAGGTAGAATATATTAATTAGACCATAAGTCTTCAAAGAAAATACTCTGCCATCCATTCAATCAGAAACATCTTTTTCATTATGACTGAAAATGGTGGGTTTGGTTCGCTATAGAGTCGAGTATTCTTTTCTCCACTGATATCCCACACAGTAATGTATTCAAAGTTTCTGTCTGCAATCTCCACTTTGACTTCAATCTTGTCCAGACCAAAGCGGATTTTCATGATCATTGTCTCTGGATTATCCTTTTTAGCATCAAGTTTAAACCTGGTGTTAAAAATGGCTACCAATTCAATATCTTTGGCAGTAGGAAACTCGGGAATCTGATCATCATCATTATCATCGTATGTATACAAAGCTGTCAATTTAAATTATATATTTTCATTAGTTTGTTTATGTCCCATGTTCACACACACACAGAGTACTGATTTAAATCTTACATATAATTGGAAGTGTATTGTGTTTCCAAATCATTGACTTGGTAACCCAAGTATCTTCTTTAACTGGTTCACCTTTACGGATATACACATGGAATTTGTCTTTCTCAGATTCGGTGTCTTTCTTAGACCTGTCATCTGGTGAGCATATTTTAATACCATATGTACGACGTAGGATACGCTGAGCAATCGGGCGTGGACTCGCACAAAACAAAGCAGCTCCTTCTATTACAGCCATATGTCCGTTTCCAATAACCTTGAACTCATTGATTCGGTCACCAAAAGTATCCTTGATCCGTCTTTGAAGATATGGTGACCTTCCGAATCCTCCAGTAATGAACATGGCGTCTACATTTCTGTCTCCTATCTGCGCAAACTGTTTCTTCATCATCTCTAGAACTTGAGTTACTACTGGATCAAACACATTTATGCGAATCTCATCTAGCGGTATACCATCAAAGGTATTTGAACCAAAATCAACCGAATCATATGTCGTTTTTGGAGAGTTAAGCATAGGACATTCTTTCATGGCATCGGTAATATCAAAATATGGCTATATGTATATATGTATATGTATATAAAGATAAAATAGAGAATAACATTTAAATATTATCATCATAGGATTGGACCAGGAAACAGTTGCTTTATTTTATTCAACGTACTGTTTTTACTATTACTATCATTATTTACCTTTAGATAATCTCCAAATGCGGTGATTTTATAGTCTTGGGCGTGTATCGCTTTGCCTTGTCCTTGTAATACGCCTTTAAAACGAAAGTCCAGATAAACGGATCCACATGAACTACCGGCTCCTACAGTGACTTCTTTTAAGCCGTTCATTCCCGGTGAATCGTCTTTTTCAAATGTCGCAAGATCTACGGTTCCACCACCAGCATCGCATACCATATAAAGGCTACCATTAGTCAGTATGATTCCAGGAGACATATGTTCGGCATACAGAGCAGCTGCCACAACTTCATCAATAATCAATAGTCTTTCTGGCTTATCGTATTTTGTGATAAAGCCAGCTATAATAGCAGCTTCTCTCATAATATTCTTGGATTTTTCAGACCACATAGTTGGAGCTGCCATACAGTATCTGTATCGGGAACTGTCAGTACATGTGGGGAACATCTTGGGTGTTGATTTATGAGCATCTTTACGGATTACTCTTAGATAGTCAGAGATGACTAAAGAAAAAAGCACACACACAATGTTATATGGTTATATCGATTTATATACATATTAATCTAGTTAGTTTTAATGAAACCTTTTCTTTCTTTCTCTTATTTGACTTTACGTTTTAATAGAGTCGTATTGTATGGCATTTCTGGAAGATCTTTTTTGGCGGGACCGTCTATCCAAAGTTTAATTTCGCTCGCATAATTTCCAAAGAAGCTTGTCGCAACTGATTGATAGTCTGCCTCTCTTCCATGATAATATTTATTTGAAAAAATTCTATACTGTAACGTTGATGGTTCCTTCTCATCTTTAGGTCTATAATTATATAAATTTCCATATACGAATACACAAGTAATTCAAGAAAGAAAATAATAGAGTATTAGGTTATAGATTAAATTTATGTATATTTTGGATATAAGAGGATCAATTATTTTAGATTATTAATATTAATACTTCTTTACTAACTAACTAAATAAATAAATAAAAATATTATTATGAAAATACAAAGCTAGATAGATAATCGATATCTTACGTATACTTGTGATAAAAAATCGAATCAGACCCAGAATCATAATCATATGTATAATCAGGATTAGGCTCAAGACCATTCAGGTTCAATATCTTGAAACCCGAAGCAGTGGTTCCAAAGTCTAATATTATCAAGGTATTTAATATGTGTTTAATATGTATATAAATTTTCATAGACGAATAAAACACAAAAGAGATATTTACCTATAACAATGGCAATATCATAGGTCTTTAAGGTACTCGACATTATTGATACTATGTATTTGGTCGCCTTTCTTTATTATTATTAAAAAAGACTATTATTTTATTTGAAGGTGAAGAAAAGGAAAAAGAACAAGCTTATCGAATGGGGCTCAAGATGATATTTTATAGCTTATATTTTTTTACTCGGGATTTCATCTGATATTGTCGTACGAGAAAAAAAGGGAAGAAACTTAAAATTCATTGCGGGGCCACTCTGTCTAATGATGGAAAGTATGTTGTTACTTTTTTTTTCTCATCAAGTCTTTGCAACACATACTATTTATAGTGTTGACTACAGAAATTATAGACATGTATTATAGTGCAAATCTAGTGTAAATGAGATCCTGTTATATAGCAGTGAAAACACTTCACGGAAAAAAGAAGAATGGAATGTAATGTAATATCAAGATCAAGGTAAAGAGGAGCGCCTAAAGTCACTCATAATAAAAGTAATTCTCGTTAATTTTAGTCTAAGATTTGTAGAGATAAATGGGCTTAGAATACAGCTTGTACCCAAAAAAAAATATTACACAAACCTATGACTATAACACACGCATTAATTGTACATGAATCTAACAATAACCGCAGTCTTCTGGTATAGGTATACACTCCGACGATAAAATATTGTCACTTCCCCATAAGTATACCTCTTTTTAGAGCACACCATATTTCTTTTCCTTTTGCAGAACCTTTTCTTAAAACTAAATCACTCATGTCATCAAGAAATAAAAGAATCAGAAGTCCTTCAAAAAGATGTGAAATGTCAGAGTTTGAGCGTGGTGACATTATTTGGCTATATAAAACCAAAAATACCCCAACTGAGATTGCAAACCACATGGGTATCCCTAGAACGACAATCAACACCACTATCAAACGTTGGGAAGAAACTGGTATTGCAAAACCAAAGACCAGGCCTGGGAGACCTAAGAAACTTAGTGTCACGGATGTTACAAGCCTTTTCTTGAGCGTGAGGCGTAACTCTTTTGAGAGTTATGCATATCATCAAAGGAATATGGCAGCTGCAGGTGTCATCATCTGTAGAGACACAGTTATCCGATACCTTAAGGCCAAAGGCTTTGGTTCTTACACCTCTGTTTCTAAGCCAAACTTAACCCGTGAACAGAAGAAGAATCGGTTGCGTTGGGCCAAAGCTAGAGCCAGCTTTGGGATTGAGGACTGGAGTAGGGTGGTGTGGTCAGATGAGTCGAGGTTTATGCTGAAGGGCAATGATTCTGACCCAGCCGTGATTTGTAAGCGAGGGGAGAGACACCAGGAACGTCATACACTAACAACAGAGAAGTATGGAAAGGGTTCCGTGATGGTGTGGGGTTGTTTCTGGGCTGGTGGTCTTGAACCGTTATCGTTTCTCGAAGTGTCAGTAGACCAAGACGCATATGTCAATTGTTTGTCTCAGGACTTCAATCCCTGGTATAAGAAATTAAATATTGAACAGGACACTATGTTTACATTCCAAGAAGATGGCGCTAGTTGCCATACTGGGACTTATACGACGTGGTGGAAAAACCGTTGGGAAATTAAACGTTTTGACTACTGGTCATCACAAAGTCCAGATTTGAACCCCATCGAGCACGTCTGGCATGCCCTAAAATTCAATGTTCAAGAGAGAAAGGCCTCCATAAACAATGTTGAAGAGCTCAAGGCTTGCATTCTTCAGGAGTGGGAGAGACTTGACCCAGAACTTCTTTGTACTCTTGTAGCAAGTATGCCGGATATAGTCCAAGCAGTTATAAAAGCTTGTGGTGACCACACCACATACTAAACCCTATCTTATTTTTTATTTCTATAATACATATACTTATATCTATAGTAAAACGAAGTTTCACTTTATTCAGTCGGGTTTTTTAGAAGATATAATGTAAAGAAGTGGATATGTAGTTTATTCGGGACTAGAAATCAAGGAATCTGACTGTGATCTATTCGGCACGAGCATGTAGGCAAACTGGTTTTTGTTGCCTTGGGTGAAAATGGGTTCTTTGGTTCACTCCATCCTTTCATTCTATTTTTTTTACTGAGATCCCACACAGCGAAATATTCAAGATCTTTTCCAGAGATCTCCACTTTGAATTCAATATCGTCTAGACCAAAGCGCATTTGGATAACCATTACCTCTTCAGTGTTTTTTATACCATAAAGTTTAAATTTGGTATTAAAAATAGCTACTAGGCCAATATCTTTTTCAGCAGGATACTCGGGAACTGGGTCATTGCCATTGTATTCACACAAAGCTGTCAAGTTAAATAATATTTTTTTAACATTTTTTTTCATACACATACTTACACACACAGAGAGAGAGACTATTAGTTTAAAGCTTACATATAATTGGAGGTATGCTTTCTTTCCAAACCATAGATTTGGTAACCCAGAAATCCTCCCTAACTGATTCACCTTTACGGATGTGCACATGGAATTTGTCCTTCTCGGACTTCATGTCTTTATCAGACTTGTCATGTATTGAGCATAGTTTGACGCCGTATGTTTGACGTAAGGTATGTTGAGTGGGTGTGTATTGGTTACAGCCAAACAAAAGTGTCCCACTCAAAACTGCTGACTTTTCGTTTTCAGTGATCTTGAAGTAGTTGACTCGGCTTCTGAAAGTATCAATTATTCGGGTTTTAAGATATGGAGACTGTCCAAATCCTCCAGTAATGAACATGACATCCAGGGTTATGTCACCCAGCTGTTTAAACTGTTTCTCGATTGTATCAAGCACTTTGTTCACTACGGGATCAAACACTTTTATCCTAATCTCATCCGCCGTGAAGATCTCATAATCGCTAATTTCTCGCAATACATCATCGGGGACTTTTGTGCCGTACGAGGACTCGGCTTCTATCAGTTCCTGTGTAGAATAGACATTAGATAAGTCCATCGAGTGTTTGGTAGCCCAGATTTTTTTGTAAACCCGACCATAATGATAGCAATCATTATCGATATAGTTGAATGAATCTCCATAAAGATGACCATCACCACAAAATTTTTTCTGTAGAATAAAATAAAATAAAATATTGCTTTTTGTTAAAATTTACGATAATCTTCAATGCTATGTTGAATCAAATGTATATACTACCTTTAATTCGTTTTTAAAGTAGTCTAAAGCAGGCTGGATGTACACTTCGCTGTACTTGAGAGATCTAGAAACTTTCTCTCTCACTAGGTTTTCAAACCGAGTATCCAAAAGAGTGGATCCACATGTACTACTAATTCCAGGGGATACTTCTTTTAAACCGCTTGCTCCTGATGAATCGTCTTTTTTAAATGTAGCAATATCCACAGTTCCACCGCCAGCATCACAGACCATATAGATGTTACCGTGTATAAGGTTCAGTTCAGAAGATGCACTCTCAACACCGAGAGCAGCTGCCACGGCTTCATCAACAATTGATAGTTTTTCAGATTCGTCGTGTTTTGTAAATAAACCACCCAGTATAGCAGCCTCTCTGATAATATCCTTTGATTCTTTGGACCATATGGTTGGAGCAGCAATGAAAATTTTGTAGTTGAACTTAGAGTTACCCTCGAAGTACTTTGCGGGCACTTGTGTGCGGATATGCTCGAATGTTCTTCTCAAATAATCTCCAATGACTGAAATACAATATTAAATATAACTCGTTTATACTTGTATAAATCTGGCTTCATTTTGTTCAGTTTTTTATTTATTTATTTATTTATCTTTCATTCTTACTTTGCGCTGGTTTCATATTTTGTGGTAAAGGCGGGAGGTCTTTTCTGCTGTTGCTGTTCAACAAAAGTTTGATTTTTGGCACATAATATCCACTGACAGGATTTCTGTTGAATTCATTATCGGCTGAGTGCCCACAAAGAAACTTTTGGGAGGTTGTTATTGATCCTGTTGAATATTTAAACGAGGGTATGCTGTATTGTACACTATGGGGACTATTTTGTACTTCAAATTGTGATAGTGGGTTTATGCAATTCCAATAGAACCCCCCAATACCACTACTGAAAGGTTTATTTTCTTCTATTAGTGGTGTTCTATCCATTCCCGTAAAAATACTATAGAAAATTGATGACGGCTCGATATTTGTTATTAAATGAGGCATAGAACTATTCACCCAGAATATAAATACAGTAAGTTTCTGCTATTAAAATTGGATCTTCTTATAATATTAAAGATAGTGAAACTGTGCAAATTGAAATTATGTAGTTTATATCTTACTCAGGAGAGATACTATTAGGAACGCTTTCACCATTCAAGAATTGAAGTGAATAGCCAGAAAAAGACGTTCCAATAGCTAATAAACATATTTATTTAAGGATGATTTTAATGACAATTATCTGCAGGAGGATGACAAGCCTTTGCTATTGGTTTTTGGCTTACCTAGGGCGATTGCAAGATCGTATTCACCCGAACCGTTTGTCATTATTAAAATGTGGGTTTGACTATGACTATAAAGAGTGTGTGAGAGAGAGAGAGTAGAATAAGCTGCAAAAGAAAAATACCTGCTTCCATTTTTGCTTTATGTTATGTCTATTTTCAGGGAGAGTTTCCGAATATTGTCGCACTAAAACTTAAATTCATATCTAAAGGCTAAAAATTTATTGGCCTTCCTCTCATTGTATAATTTCTACAGCACATAAGGATTAACACTATTATCGATGATGGCTCTCACGGTAGTTTATAATCGACACTTGACGGCTAGGGTCAAGCTCAAGAAATAAAACAAAATCTCGTAAAGAATACAAGTTAGAGCAGCTTGTAGACTACTCCTATTTTATCTGAAACTCTTTTCATAAAACTGCTAGATCTGTATTAAAGGATGAGCAGAAGTGTTACTCCCGATACAAATAAATGCACAAGCCGAGAATAATTGTATGGATCAGCTTATGTTCTACAAGTTCAAGCCATGCATTTTTTTCCCCTGTTCCTGTCTGCTGACACGTAAGGTCTTGTAAAGCCAAAGAGGATATTTTTTTTCACTTAAATTATTGAATTTTACCATTCAATTAGATATAATTCATGATAGTATTGAGACTAAAGTTATGAAAGTTTGTCATATTTTACTGAAACCATTCTCAAGGTGTTTATCGGTCTTTTAATGGGTAGAGCAAAGCTTGGATTCATAAAGCAACGCACTTAGTCTACAAGCGAGCCTGGGCTTGTTAAATTATTGATGCTGTGACACTTGAGGTGTGCCCAATTGGTTGCAAAACCAATCATCATTTTTAAAAAGTGTAAAAACGCAAACAAACATTATATAAATGTAAATAGTTCAAAGAAGAAGAAGCAAATCAGATTTTTATCATTGAATTTAAAAAGGAGGCAACCTTTCTTTTTTTTTTGGAATCGAGATTACATGTACTGGATTCCTAATGATCTTGCGAATGGTATTTCTTTTTGCTCACAATACAAATTAAACTTAAAGATATGCCAAAATTCTTGGATTTCCCGAATGCGTCATACTTTCTTTCTTTCTGACATCTGAATGCAATTACAACAAAAAATCTGTTAACAATTAGAATCCAAGAAACACTGCATTCATCATAATAAATCAGTCCAAAAGCACGTAAAAAACATTAAGCAACTTCTTTCATGTAAGAAAAAAAAAGTTGGAAATGTCATTGAATCATTGTCTACCGTCATTTGTAACATGTACAATGCTGATTTACAACGATCAAGATTATGTATGAGAAATTAGGTTTTACAAGTAGTAGTGTTTTCACATTTTATCTGTCTACACACATACTATTTAATGATATTAAGATGACTACTTCATAAGAATCTTCCACTATCGTTCAACTTTAAGACCTTAAGTTTTACTGCTTCAATAATTATTATGTAAATTATTATTATTCTCATTCACAAAATTCCAGGAGGTCTCTTTTTGTTTTATGAGTTTAAGAGACCCCACTACACAGATACCCAATTGACGAATAGTACCAGCCTTTTATTTATATAATACAAGTTTGTCTTCCGTCTCTTTCTCTTTACAACATCAGCGAAATCAAATTAAAATTGATTAAGCAAAAATTAACCTTTTTCTTTTGTTTAGAAAAAAAAAATGAATGAATTTACTGGCGAGCAGCAATTTCCTTGGCAGCCAAAGCAGCGCGCTTGGCCATCTTGGCCTGAGACTTGGGACCGTTGATTCCTCCACCCCAGACACGTCTGTGCTCCTCCCACTTGTCACCAAAGTTGGTCTTGACGGCAGAGATGAGGTTAGCGAAATCAGCCTTGTCAGCCTCCTTAAGGTCGGTGAAAGCAAGAGCAGTGGCGGTCTTCTTGTGGACGACGGTACCGAGACGTGCCTTACCCTTGACGATGCAGTAAGGGATACCCATCTTGCGGCAGAGGGCGGGCAAGTAGAGGACGAGCTCAATGGGGTCAACATCGTCGGCAATGACGACGAGCTGGGCCTTCTTGGCCTCGATCAAGGCGACAATGTGGTTGATACCGTACTTGACAACAACGGGCTTGTCGGTCTTGGCGACCTCCTTCTTCTCAGCCTTGGCAGCAGCAGCGGCGCGGAGACGGTCCTTCTTCTCGGCCTTGGTCTCAGGTCTGTACTTGTTAGCCAACTTGAAGAGCTGGGTGGCAGTGTTCTTGTCCAAAACCTGGGTGAACTGGTTCAGAGCCGGGGGGACCTTGAGACGCTGGTAGATGATCTTCTTCTGACGCTGAAGACGAACATATGCGGGCCACTTGACAAAGCGAGAGACATCACGCTTGGGCTGGATATCCTGACCTATAAGTTATTATATTTGTTAATGATTTGTTTAGGAGATATATATATACAAAACATACCAATGCCAAAGTTCTTGGGACGCTTCTCAATCAAGGGGTTGACGGGAGACTTGGAGGAAGTCTTTCCCTTGACGGGGTAAGGAGCAGGGGCGACCTTCTTGCCAACGGATTTCTTTGCGGGAGGCTGTCATTGAGTGTATGGATTGATCAGATTCAAATTTATAATGAAAATCCACAACTCTGATCAAAAACACTCTAGCAGTTGCCAGATTCAAACCCCAATTTTCTTTCAAAAAAGTGATTATCCAACTGAACAACTCAGCCCAAAGAAAGAAAGAGAGAAAGAGGTTGAAGTATTTGATAAACAGCAATAAGACCCAATTTTTTTTCTTTTTCTTCTGGTCTCAATCTCTTGCTTTCTTTCTTTATGCGCCTTCCCACCACGGAATGGATTATCACGGCCATCTTTAGATCTTTAGAGTAATAGAAGAACAACACAAAAGAAACGACGAAAAGAACAACGAATCTGGGATGACCGTGACAAAACCAAGGCTTGTTCCATGAGGGAGACGGAATACAGCATGCTCCAGATTGGATATTGATGCATCCCAGGCGTACGGGCAATGATACAAGTATCATTACGAGCTAGAAACCGAAGACGTGTTTCCTTGCGATCAGTATATTTTATTTAGAAACTTACCATAATGAGGATGGATGGATGTGTAAAAGAGAAAGAGGAAACGGATGGATGGAGAAGCTTCAGGTTTTGCTCTTCAAATCTAATAGCCCTGTCCAATCATATTGTCTGAAAGAGTCGGCAGCCAATTCTTTTATTCCATTCCATGTTTTAATTTATTTATTTTTGGTATATAAATAAATTAGAATAAAAATAAAAGTTGCGTGTAAAAAGTTTGTGCGTGTAGATTATTGAAGGTATATGAAAATGAATTTTTCTTTTGTACCTAAGATCTTTAATTGTACTGAAATATTACTAATAGATTTACTATAAATAAAATAAGAGAAAAAAAAAGAGAGCTATTATACATACAAATTTAAAGACTAATACAAGGCTACTAGATGCGTACCACAATCAGTGAAGATTTAAATCAAGCAGTTTCATTCAGCCTAAAGGTGTAAAGAAAAATAGAGAATTAGGAGTGATAGGTGGCATTCATAGTAACCAAAAATAAGTTAAAGTAATAATCAAAGCCAAATACAAAAAAAAAAGTTTTCCATATGCGTTTCCATGGTGATAAAAATAAAAGTATATATCCGAAAATAAAAGTAGACTGCAAGGTAGTGTCAAGGGAAGAAAGAATTTAAATGTGTACAAAGCATCGAGGATGTACAAAGTAACAGTAAGAATAATATTAAAAGCTTTAAGGATAAATTTGAAAAGTACCTGTATCTGTAGAATACAATCTATCATATAGTCTCTATTCAATTTTTCTTTCTTTCGCCTTCTATAGTGTGAGTGTATATCAGTAATTTCATTAGTGTAAGAAGGCCTATTTATTAATCAACCAACCAATGATCAATTTTTCTTTACTATTGTTTCTTTGCTTTTGATACGCTTAAGGACAGAATTCCTTATGTTGTAAATGAGTATTGACTACTGCTGTAATTGAGAATAAGTCTGAAGGAAATAATATAAGGCCTCAGCTATTCCAGTCAAAGGTGTCTACCGATTACTTTATTATTTAACACACAGGTTTAGCATGCATGATAGTGATTATATTTCATATGATGATATCACCATAATATGGGATACATCAGTGGATTATTATAAGCATAATTATAACTCATAAACACATTTACTTTCGATGTTAATACTTCATTGGGACTACACACATTTATATAATTAATCATACATTAATTATCCCAAGATCACGTTGCTCTGATTAAGGCTCAGATAGGATCGATTACCTGACCCCAGTCATATAATTTTCCCAATCCAAAACAATATAAATAGCAGTAGTAGTTCAGTGTAGGAACCTCGTCAAACTTTGATACAAAATCTTTCTCAATAAACAAAACCTACACAAGTTCTCACGAATCTTCGTTCCTAATTTCAAATCTTGAATTCTTCCTCTTAAAAACTTCTTCAACTTCAACCACCACAACACCTTATTTTAACTTTCGATTTTATATATATTTCAAAGTAGGATCATATCACTTTACAACAAAGGACCGAGAGAAATCCTGATTATAATAGAGATTCAGGTATTGTATTGATATTAACATTGAAACATATCCAAAAAGAAAACAATTGAGAAAATATATACACAGGGGTTTCAATTTGATTTTTATCATGCAAATTCTTACCTTGATATTTACAGAAATAGACAACCTACACTATACTACACTATACTACACTAAACTATGCACTATGAAATATACGCTAGATCAATGTAAGATTAAGCAAGACTTTGTCAAGTAAATAGCAGAAAAAAATTGTTTATTTTGAAACAGAATGATGAAAATATGATCATGAGAGATATATAAAGAAAGAAAAGAGGTAATGAATTTGTACAAAAAAAATGTGTGTGAATGAGATAGGAAGGGGGTAAGAGTTTTTCTTTTTTTTTCTTTTTTCTTTTTCTTCTAGCAGGAAACTATGTGTATATCTATTGTTTGTTTATTTAACCCCAGACATCCTCGTTGTACTGGTGATCTTGCATAAGCTTCTGGATGAACTTGTCTGCTTCTTCTTCGTCCTTAGCAGCGCCGAAACTGATGGCCATAGAACGGAATGTGGCACGGACATCACGGCTCATGGCACCACTACCGCAAATGTACACAACTGCGGGCTTCTTGGTCTCGTCGGCAGGGACCAACAGACGCCAGATCTCATTTGCATTGGCAAGCACTTGGTGCTGGACATACTTGCGGTTTGAAGGAGGGATCTGTCGAGAGTAAGCCACATGGAGGCCAGAGATGACACCTTCCTTGACATACTCGTCAAATTCATCGCCATAGATACGATCCTGGTCCTCACGACGGCAGCCAAAGAATACCAAGCATTCGCCTACTGGGCCAGAGGCGTGCTTGTACTGGTAGGCACGTTCCTGAAGGAAACCACGGAAGGGGGAGATACCAGTACCGGCTGAGATCATGATCATAGGAGTCTCGGCATCGGCAGGCATTTCAAAGACACCCTTGGATGACTTGAACTTGGCCCGAAGCACGGTCTTGGACTCACCGGGAATCTGGTGAGCCAAGAAGGAAGAAGCCAAACCAGGATAGTGCTTGCCATTGACAACATCGTCAACTACACCGACAGCCAAGTGAGCCTCCTTGGGGAACATGTGAGGAGAAGAGGCAATAGAGTAGCGACGGGGCTGCATAACACCGACGGCTGCCATAAACTGTCCAATTTCAATCTTCTGGACCTGAGGGAAACCTTTCTGGAGATCAAGAAGAGTGCGGTACTTCTTGATGAACTCGGGGTACTGATCCTTGTTGTTGACATCGGGCATGGTCAGGCTGTCAAATACCTCGGCAGTCTCGGGTGCAATCTTGTGGAGCTGGGCAGCAAAGTAGCCGAGGATGCGGCGGGAAGGAGGAGACAGGAGATCGGCGTAACATGTCAGAGCATTGCGGATGGTGCAAGGACCCTTGATGGTTGCAGCCAATGAACGAGGAGAGAGGCCGACAATCGAAGACTGATCAATCTCGAACACAGAGTCAAGGACCATTCCGAAGCCAAGTGCAACAGCCTCGACAGTCTCGGGATCGTTCTCGGGCATGACTTCAAGATGGTCACCAGGAAGGTAGAGCAGATCATTGTCACCAACTGACTCGAGCTTAGTGACATCAATGCGGATATCTCTGGTGCTTCTGCCAGAATCACCCTGCTGGAGTTCCTTGTTCTCGATTACAATAGCATTATGTGTACCATTGCGGTTGTTGAAACCAAGATCCCACTTTTCAGTGTCGCTGGGGGAGATGTAGTGAACAACAGCAGCCTGACTGGCTTCCTTGTTTGTGCTAGAAGAGGGAACAACCGAGATGTCCTTGGAGATAACCAGTCCATAGTGGCTCAAAGTGTGAGACCAGAAATGAGCAGACCTAAAATTATTAAACGCAAGATTATGTTAGTTATAATGCATTTTGTGTGTGTACAAATGACAATACTACTACTACTAATAATAAAAACTTACCAGTCATTGAAATCTGAATCAATGTCACCATCAGTGTCGCCCTTTCCGGAAAGGAAGAATCTTTCGGCACCAAGGTCATCAAGACGGCTGTCAACCTTGATAGGGAAGTACTGGTATGTACGCCAGTTCTTGTTACCGATACCGAATACAGCGTACTGAAGTCCATGCAAAAGTCGCTCGTTGCCTTGGGCATCAGATTTGTCGAGGAATTTGTCGAATCTCTCAGCATTATCGGGGGGCATACCGTTGTAAGTGGCTGTGCAGACAACAACCAATTCGCGGTCCTCATTTACTCCAGTAGGGCCTTCATATTTTCCGGAATCCAAGACCTTCCACTTGTCCATGTCAGTCAAAGTGACATCCTTGAAGCCGAACTGGCGGGCTTGGTTGGAGAGAACGGAAGCATAATCCTGGGAAGTACCGGTCTGAGATCCGTACAAGAAGGTAATTGGAGGCAACTTGACAGAAGCCATCTCGATGGATCGATCCAACTTGGGCATCTCCTTTGTAGGGCCTGAAGCTTCCTTGGGCTCATAAACTTCGGCATCAGCAGAAGGTTCGGGGAAGTCAGTACGATTTTGGATGGTCATAAACAAGTCGACAGGCTTGGTTGTAGGCTGCTTGGGATCATACTTGACAGCAGGACCATCTAATATATGCACACAGATACAAAAGAAATAAAGATGAAAATATTAGAATTATTATGAATGCATACCAATAAACACACTTTTTTTTTGAAAAAAAAAACATACCATAACAGAACTTGAAGCGATGCAAGAACATGCCGATAACAGTCTTGGCTTCCTGGAGAGCAAAGGCCATACCGATACATCCACGAGGACCAGTGCTGAAGGGCAACCATGCGGCCTTTGAGCGCTTCTGTTCTTCTTCGGGAGTCCAGCGTTCGGGATCAAAGTTGTATGGGTCGGGATAGACCTTGGGGTTCATGTGGAGACCGTAAAGATGGACTACAGAGGGAGTATCGGCCTCGATCTTGTATCCACCGGGAAGAATACAGTCCTTTTGGCAGTACTTTCCGAGCATACGAACGGGAGGGTGCATACGAAGGGTTTCCTTGAGACACATGCTGATATATTTAAGTCTGCTGATTTGTTCAGAGGAAGGCAGCTCAGTGTGTGTGATTCCGACGTTTGCGATCTCCTGGAGAACCTTGGCTTCAATTTCGGGCTGGCGAGAGATTTCATAAAGGAACCAGGCAAGAGTGTTGGCTGTGGTATCGTGGCCGGCAATCAAGAAAGTGACGACCTGGTCACGGATGTTTTCGTCAGAAAGACCCTGATGGTGCTCGTCGCGGGCGTTCAACATGAATCCCAGGAGATCCTTTTCGATATCGGTGGCATCTTCGCTCTCCTTGCGGTCCTTTATAACCTTGTCGACGATGCTGTGCATAAGGTTTACTTCGCGGTCATAGCGACGGTTCATTTCCAGAGGAAGACTCTTCATGAATTGAGCTTGGGAGAAACGAACGATACTCTGCTTGAGACAGTAGCCCATGGCCTCAATGAAAGGATGTGGGGGTGCTTCACGCTTTTCGAGCAGACCAAATTCATAGCCGAAACCAATCTTGCCAATGGTCTCGAAAGTGAGGTTGGTAGTCCAGTGAAGGATTTCTACTTTTTCGTCGGGCTTGTACTGTTCAAGGATACGGATGGTCTCCTGGGCAATGATACCCATCTCATTCTGATAAACCTATTGATTCAAAATTATACAATGCGATCAATATTTCTCTCTTTTATATATGTATATATTTATTTATACTATAGAAAATTTTTTTAAAAAAAAATTAAAATTTACCTTGATAGCACGAGGACTGAATGCGGGCATAAGAAGCTTGTGTGCCAACTTCCAATCGGGATCACTGGTATCGGTTGTGAACAAGCCTTGTCCGGCAAATAATTTGATTTCCTTGAGAGTGGTTTTGATCTTTTTGGTAAAGTATTCACTCTCTTTGACAAAGACTTCGGCAATATCAGGGTCGCAGGTAGCAACCATTCTAGTGCCCAGAATCGAGACGTCAATCAAGGGACCATATTTTTCAAAGAAACGAAGGAAACCAGCATTCCTATTATATAGGAAAATTTTAAAGTGTCAGTAACAAAATTTTAAAATTTTAATTTCTTTTTTTTTTTTTTTTTTTTTTTGGTCTTACATGTCTGGCATCATTTCATAAAGATTTCCAATATAGGGAAGCTTGGTAGGACCAGGAATGACACTTTTAATTGAATCTTTTGTGTTCAAGTATACGACTTTCTGGCTACGGATTCTGTCGATTTCATCCAATGTGTTTCCTTCGGCATCTTCAAGGACAATGTTGGCTGTTGAGCCAACAATATCAAGCTTTTCTGCTGCAAGATTGCGGACGGTGTCTACACTGGCACCGTTACCGATTTGGATAATATAGCCTTCTTCTTCAAGATCCTGTGCACCTTTGACGGCCACAATTAGCGAAGTTAAATTTGTTGACATTTGTTATGATTTTTCTTAATGTATGAATTGTTTATAAAAGTAGGATAAAGATGGAGGGAAAAATAAAACTTCGGCCTCGTATTTATACATTTGTTGATTCTGAGCTAAACGGAAGCTGCTTTTTTTTTATTGGCCAATAAAGTACAATTATAATGTATAATGTACAATGTACAATGCGCTTGATGATAGACCCATTCTGGATGGGCCGAAATAATAAGAATAATATTAAAAATCTTATATATATATATATATAAGAAGAGCTCCGAGAGTTTTTCCATTTTCTACTCAGCCGTGCACGATAATAATTTTAAAGAAATATATAAAAATAAAAAATATAAAGTCGGATCAGCGGCTGAGATTTAATCTTATACGGCAATCATTTCAAGCGTCATATACACCAGACAAACAGAGATATACGCACAGAGAGGGCGAGAGGCCTAGAGATAGGACCCTTACAAAGATAATAAAAAAAAACTGGTCCTTTTATTACGCTTAATATTATATAATTTTTTAGAGATGTTTTACTATCAATGAATCAATGAATCGATAGATAAAGGCCTTTTTGTAAACAAGTTATTTAAGGGGTTGTAATACAGGACAAGTGGTATCCCCAGGGAATTCAGTTAAAGGACTATTTGAGGGCTAATGTCTATTGTCCCTAGACCAGAAAGTATGATGCTAATTAGGTCTTTGGGTCTATTTAGGGCATGTAACAATATGGTTGGCTGGTTAAATAATATATATTTAATAATTTAATAATTTAATAATTTGAAACAAAAATCGTAAATAATAAGAAACACTTGGCTAAATCTGTTTCGATTTATCTGGGTTGTTGTTCTTTCTTATTATTTAATGAACTCATTCACATCAATAATCTATTATCAAAATTTTAAAGCCAAGAATAAGAATGTTTGATATATACTTTCCCATATTGCACTGAAAGGCGTCAGTGAGGGTGAAACCTACAGACGCTAATTATTGACTATGATCAAATTGATACCAAAACTTTAAATAAAAGATTTATTATTACAAATCCTTTGTAGACAAAGTGCACTATACCCTCTTACGTGCAAATTTTTATTTGGTATCCAAATAAAAAGGAAATTATAATACGTCAATTGCATGAAATACCTCGCAATATCACTCCAAAGAACCTCGCATTTTTTTTTAAAAAAAAATTATATATGTAAATATGTTCTTAATTGGTTGAGCATTCAAGGTCTCACACCGAACTGGCTATCATTTATCTATTAAACATAATTATACAAATTGGCTATATACAAGTAATAGTCATAATAACACCTGAATACTTTTTATTTTATTCATAAGTTTTACAATTTTTTACAAGACTAAATCAAACAATAATAAACCATTATCATTTGGCTTCAGAAAAAAAAAGATCAAGGCTGGTGTGTGCTTACTGCCTGTACTATATTTACATCAAAGTACTATATTTGACTTTTAAAGAAAGATAGAACAAAAGAAATAGCTCAACCAATTGAACAACTTACAAATGAAATGTGTAGATATGAAAGTTACATAGTGATACTATGTACCAAAGAAAAGGATAATCAAAGGACAAATATGGAGATTTTCATTTTATCGGTGTAGGGTTCAGCCATGTTATCAAAGAAAAGAAAAGAAAAGAAAAACCTTGTGTATATGCAAAACGTGCACAGCACAAAAAGTAATACTAATTCATTAAGCGAGTACAATCCTGTCATATTTAACTTTCCTTAATCAGAAATCTCGCGATCTTGCTTTGCTTTCCGGGTGTGACCTCGGCTTGACGAATAATAATAATAATAACAATCGACCGGCCTTGTCCACTTGTAAACCAAATGAATGAAATGGATAATTAATTAATTGAATATATATATATATATATATATATAAGTTAAAGTAAACTATATTAAACCACGCGTACAAGACGTACAAAGTGTACAAAGTATACAAAATGAATAGAATGTATGACCACGCGTTTAAACGTGCTACTACTGCTATTATTACTCTTAATGAAGCCTCTTTACCTTATTTTATTTTAAAAAAAAAATTAAGCTTGAATAATTACATCTTTAAGGTGTTAAACTTTTGTTGCTGTTATCATTGTTCAAATTTTATGTACTAGCTGTTTTATATTACGCTACCAAGAAAGAGAACAAGACTTGTATTTCATTTTCCTTTAAAAAGTACATTAGATCATTTGCAGGTTATTTACCCACACTAAAGCACTAAGCACCAAAACTAATCCCTGTTTACTATCTTTACTTTATTTTTTTCTCTTAAATAAATAAAAAACATTATTCAAAAGATATACTTGAATATCCAATCTTTGATCTCATTTTTTGTTCAACTAAAGATGTATACAAGTCTCTTTCTTTATTTTTTGAAAGATAAGCACACACGTTAGTGCTTCTCAGAGAAATGTACTATTAGTTAAAGTATATATAAATACCAGATAAGAACCCTAGGAAAATAATTCAAAGTATAAAATATAATAAAAATCACTTGGGGACTATATAGAGAGATTGCTTTTTTTTTGGTAGCAAAAAAAAAGTGCCAAGATTAGTGTTAGTCTATTCTGTTCAGGGATTTATCATACTATCTGCAAAAACCAATCGTGTCTTGAATCATTTATAGATTGCTATTAAAGCAAATCAAGAACCAAAAAAAAATGGAAGAAAATGTGCCACACTACAACCTAATTCATTCCGTAGTTTCCCTGACAAAATACAATCATATAAGGCTATTATATTTATATATTATTCTATAGTTTTCTAGTGCACAAATATTTTTCCCGTTGTAGATCAATGAACTAACTTTGACGTTTACAACTTCAGAGTAACTTTATTAACCCAAAAGACAAAACATACCTCTTCTTTTAATAGTACAAGACAAACATACTAGACAAGTAGTTGGGTTATCAAATTATAGTATGTTTGACTTATCTTAGATACTGTAAAGGTGTGTACGGCCTTTTCGTTTTGTTTTATTTTTGACATAATAATTGGTAGTCTTTATCTATTAGATCATGGTAAATAATTCTAGAGACAATAAGAATACTAATGATCGTATAGTATTTTAGTAAAAATATTACTTCATTGATCTTGTATCATTCGGCTAAAGAAACTTGAATGATTTTTTAGATATACACATATTCACTCAAATTAAAGGAAAAGTTCTTTCATTGATTTTAAACTATAGATAGATTTATTATCACTTCCTTACACGAATGAAAATAAGTGTCAAATTTTGGCTGAAAACGAAAAAAATAAATAAAAAAAATGAATTCAAAATGACAAAGAAGTAATTGGTGACCGGGATATTCCGCAACCACAATTTATTTTGTTTCAATCTCTGTAATTATATTGACCCTCTTTTGCCTAATAAATGAACACAGCCCCCCCATAAGGATAAGGTATCTGTTATTTACCTATCAATTCCTTATTGACCATGTTAGTCTATCTTAACTGTAAGATCACAGATATAGAAAAAAAATAATATTCATAGACACAAGAACCATAGTTTTGAATGTATGTTTGTGCGTCTATGTGTCTATAATTCTGGACAGGATTTATAGATATCCACAAAAAAAAATTGAACGCTCCGATCGTCTGTCTAATGTTAAAGTATAGCAGATAAATGGCATTTTGCACGCTTTTGAAAAGAAAAAGTAAGTGAAAATAAAATCTTTTTCACAACCAGCCCAAATTTTGTCTTTAATTGGATTTTATTTATGTTAAACCAAAAATAACAGCTAATTTTGGTTTTTATGCTTATATAACCGGCACAGCATTTACCCAGACCATCTGTACAATCTTTTAAAACCAAAACCAAATAAATTCTTACGAAGCATTTATTGTTTTGTTTATTTTTTAGTCATTTATTATACCTCTTTATCTTTTTTTTTCTCCTTTCTCCATTGTCCTCTTTTGATCGTATCAAGATTTACGTTGGATAATAGTTTTATTCCACAGAAATAAATGAATAATTAAGATGTACTCAAGATAGTAACAGTAATATCTGATTAAAATATTGACCTTTTGAGTGCAGCAAGAAAAGAAGAAGAAAAAAAAAAGAGTAGGAAAGAAAGAAGGAAAGAAGCATGAAAAGAGAAAGTGAGTATAGAATTTATTGATCTGGAATATCAAAAATTTGAGTATTTTCTGTAAAGAATCGGTACTATTGAATTATTGTATATTGTATATAATAATGTATATATATATATATATATATATACCAGATCCTCCCAGCCATCAAGGTATATATATCATACCGTACTGGTGGAGAGGATAGTAAAGAGGTACATAGTTAAAGAAGTAAAGAGAAGATATCAATACATCGGTAACACAGGTCAAATATTTACCATCGATCAAAACTTTTAATCTGGTACATATAATAATATATAGTAGGTACACACCGAGAAGTTACTCGATCGCTATTCACACCTCTTTAACCTCTCCTTTTCTCTTTCATATACACAAGTACAATTGCATAGATAATGGTTTTAGATACTTGTACAACCCACATGTCAATCTTGTCATGGTTAGCAAAAATGCTGTAAGGGACCAACCAATCAAATAAATAGCTAAGATAATCATATCATCAAAGTAACTGTTATTCTGTGAGAGTTTCTTCATGTTCTTTTGAACACTCTCAAAATTTTAATTAGCACATATTAAAGTTTGTCTTTTAATCACATTAGCCATCTCAAGGTCAAATATCATCATCCCGAGACCTTTTATTATTATTAGCATCAGTCTTATAAAACAAGCTCTTTTTTCTTTCTTTTGCATAAAACTCTTGTATTCAATCATACATATATATATATTGCTCAAAATATTTTATGGGTTATAATTCGTGACTACTCGTCGGTATTCCAAAAAAAAGGCGCAATTGCTGTGAGTAATATGATTGGATAATATTGCTTTTAATTTTCCAAAAATAATTGGGTCAAAATGTGGGGTGGACAGACGAAATATCTCTACAAAAACTCAAACGACTTTGACTGGCTAGTCGTCTTCAATTGCCACTTGAATTGAGAGGATTATGCTTTTGGTGAGAGAGATGGGCTACAGGGTGTAAGACCTGGGAAACAAACAACTAGAATATTTCTACCTAATGGAAGAAGTGGTACTATGAGCACTTTAATTTTATCTAATATGCATTTGAATTAATTTTGGATTTTTTTTTAGTCTGTCCACACCAATTGTCTAGTAGATTAGAAATTTTGAGCAATCTACATTGTATATATATATATATTTTGATTTTTTTTATTGTTTCTTTCTCATATATACATTCGCTACTTGTTAATATTTATAATAAATATATAAGCTCATTGTGTATATCCCGTGTATATCCTGTGGGTTATCCTGTGATGATGCGGGTTATCCTGTGATTATGTGGGGAGGTCGAAGAACTATATCTCTTACCAATGAAAAATAAAGCATATCTTTACAGGATTGATACTGTTTTGACTATATCCACAAATGTAGTAGGCATTTCCTAATCCTACATATTGTTTTTCTGATTATTATTATTATTATTATTATTATTATTATTTTTAAGGTCATGCTTAAAAGCAAAAAAAGCAAAAGCAAAAGCAAAAGCAAAAGCAAAAGCAGAAGCAATATATATATAAAAGACTCTCTCATTGTAGAACATTACTTAATTTAGTATTAGGAGGACCTTAATTGTGTGATTCTGGGGTACATTTGTAAGCAGGTTCCCTCCCTTTCTCCCTTTCTCCCTGCCTCTCTGTATGTAAATATACATGCGTGTTTGTGTGTTCATTTATTAATTTGCTCCTAAAAATACCACTGGTAATTTGTACAGTGGTGTTTTTGCTTTGTTTATATAGCTATATAGCTATATGTGCACAGAGGTATAAGTACAAAAGATGCATAAATACTTCAATACACATGTACGTAAAGATATACAAATTTATAGATGTATGGGTTTTGTCATAATTCATTTTCATTAAAAAAAAATCAAATAGCATAGGGAGTCGATTCATACTAATGTCAAGGAAACCTGTTCTTTTGGTTTTCCTTTTCTTTTGTAGAACCTGACACAATAAGTATCAATAAAACATGTGGGCCAGAAGCCTCATCTCACCAAGATTAGTTTTAAGCATAAAAAAATAAATTATTATTATCATCATTATCATTATTCATGTGTAGGGATATCAGCTCCCAATCTTCCATTACTACTTCTTCTTCTTCTTCTTCTTCTTCTTATGATTCTTTTGGTCGTGGCTTTTTCTTCTTTTCGATTTATTTATATATTGTGCTTGTCCTTGTTCTTGTTCTTCAACACCGCCAGTGTTCTGTTACACTTGAAATCTAATTCTAGAGTGTTCTGTACCCACAAATGACTACAACATCTTTTTTTTTTTATTTTTTTTATTTATTTTTATACTTGACGTCAGATACTTTAATATCTCTTGGCCCAAGAGCAAGAAGAATAACTAAATTAAAATAGGGTAATATATTTTATATAGGTATTGAGCACACCTTTTTATTGAAATAATAAATAATAAACAAAAAGCCTCAAAAGGATAATTTCATAAAGTAGTAATTATCCAAGCCAAGCAAAGTTAAAGGAATCTAGACACCAAACTAAAGGACGGATAAAACATCAAACGTTTCTATTTGGATTCCAACCTTTATTTCTTTTTCTCTCTTCTTTTTCAACGCCCCTTCCTCCCCCTATTCTTTATCATTATTTTACAATAAACATATATACAATTTTTGGTGTGTGTATATAGCTGTTTAACAATAAAACAAGTAGTATTTTTTTGTGATTGAAAAAAAAAAGTACAAAATATATAAGCTATTTTCATTTATGTAATTCAAACAAAGAACAACCTTCTTTCGCTTATCTACTACACACAGTCAAAAGATTGTTTATTTTTCTTTCTTTCTTAATTAAAATTAAATACATACATAGATACAGATAATTTATATATAAAGTAATTCAGACTTTTGTGGGCTGTGATTTGAATGCACACTCATAATTACAGCCTATCAATAGCAATAATATTGTTGTTGTTGCTTATTGTCAACAAAGATGTACAACAATGGTTGATTAAATCGCATTATTTTGATATACATCTTAAACTCACTGAGAAAAACAAATTAAGATGTAGACTATTGTCATTTCGAATCTAGCGCCACAGTAAGCCGACCCGGGAAGAAAGTCATTTATATATTATATATATAAAGGAAGTTCTGTGGCATTTACCCTGTGCCGCGCAAGATTAGATTTTCAAGTGCTTCTGACAAAAGAGTACAATACACCGAAGCACTGTAGTGTTCTGTGAAACATTAATACGCCCCTTTACACACACACACATGTATATATATATAGCCCCTTTAGTGCCAGACCCAGAATCCATATAAAACAAAGCAAAGAATTGGTCTACTCTTATTCTCAAGATAAAATTCAGAGTGTCTTGTTTGATTATCTGAAGTAGTTCCTATGTAGATTAATGATAAATATCGCTCAATTTTTACCAGGAGAAAAAAAAACACCTTATTGTGTCGGTAGACTTTCCAGTCAAGACATTGTGCTTATGATATTCTATTTTTGATTTATTTCAATAAAACTACTGTTAAACCATTGATATTTTTTCCCCTTTTTGCCTAGTGTTTTTTAAAGAGAGTGGAAAATAGGTAGTGATATTATAAAGTTATTAGATCCATAGGGTCAAGACAGTAAAGAAACAAAGAGAGAAATTAAATTAAAAATAAATAAATAAGATGTCATTCAATAGTGATAGTAATTGTAAATAGTGGATAGAAACATTAATAGCTGGATAATAACCAAGGAAAGCGCAGCATTTTCCGGGGTAAGCAATCGCCACTCAAAACTTGTACTTTATACATACACTGCACATAAAAGAGAGATCAAGACTCAGGTCAAGAATCAGGTTTGGAGTTCATTACTAGAGTAGTTAGACTCTTGGCTTAACGAACCTGGGTGTACTTCTTGAAAGTTAAAACCATTCATTACACACACACAGATATATATATATATATACGTTGTTATTATCGATTTATCAAGATGGGCTAATTATCTTTCTACTTTACTTGCGATTTGATTGGCTGAGCATTTTGTATATAAAAATACGTACATGATTGAATCTATCTTTTCTTACTATTACTACTATTATTATTATTTCGTGTAGATAAAGTATATAAGTAATAGCAAGACTACATTACATTAGACTACAATAAACTACATTATACCTATACCTATGCCTATACCACCACAGGCACACAGGCACACAGGCACACAGGCATACAGGCATACAGGCATACAGACATACAGACACAGACACAGACAAAACGCATGACTTTTGGTTTGTGTGAGGAATAATAAAGTAATAAAATAAATAAATAATAATAATAATAAAAAAAGCTCCTGTGTTGCTTTTGTGCTGTACAAATAACTCCTCTTTCCCCTTATTTTTCTTTCTTTCTCTCGCTTGCTCGCTCTACTCACTCTATTTCATTTCTCTCTCTTTTCTCTCTCTTTCTCCCTCATAAACTCTACATACACATATAATATATATATATATACACCTGCTATTCACTCGCTCTTTACTTCTCCCCTATTTTTCAACTTTACTCTGCGTATGCCTATCTCTTGTAACTTACTTTGCTAGTCTAGTCCGTCCTCACTCGTAACTCTCTTCCCCCTCTTTCTTCTTCTTCTTCCTCCTCTTCTTCTCTTGTTACTTATTGCCCTTCATCTTGCATCATCAGTAATGACAGAGCAACCATCTCTGATGTCTGACCTGGATAATCTCGATCGTCTGGACCTCAATCAGCTCTCCAGAAGTTCACCTTCTCGTCTCCCGCCTTTTCCTCTCAAACACTCTCGCAGTCAGCAAAACGCATTCAGCGACTCACCAGCATCTCCCCCGACTCCTCCCCAACCAACTCGAGTATCTCAGACCAATGGAGGAGGAGGGCACTCTAAGAGTAAGTTTATTTTATTTTATATTATTTTATATTATTTTATATTATATTATATATTATATATACATAATATACGAAATTTTATCTTGTTATATTTATATATACATTTTACTATCAAATATTATTAAAAAAATATTAATAAATGTCCATGTCAACCTGTTTATTTATTTATTTATTATTATCTCATTTCAATTCTAGCTTCAAACCTCTCTCATGTACCTTGCAAGTTCTTTAAACAAGGCACATGTACCGCAGGTGCCAATTGCATCTTTTCACACAATGCAGACCCCGCTTCTGGCTCCTCTGTGTGCAAGTATTTTATTAAAGGAAATTGCAAATTCGGGACCAAGTGTGCACTTTTGCACACCATGTCACTTTATTCTTCCTCAGGTACAAAGAATGGGAACGGAAATATGAACGGAAACGGGAATGGAAACAACAGCAACAGCAACGGCAATAGCAGCAACAACAATAACAACAACAGCAACATCAATAGTAATATCAACGGCAGCAGCAATATCAACATCAATAATAGAACTATATCCTCTGGTTTGTCAAACTCTGGTCAGGACGGCCGTTTTGATGTGCGTTCGCCTCCTCCTCCTCCGCTCCCACTCCCGCTCCCTCTCTCCCTCTCTCACCAAGGGCGCTCGTCGGTCCTGGATTATAATTATGGACGGGCAAACGGCTTTCTCGACAAGGACCCATCTTTGTCTTCCTCGCCTTCGTTAGTAGACGGCCGTGCATTTTTGCACTTTTCCAGAAGAGGGGATCCATTTGCGTCTTCGGCCCCGTCCCAGTCTGGTTTCCTGCCAGTTGATGATCAGCGGCGACCAAAGCTTCCGGTCTTTTCAATGGATCCGCTTATCAGTGGGCTGCGCACCTCTTCTTCACGCGAACCAGCTGATCCAACGCCTTCGTCTTTTGGCCGTCCTATGTTTGGTGCCTATTCATCTAGTAATCCGAGCATGCTCTCGAGTTCATTAAACAAGACCTCAACCCTTTCTCCACTCCACAGTATATCCGAATTTAACCAACAACATCTCCAACATCAGCAGCAAATTCAACTTCAACAACAACAGCAACAACAACAACAACAACAACAACAAAAGCAGCAGCAACAACAGCAACAACAGCAACAGCAGCAGCAACGGTACCATGATGTACCCGGCAATTCGTTGTATTACCACAATTCTGATGAATTTGATGATGATTTCCAGGACAGTTCTGACCTAAATGATGCCATGCTCCCTTCGTCCCTCAATGAGCTACTGACACCTACAGAACTGCAACAACGACGGTCTCGTCAGCAAGCAACATCCTTCCGCTCCTACCTTGACGGTTTCCCGCTCGGGCCAGAAGAAGATAGGTCGGGTTCTGAACTACTGCATGGTTACCGGTCACCATTAGCAACCCAGCCGGTTGACGTTATTGTTGGTGGAGGTGGAGGTGGGCATTCATCTCCATTTGAACATCTTATGTTGCCAAGACAACAGCAGCCAAATCACCATCATCAGCATCAGCAACAGCAACAACAGCAGCAACATCAATCAATGTCATGGAGCATGTCTCTGTTTGGACAATATGGGGCTGATAATGAACCATCTTCTGCAATCAATATTCCCGGTGCTGGCACTTCAAAGCTCTCATTGCTTCAGGACAATAGCAGCAACAACACTAATAGTAATAGTAATAGTAATAATATCAATATCAATAATAATAATAATAATAATAATAGTAGTAGTAGTAGTGGAAGTAGTCGTCCTAAACTGCAGGACAGGATGCCAGAGTCATCCTTTATGCCCTTTTCTGGAGTGGATGACGATGTGCCTTTTTACATGGAAGACACCGAGGCTCCTACACAACCACAAAAGCAACAGCAAAATCAAGATTTGGATGAACCTCGTCTGAATCCTTTTCCCTTTCCCTCTCTAGTCAGTATCCCAAAATAATTCTGAACTGACCATCCTTATATATATATATATATATATATATATATTTCAACCTTTCTCTATATTCCTCCTCCTCCTCTTCTTCTCTTACACTCACACACAAAAATGATCCAAAAAAAAAGTTATTGTTTTCTTATTATTTTTCCCTATTTTATATCTCTACCATCCCCTTTATTGGCCTTTTACAAAACAACCTCTCAACTTTTTTTTTTCTCACTCCTACAAAACTCACAAAATTCCCTAAAATGCACAAAAATGCACAAAAATGCACAGAAATGCACAAAATGCACAAAATTCAAAAAACTCAAAAACTACTCACTTTACACACTTTTTTTATACACCTCTTCTCCCCCCCCCCCCCAAAAAAAAAAAAAGCTTTATGATTTTCTTCTCTTTATTTGACCAAATAAAAATACAAATACAAATACAAATTCAAATTCAAATATACATATACATATATAAATACATAGAGAGAAAGAGAGAAACACAAGCATCCAAAATAAGTATATATATATATATATATGATATTATAAATCTATATAGTGTTATGTAATGCAATATAGTGTGATATAGTGTGATTGTATAAGAGAAACCATATATCATATACATTTATTCTTGTGTGTATGTGTATGTGTGTAAAGAACAAAAAACAAACACTACGGGAAAAAAAGTGGTCTTTTTGGTGGTCTTTTAGGTGGTATTTTAGGTGGTCTTTTGGGTGGCAGTTTTGGTAAAACCAGCAAAAAGACCATCCCTATTTTTGGAAATATAATTAGATCTCCGTTGACTGATGGATGTTAGGTTTTATTCATATCCCGATATTTAAATTTATGTATTATTCTTCTCGTTCTATTGGTAGAAAGAAAATAAAAAAGAGCTTTCTTATTGGTATAGATGGAAAAAAAGAATCTTTGTATTGTCACTCATAAAATACTTTCGTTATACTGCTACTTTTAATTGGATAATATAAACTTTATTGCAGTATACACATTGATAGTATTGGTCATTTAAACAAAAGCATTCTCTCAATTGGTTCTCATATATATATTCTGATTCATTCACAGTTTTAATTGGGCAAAAAAAATTTATTTCATAGAAGATCATTATTTAAAAATGTTTTTATTGGTTGTTATAATAGAAATAATATTTTATTCATGAATCGTACTGGCTAAAATTCCTTCAGATTATTACATATTCTCACATTAATTACACAATTTATTGTACCTACCAGATATGAACTTACCAGAGTATTCTCGCTTCTTACGCCCTCTCCAGAGCTGGCTAACCCTTGCAATTGATGCCCAGTTTCTGTGGCATCTGGTAAAATCGATTCCATTGTCTCTGAGTATGATGGAATGATTGATACACAGCCTGTTTTTATCCTCTTGAGGAAGCAATGACCAGCCAGGGTTTGTTCCAAGATCCTGAACAGATGGAAGAGCTGCCAGTTGATCACATATGACCTTGGTACATGTGTTAACAATTCTCTTGGTTTCCTCGGTCAATTCTATTCTAAGATCGTCTGTTATCATCTTGTATATATGCTTTAAAGTTATATCGTTGATTTTTGATACGGGTCTTGGAATGATGCCAGTAAGAGTCTATTATGTTTGACATTAATTGAAAGGACTTTAGTTGTTATAGTATTTGCTTACACTGGTAGAGGTTACAATAGTTCTATCTGGAAATTCCCGATCTTTAAATTCATTGTAAAAACTTGTCATTTGAAGTTGCATCGCATCTTGTCTTTTTTCTAATGCTTCTTGACGGCCTAGCAATGCTTCTTGACCACTCTTTAGGGAAATAAGTGCCGCTTGTATTCCTTGAAGCAACTGAATCACTGTATTGTCTGTATTGTTCATAATTGTAAGAAAAAATCAGTTACGTGTTTGTTATAGAAAAAGAAAGAAAGAGAAAATTTTTTACCAGAAACTATTATTAGTTTCAAATCTTTAGCTTCAATTTTTTAGCTTCAAATTATTAGTTTCAAATTATCTGTACAAATCTATTGGTTACTCCTGAAGAAACATTGATCTAGTAACTTCACTGATGACATACAGATACTTCTTTAAGATCCCGAGCATATATTCAGAATGCATATAACATCATTGTCTTTATATAATTAAGTATAAAGCTATACATTCAGAAAGTAATTAATTCTATTCTTACTTATATAACAAAGTTTTTTTTTTACCTACCTCAAACATGTCCAAAATTACAAAAGCCCCTCGTTACCAATGCCGTACTTGCAAGTCGACCTTTAATAACAGTCGAACATATAAAAGATGTCTCGAACGATGCATGACAAATAGGGCAGAATTACTTGCCAATGGCGAAGTTTCCCAAACTGTCTCTCTTCCTGATCAAAGCCAGTTTACATCAGCAATGGTTCCTAACTTGGCTTTTGGGTAAGCTTATCAAAAGCAAAAACACAAAACGATAGACAGTATATTAATTAGCTGTATACTTTGATAAACAAACAGAGAAAACATCAACACAAGCAGTAGTGAGGATATGGATATCATTGACAGTACTGAAGATGATGAGTCCATGGTGAGATACATAAATACATATATTATGATAATCATACTTATTGTTGTTTATCTTACTATAGTACGATTTTGGAGAAGAATGCGAGAATGTCATTGACGAAATTGAAGGCACCACACCCTCGCTAGTCTTTGATTTTAGCCAGCCTCTTCCTGTTCCCAGCAACGATGATAAAAAGAATCTCGCGTTCATGCAGTTGATCCAAGAGTTCGGAATTTCTCGTCGAGCCCACGAAAAGATTGTAGAACACTTCAACCAGATCCTTGATTGTTCTATCAATATTACGTACCGAGCATGCAGCCCACACCTTGGAAACAAGCTTCTTGAGCGCTTCTCGGGTATCAAAGCAGACGGATACGACATTTGCATCAGAGGTTGTATGCAGTTCAACAACGAGAATGATATCGCATGCGTAAAATGCGGTGAAGCAAGATACAAAAATGGCCAAACTAGCGAAAGTGACACCAGGGTTCCTGTGAGATCGATCGTACAGCTTCCTTTGGCCAGACAGCTTGCTTTGTGCTTGGCTGATGACAAGACCAGGGCTGAAATGCTCTATCGTCATAACCACCAATCCAGCCAAGACGGGCAGAAAGCAGATGTTTTCGATGGTCATGTATACCAATCCATGAAGCATCTGTTTTCTGGTGAAAACGATATTGCGATTTCGTTGTCCATGGACGGGTTCAACCCACACAATGTACCTGGATCAGTAACCATTGTTCATGCAACTGTCTTAAACTTGAATCCGACGATCCGTTATGAGAAAAACAGGATGATCCAAATAGCAATGCTTCCTGGTTGCACTGGTCCCAGTGACATCTGGTCTTTTCTTGAGCCAACGCTGAGAGATCTCCGTTTGCTCCAGACAGAAGGCATGGAAGTAAAGACACCGACGACAACGATCAGGGCAAAGGTACATGTCCTCATGGCCACTGGCGATATTCCAGCTCTGGCAAAGCTGGCATGCCATGTTGGCCACACGAGTAAGAATGGCTGTCGTATTTGTCACGTAGTGGGCCAAACTCCTAAACATGGCCAGTACTTCCGCATGTTGCCTGGAACCCAGACGCGCTCACTGGAGAGTTTCAGGAACTACAATCTGGCAAGCAGTGAAGACAGAAAGGGGCTCAATGGTCAGTCACCGTTAGCCTCAATGGAAACATTCTCTGGCCCGTTTTTTTTCGCGTTAGACGAGATGCATGGTCTGTGCCACGGAATCGGTAAACAGGTATGGGGACTTGTACGCGGAAAGTATGGAATCAAGCATCCTCTATGTCTTTCTCTTGCCACTCAAAGGGAGATTGGTGCTGCAATGGTAGCCGCAAAATCCACAATCCCTACATCGTTGCATGGTGCCTGGAGAGATGTGACAAAGAATGCCAGTTTCTTTAGAGCTGTGGATTGGGCAGACTTTTTACTCTTTGTTGTCCCCACGTTGGTTGCAGAGCGTGTCCAGGACTTGGTTGCCCGAAATGCATTACTTGGCCTGGTTCAAACATGCAATTTACTCATGAGCTGGGAGTTATCAGCAGAGGATCAAACCTCGATAAGAAGGTATGTTTAATGCCATATTTTATTTCATTTTTCATAGTAATTTACTTTTACCTTTTTTCTTAGTAATCTTGTAGAATGGAACTTATTCCTAGAGAGTCTTCTTTCTACAGCAGATATTGACATTGGCGTGTTCACAATTAACCAGCACATTATTCAGCATTATCCTCAGATGATTGATCTATATGGCCCGCCAAGAGCATATAGCACACGATCCGTGGAAAGAGCCATTGGTGAGTACTCCAGGTCCATCAAGAGTAACTCCCAAGTCAGTGTCAATGCTGGAAACATCATGATCAGACTGGCGCAATCCCGGCGTGTAGCGGAACTGACAACCGTTGCAAACACAAAAACTCCACCAGCTAACCTTCTAGTTTACAGTGCATATACCGATGGGTGGCCTGTTACAGAAGGAGGTGATCCTGCCAATGCTGAGTGTGAGATTGAGTTCTGGGGGCCTTTGAAGAATTTAACAATTTTCGATAGCTTTGAAGATAGATCTCATCTTTCATTGCTTCTTAAAACGTTTTATGATTTGAAGGGGGAAGAATTTAGTATGCTTGAGCCTTCCATAAAGACAAGCCGCAAGGCCTATCTTAATGGTTGTGTTATTGACGCTGCATTCAACCAAAGTTCTACAAGAGAGGCATGTCATGTTCATGTGCAGCTACAAGTGGACATGAACTCCAGAAGATCCCGCTCTTACCGTCCAGGATATAAGCATTTCTTCGGAAAGGTGGTTATATTCTTCCAACATGTACACAACTCGAAGAGATGGCCACTAGCTCTCATAACCATATATAGTGTGCATTTGAAAAATGGATTGCCTATTACATCTGTAGTAAAGCCGAAGACTATAGTGATTCATGCCAGTGACATTGTAGAGTTGGTTGGCTTGGTGCCATCAAATGTCAATGGTAGCCATTACATCATTTGGCCTAGCCTTAAACGTGGCCCAAAATTGACACTTGGTGCCTTAAGTGATATATAATTTGTTTTTTTTTTTTTGTAATAAATTTTTCTTTTTTTTTCAAATTGTCTTAACAAATTTTATCCAAGCAGCAGAAAGTTTAGATATTTTCTTTTTTTTTTATTTCTGACATCCAATATTTCTCAATTCCAATATATATTTACCAAAAATGTAAGATGTTTAATTAGAATGGACATTTGTCCCTCCTGAGATTTAATTTTAAGCGATTCATTTGCTTTTTATCAACCATTTCAAAGAACAAAGATTTTCTTGTTTCAACTTGGATTTTTGGTGATTTTTTGATTATTATAGGCCAAAAATGAAGTCACAAATTCAAAAAAGACCACCTTTTTCCCATAGTGAAAGAACAAAAACAGCAACAAAAACAGCAACAGCAATATTAATAGTAATAAGTATTAATAATATCATCTCTTTTTAAATAATTAATAATAAAATAATAATAATAGTGTAAGAACGGTAAAGAAAAATTAAGTACAAGTACAACTACAAGTATAAGAATAATTATGACCTGCCTAATCCAAGACCAACCAAAGGAACCCACAAAAATATGCCACTCAAGACAGGAATGGTGAGATTGTCATCGACACCCAGAACACCACCGATACCTTCGGACAGACCGGCAACCAGACCTCCATAGACCGAGAGGAGTGGCAGACCAATTGAACTGAGCCGGTTGTCAAACGATGGTGATCCACCAGCCAGACCAAAGGGACCAAAAAAGCCATATGTGACCAGTGATCCCGTGACTACTGCACCAAGAGTACCTGCCAAGGATTTATTTCCGTATCTTGGAGTCTTGTTTCCCCAGAGACGGCCGCAGATACTTGCGGTCGGGTCAGTCCAGGACAGATAGATGATCGACAGCGACGCAATGTCCTTGGGGAATGCCCAGAGCACGATAACGCAGCCGGCCAGGTAGTAGACAACTCCGTTGAGCCGTGTGCTGACCTCTGTCTTGCGCATCAGAGGGCCCAGTAGCTTGCAGTAGATTCTATTGAACCAGTCAAAAGAGAACCGAAGTACTTCTGCCGTAACCACCACAGCGAACCCTGCTGTCAGTGAAGGATAGATATCTGTTGTGTCATAACCAGAGTTATATAGATAATATACACAGAATCCTTTTTGGTTTTTTTTTTATTATTATTGTTATTAATTTAACAAGTGTATCATACACACATATAAAAATAGTTAGAATATTTGTTGTGTATACATAGACAAATAGGTAGACAGATAGATATGTTTGGGGTTTGTTATAGTACCTATTGAATAATGGAATATTTTTCTTGGAATCTCCCAGCTTCCTGCAGGCTGGATTTCAGGGAAACATGCTTCTAGAGGTGTCTTGGTTGCCTTTCGTTTGATACTGTATTTCTTGGACATGAAAGAGATGACGATTGTGATGGCGTCCAAAGATCTTGTCTTGTGTGATAAAGATTGAACTCTCTATTTATTTATTTTATATATATATATTTTTTTGTGTCTGCCAAAAAAATAAAAAATAAAAAATAAAATAAAAATAAATAAATAAATAAAAAACACTAAAAAGATATATATCTACTATATATATATATATATATATATATATATGTATGTTTGTATGTATGTATCTTGTACGTATAATATATACAGTGCTTCTACCGCCAATTGGACACTTTTTTGAAAACACTAGTCGGACGGTAAAATAATAATTGATCACCTTTTTGAACCTCAATTGGTCATTTGTTTAATCTTCGCTTGGTCACCTTTCCGAAAATCAGTTGGTCAATTTATTTGGTCACCTTTGAGATCTATTTTTTTTTATAAAGACGGTAATGGAAACATTATTGATTATAGAGATCAGCAAGCACCTACCTTTGTTGACGGAACGCCATTTCGTTCGAAAATTTGGACTGATCTTCAGAAATGTATTAAGAACGATGTTCAACTTGAATGGACAACTATGAATGCCGCTGTGATGGGAAAGGTTGCTCCTAGAAAAAAAAGAACAAGCTCTTCAATATAACGTTTAAATTATTGATTGAAAGCGATATGGTATATATTAGAAAATTAGAGAAACTTATTAGGATGCTTCTGCAACTATTCAGGACACAGTAGATAATTTGACTACAAACTTTATCAGTCTACAAATAAAGAAATCAAGGGTAGCCGAGGTCATGAGTGAAGAGTGGAATTTAATCATCAAAGATATAAGCCGTCATCCTCTTGGTACAAACAAAGAAGAATCCCTTCAGGCTCGTGTTAATTGGATTGATTATTGGGTTAAAAAAAAATGCTATCGATTATCTGAACAATTGTATCTTTGTTGACGAATCTGGATTTGATATCAATAGGCGTTGTAGTCGCAGCTGGGCTAAGCATGGCAACCCAAACCGTTATCACAACAACTTTAGCTAGAGGAATCTCTCACAGCTATTGACACCATATTGGTTATTGGTATTGACTTGAGTACGAGAGAAATTGTAGGGGCTACGAAGAGAAAGGCGCTTCAGAATAGGTTATCTGCTCCTAAAGGTACTACGGGCGGCCATTAGCCTTAGTTTCTAAGCAATAGCATGATTATGGATGAGCGTCCTGAAATGAAAGGTTACTTTGTTGTCATATATTATCCTCCAACTCACATCCTTAAAGTGATTGACCCTATAATTATGAAAAGAGATTATACCCCAGTGTACCTTCCCCTCATTACTTGCCTGACCTTAATCCAATCCGAAAAATCTTGGGCTATTGTAAAAGGAAATATAAAGCGTAACAAGTCTAGTGGTATAGAGTCGTTTGCTATGCACATAATTGAAGCTAGTAAAGCTGTACCTGTTGAAAATCTCAGAGGATCTATCCAACATTTCGTAAATTAATTTGATAGCTGTCTTAATAAGATTGCTATATAACTTCAACATCATTATAATAAATAAATTTCAAAAAAAATTGTCCAATTGACAATGTAAGTGCTGACCACATTGGCCTCATCCATTCTATCAATTTCAAGAGCAAGAGCAAGAGCAAGGCAATATGGAGGCCGTCATCATTAAATATTTGCAATGGAAGTAAGTAAATAGTACAGAACATAGAACATATTTTACTGATTTTGCTTCTAAATTTTACAGACCCAAAAGGCCCATGGTTGCCTTCAAGAAAATCTACACAATTACATGTGCCCAAGCAAGTGATTTTTCTCTTAAAAAAAGAATTACTTACCCAAAGACTAACGTTATAAACCATATAAAGAAAACTGCAAATTAAATGATTGGACCTAACTCTTACAAGACTTCCATTATAGCCCATGTCAGCGATAAGAAAAGTTGGTGTAAGTCCTACATCTACTATGATATTCTGAAAGGTTATTCATACTAAATGAATATACCTTCAAAGACTAATCAAGATGCCAAATATTACGGTAACTAATATAAAAATAATTGGTGTGGACAGACTAAAAGTTCAAAAAAAAAAGTTCAAAAAAAAAAGGGGCAAGATTAATTAAAACTCTCGCCCAATTATATGACTTACAATTTTGCTCTTTTTTTTTGCCCTTTTTTGAACTTTTAGTCTGTCCACACCAACTTTAAGATTGTTGTATAAAATAAATATATAATAAGATAACGATGACAGAGGAAAAGAGAAGGCGGAGATATGGTGGAGCGTGTAACAAAATTTAGAGGTTGCGTCACTCTAGAATCTAAAAGTGGATGCGGAATGTATCCATCGGCAAACCCTTTTCTTTTTGGTAATGTAATAAAAAGAAGGTTAATTCTTGTAAGCTGCACACAAAATCAGAGCAAGCGTACAATCCATACTGTGCTTGAATACAAAACCTGTCGATTGGCCGACAAGCAAAAATAAAATAAAAATAAGACGTTATATAAAGAGCAAGATATAATACAAAGGGAAGAATAGACAGATTTTGGAATGGATACTAATCGTTACGAAAAATAAGAAAGAAAACAGGCATAAAAACAGGGCAACAGATATACTCCATGTGTAATAGACCAAGATTTGGGTCTCAATTATTCCCTTCTTCCTCTACTCCACTCCGCTCTACTCCCCACCACAAATCATCACAAGCATTAGTTTTGTATACCTTTACAAATTAACCAAAAAATGATAGCAATAATGGTAATAAAAAGCCTTGCATCACTATACATACGTATAGTATATTATAGAGTATATAATGTATAATATGTAGTGTGTGTATTTGGGGTTTCTTTATTACAAATTGACCTAGCCACACGTCCCATTTTTTACTTAATAAGAAGAATAACTCCAGTGTGCGATTACCAACCATCAAAAAAAAAAAACAATAATGCAACCACATACATATATACACATCGTTAAAATCTCCTAGTCCTTTTCAATTCAATTCAATTCAATTCAATTCAGTTCTACAAGGTATAATCTATTATCATCATATATATATATAAGCATAAAGAAAAAAGTTATCATTTTAACCAATTGATAATTTATAATCCATTTATGTACAAAAGAGTATCAAAGACTACTGCACATTTTCACACTCATATACTTTGTTTTATATATACATTTATTCACTATAAAAACAATACTCAATTCTAATCTGTATTTTGTCGGTAAAGATATATATATACATCTATAAAGCCCTGTCTCCATACCCCTTACTTATACACCTTTTCAACCCCCCCTTCATTATATTTTGTTTGATAATTTTCAGAAAATATATTTAATATTTATACACAATCATGGAAAGGTAAAGATTTAAACGTCACTCCGCTCTTGAGATACATTTTAATTTTTTTTTTTAAAAAAAATATATATATATAAATGTTAAAAATAATATATATTTTATATATATATATATATTAGTTTTTTCTTTTTCTTTCTCTTTGGTTGTCGTCACTCACAATGCTACAAAACGACTCCCATTCTTCTTCCACATCTCCATTGACAGTTCATTCAAAGCATGCATTAAATCAACACACAAAAGACAAAGACTACGACACATCCGAATCTGCTCGCCGTTCTCTAGAAGAACAGTTGAATGAGATGCTCCAAGTCTTGTTCGAATTGAGCGTGGTTGTTTATGATTTCCAACCTGAAGGCAATAAACTTGTGTGGGATAAAATGTATGTAGATTATGCATTTACATTTATAAATGTTAATATTATCAAAAAAAAAAGTTTATTATAATTACACAAATATGTATATGTGTCTATTCTGTTTTGGTATATCTTTCTTTCTTCTTTTTTTTAACATCTTAAGATTATCTTTAGTAATGCCATTACAGATCACTATCAGAAAATGGATGAACTCAAGGATGGACTCGAGGCATTTGTACCAGAGGAAGTTATAAAGTAAGGCTTGCCTTTATTTTATAGACTTAATGATTTATTCAAAGAGAATCTTTGTCCTATATCCAATCTATACACGTATATATACTACACTACACTACACTTACACACACACACACACATGTATATATATATATATATATACATGTTATATGATATATTATATCGGATAGCTATGTAGAAAATGGAAAGAATCCAGATATCTTCACCCAGACCTTTGTAGAAAGAGCTGCAAGTGAGAATCAATTTACGAATGGCAAGATCAAGGCAGTGGATGTAAGTTTTTACATATACATAAATACTATACATATATATAGAGATACAATATATTCTTTTTTCTAAAAAGAAACCCTCAAACTATACCCATAAAATTATATACATAAATTTGCCCATAAACACCTATACACCTTTACATTTACTTTTGCATACATACACATACAAACATACATTCAAATATATATTATGCTACAACTGTTGAATGATAATCAATGGTAATTATGATAATGATAATAATTCTACGTCTCAGAGCTTCCGGAATATTCTGTCAAATGAATTCCTAAAATCCTTTCCCGAACTGTCTGAACAAGAATATGACTTTGATGCTCTGATGCAACACAACCAACCCAATTCTACACAGTAACATTCTTTTTTTTTTTTGCAAACATTGATAATGATAATTAGCATACAAAATATTAATACTATCGTTATTCTTATTTTGCTAATCATGGTAGAGAGTAGTCGGTAGTTACCAACAGTAGCGCACCTCTCCCATTATTTTCATACGCTTTTTTTCATATATATATTTCTGTACAGAGTTGACCTGTAATTTTTGCTTCATATACGATCTGCTTTAAAAATGTACACCTTTTTTTTTGGCTTTTTACGTTTGTTTGTTTGTACTGTATTGTACTTCTTTGACTTGTTTGAATATGTATATAGATATAGATATTATTACATGGTTTCCTTGAACCATATCCAATTGATTTCGGAATATAAAGCATTTTAAAATAAATAAATCAGAGTTTGAAAATCACCGAAAGTCGATATGATATTGAAGGAACATATCATCATCGTCATTATTTTGGAATATCTTAGTTACCAGACTGATTATAACGACAAGCTTTAAATGACATGTCTTTATTGAATCAATTACATAAGCTATTATCCGTAAGTGTGGTATAAGATCACCTCCTATGACAAAAATATACCAGTGAGATATAGACAATAAAATATGGATTTATTTCGCCAGCATAAATATAATAGCAGCCTCTATATTTGGTTGTATGTAGATTAAAGTAAATGCATATACAGTTCAACGAAACTGTCGATTGAGACCCTTTCTTTTTTTTGTTGGATGCTTTGATACCAAATTTTCACCCCCTCTTTCTTTTTATTAGCTTTATGACAGCCAATCATAAGTTGGAATTAAACTTCCGCTATATCAAATGCCAAGCAGATAAAACTGTTGAACCCCTTTATCAAAGTATTTATAATGTATACAATACTCCAGCCATTTCTACCTTTCTTGACTGTATTAAATTAGCTGCCAATTTTATTCTACTAGGACGGGTTGTGCCGATTTATGTGGTAAAGTGGGTCCAAACTCGATAGTTAATAAAAATAAGACCATTAGTAATGTATTACTAAGATGCTGGGATAAACTATACTTCTCTGAATAAGTAATAATGAATAAGAGAGAGAGAGAGAAAAGGGGATATAGATAGATTCTTCTGTGGTCATTTTTTTTTACAATTCTTATGATTTTGAATAGATTTCTGTCCAATCTCTAACAACCATACTCTCCCCAAGATCATGGCTCAATCCATTCTTTTTTTTTAAAAAAAAAAAAAGAATAATAATAATTGATACAAGAACGATTTGGAAAGATATGATACATTTGGACCATCCAGAAGTTTAAAGACACTCGCAACGTGCCATAAGCAAAAATTCAAAATCTGAATGCTTTTTACTGAGAGTAATAAAGCAAACTTTGTCACAGGTATAGTTGGAACAAAAGATATACTGACCAAAGTCAGATATATTTATTATGAGTTATGTGTGGATTTGAATTGGATTATGAAGTAATAAATAAAGCGTAATAGTAGGAATATATGTTAAGTCTTTGTTTGCGAGGGATAGACAAAACGAAATTAAAAGGTTGAAATATTGCACATTTCATAGACAAATTGACTTTCCACATCAAGTTGAGATGGATCCAGAAGAATATCAATATCATCATCATCTTCATCAGTCTCTTCACCAAGATTACACAATGCGATATGAAACTCGCCAAGAGAACGATTACCAGAGTCGATATCCATAAAACAGTCATTAGAAGATTTGGAGCTTTCTGTAGAGATATTAATCGACTCTAATAAAATAAAGGTATATTAGAAAACTAGGTTTTATTTATATATCCAATTCAATTGAAATTTACCTTGAGAGTACGATCGTTGTCTTTTAGCAGGAACAGAGGAAGTAGAGTTGGATTTTGAAGAGGTTTGGGCAAACATGATGAATAAAAGGTAGCAGAAAGAGATATAAAATCCCATGCGCCTATTTTTTGACAGCTTTTATAGAATTTTCGGATGGTGACTGTGAGAGGTAACTAAAAGACAAGGTGTAATACTTGCATAAAAGTTTCATGTTTCAGTAATGACGATCACAACAAAAAGACTCTTCGTCATATAAAGATTGTAAAAACAACCAATTCTTTTTTTTTCTATTTAGTAAATAAATTTATCCCAAGTCCACTGGCACATCTGCATAAGCAAACGGTCATTTAATATATCATATATTTAATAATATCAAGTGCGAGCACACTGAACAATTGGGCTAACATCCTTTCAGCTAGAATAATGTGCTTGATCTCACCAATGCCAGCGTTTTTCTGTTGGAAAATACAGCTTCCAAAACCAGGTTTATTAATAGAGACAGTACAAGCTACTAACATTTGTATGTATTTATTTAGGGTGAAGTTATTAGAAGACAAAGATAAAAAGTTTATGGGATTGTATAATACAAGAGCTTTTTTTTCCAAATAAAAAGACTTGGGTCTTTAGTAAATAACGATGATGTTATTGAGCATAACCAATATGAGCTCTATGTCTCAGCCCTTTCTTCCGTAATTCACTCGTCGTATGCATGGTAATTACAAGGGTTTATTAATCCAATTGAGCGTCATTAACAGGTAAGCTAACTCTAATATAGAGTGATAGAAGGAACCTAATTCTATCAAATATTTTAGTACACCAAAAAAAAACATTAGTTTTTGGATCCAATTGCTCACCATCAGCGGGAAAAACAATATAAAAGTAGAGTCACAAGCCAGCTTTTATAAAGTAGATTCTTAAAATATCAAAATACAAAAACAAGCAAAAAGTAATAGAGTAAACAGCATACTAGTATAATTATCTTTTGGTAGTAGGTACAACCTAAACAAAGGTAAATTTTATTTCAAAGGCTATTATAAATAATAGCCAAGTAATCTTATGTACTGGAGCTCTATATTTTTATTGAGGCTTTGCATTTGGAATATATGTTTTTGCTCTCTAGAATTAATTATTCTCTGTCTTTAAAGGTGAGCCTTATTTGGCGTATATTTAAGAGAGGCTGCTTAGGAAATACAAGAAAGTAGAGGGTATAAATAAGATCCCAACAATTGAATGCTTTATATGGAGAGTAATAAATACAGATGCTTAGTAGAAATCTTTTGAAGAAAAGATGCGCTGACTAAAGTCAGATATACTTTATTAAGAAGCGTGTATGGATTTGAATTAAAGTAAAGAGTAATGAATAATATGCAATAGTATGAATATAAATTAAGCTTTCGTTTGAAAGATAAACGGATATATGAATAGATAAAGAGAGAGAAAGTGAGGGAACAAAATCAAATGATTGAAATATGCAGCATCTCATATACAAGTTGTTCCTCTATATTAAGCTGAGAAGGATCCAAAAGGATCTCAATATCATCATCCTGATCATCACGATTGTCAAATTCGAGTTCAAGCTCGTCAAGGGAACAATACCCAGAATCGGTTTCCTCGAAGCTGTCGTTTGAAAGGGCATGATCTCCTTCAAAACTAGTAATAAAATCTAATGAAATACAAGTATGTTAGAAAACTAAGTTTCAGTTATTCAATTCAATTCAACTTTACCTTGAAGGAAAGCTCTTTGCATTATAGCAGAGGAAGAGGCAGAGGCAAAAGCAGAAGCAGAAGAAGTAGAGTTGATAATTGAAGAAATTTGGCCGAACATTACGAATATATAGCTGGCAGAAAGAGAAATAAAATACAACCAACATACTTTCTGACAGCTTTTATAGACTTTCTTGGTGCTGACTGTAAGAGGTCATTAAAAGATAGGGTATAATCTTTGCATAAAAAGTGTCATGTTTCGGTGATTATGAGCACACTAAAGAAGCTTCGCCAGATAAAGATTGTAAAAATAACCAACTTTATATATATATAAGTATGCTCTTTTTAATGAGTTAATCTGTCTTACATCATTATACAGTAATATAGATACATCAGATGCCTCTCATATGGTAGTATAATATTTGGCTGAACAGGAAAACTATATATACTATTTGGTATCTACAGCTTTATGTCTGTATCTAATGAGAGTGATTTAACACATACCCCAGCAAACACAATAATTACAAATTATTATATAGTCATTGCGTGCGTGTATTTGTATGTGCTCGTGTCTATCTATCTACATGGGTTGATTATAATGTACTTATATATTAGAATGTAAAATAGTCTTTTTGAGCGATTCATGCTTCAAGAAAGCAACATATTTTGATATGTGATGTTATTCTTTTATAAGATCCATGCTTAGTTTGCTGACTATGTGATAGGACTGAAATATCATCATTTTCACAGATCACTTCAACACTCGCCTGAATTGTCTTGGGGTTGATATTTAAACCGTGAAAGCTTGATAGAATAGATAGTCAAACAAATCTAGTAGCCTACTTTTGACAGTAAATGTATCGGGAATCTTCAACAAGTACTCGAATATATGTTCTACTATTTTTAGCAATTGACTATGATTCAAGAGAATGATCTCTGTTATTTTTGTGATCGCTATTAAAGAGAGTAATACATATAATACGCCTTTACCATTGTAATGTGTTTGTTAATGTAGGTATTATCTTATTTTTGATTTATATATCTATTGAATATTTATGATTATCTACCAATACTAGAGCACGAAACTGACCACACCTTTGTTTACCTTCAAGGGCTGTAGCCGTCTAATGTCGAGGTCAGTGTACTTTAAAATGGTAGGTAAAAACTAAAATTAAGGAGGAGAAAGACGAAGGGCTAAACGTATAAAAAATAAAATAAACAAAATAAAAAAAAGGTACGCAAAAAGTACACGGTATATAACCACAGTAAAAAACAAGTTTCGACCTCTGAGCCCAGAAAGATATGAAAAAAAATACAAGACATATAATCAACATGCAACTGCTCGTCAATAAAAATAGCGGTAGCCTTCAAACTTTGAATACAAGTTAATTTACACGTTTATTTACATAAAAAAATAAATGAAAGATCAATATTTGGGCCACTATTGACATTAATTACCGAATATGGCATCGGTATTCTATACGTTCTGTCAAAGTCGATGCAAGTTTGACATTTATTGTTTGCCCTTTTCTTTGCATTACAGCCTTCAAATTAGAAAATTTGCTGATATTGACCTTCTTATGACTCATACGTCTCTTGAGAACTTACCAGGGCTGTCCAATGGGGTTGAGATCCAGTATTTGAGCTGGCAAGTAGTCAAAGGTCCCAATCTGATTGCTATATTTCTATGATCTCTAATAAGAGCTTGTATGAAAGCTGAGGTTGTTTTCTTGGAACACAAAGTGTCTGTTTTGTTTATGTAAAGTTTGTTTTAAGTCAAGGGCAGAAATCTCTGAAACAAAGTGCTTGCATATTGCTCTTGTTTTATATTGCCTTCTGGAATACCAATGGTTCAAAACTACAAGCCCAGAAACAGCTCCAGATTATCACACTGACCTTTTTTCTTACTTGCCGGTACTTAAGGCTAAGATTGAATTCTACATATCTCTCATTAACTTTTCTTTATAGCTCGATGCGTCTATTTTTACCCTCCACTGTGAATCTATTTTCATAAAATCAAGGAAAAAGAAGAAGGAAGGTAAAGACAAAGATATAAATTTAAATACAATATAAAAGACAAATGAGAGATATTTTGTTGCTCAAAACAAGCATATTTGTATATAGAATTTATTATAAGGTAAATACAAATAAAATGAATAAAATATAAGATATTCAAAGCTATACTAGTCCAGTCCAGTCCAGTCCAGTCTAGTCCAGTTGATATAAGGAAAGAATAAGAAAATAATTATAATACAATTTTTTTTGTGTTTTTTTTTGTTTTTTTTATGACTTCACTTGGTTTGGAAGTATAGATTGTAAAGGGATTTCTTGCTTTGTTCAAATCCAGATCCGGATTCCAATGTATAATTCTTGCTGTCGCGTTTAACCAGATTTTTTACTTGATTTGACTTGAGAAGCGACTCCGTTAGAGAGCACCTTTGATTTGATTTGAAATGATTTGGCTTGAGAGACACCTTTGTTAGAAAACACCTTTGATTTGGTTAGATTTGGCTTGAATGGCGACTCCGTTAGAGAACACCTTTGATTTGATTTGAGATGATTTGGCTTGAGAGGTGACTCCGTTAGAGAACACCATGGATTTGATTTGAGATGATTTGGCTTGAGAGGCGACTTCGTTGGAGAGCACCTTTGATTTGAGTGGAAACCAGATTCTTTAAAAGACAGTTGTATGGATTTGATAGAGAAGACCTTATTTTGAACGTGACAATAGCTGTGCTTTGGGGATGAAACCAGAGTTTTGGCTTTGGCTTTGGGTAAGATGATCTCCTTTTTCTTGATTCGGAACTTGGGTTGAAACCCTTCTTGGAAATGAACTTGACATTGAAATTTGGAGGGCATGACCCGGATTTTTGATTTGGATAAAAATTGAGAACGGACTTTTTCGTGATTGTGTATGTGCTTGTGCTAGAACATGGGCTAGAACATGGGCCTGGACTTGGACTTGAACCTTGACTTGGACCTTGGCTTGAGAAATGACTTGAGAAATGACTTGAGAAATGACTTGATAAATGACTTGAGCATTGACTTGAAACTTGACTTGGAACTTGACTTGACCATTTGAGTGATTTTGGTATTGTACTTGAGATTTGACTTGAGATTTGACTTGATATTCAGAGATAATTCTTGACATTTTTTTGTTTTTTTTTTATTTTTTTATTTTTTTATTTTTTATTTTTTTTGTTTTTTTTGTTTTTTTTGTTATACATATTTCAGATTTTTTCATGCTTTTTTACATGCGTTTTGTATGTGTGTTTATGTATGTATATATGTGTGTGTAATTTTTTTTTGTCTTTTTTGTTTTTCTTTTTTTTTCTTTTTTTTTTCTTTTTTTTCTTTTTTTTTTTCTTTTTTTATGACGGTGGGTTTACTTTGGTTTTTTGTTTTTGACCTTGACCTTAAACGTGCGTCTTGATTTTGATTTTTGACCTTGACTTTAACCGTGGATTTTGATTTTGATTTTTGATCTTGACTTTGACTCTGCGTCTCGATTTTGATTTTTGACCTTGACCTTGACTATGCGTCTTGATTTTGATTTTTGACCTTGACCTTGACTATGCGTCTCGATTTTGATTTTTGACCTTGACCTTGACTATGCGTCTTGATTTTGATTTTTGACCTTGACCTTGACTATGCGTCTTGATTTTGATTTTTGACCTTGACTTTGACCTTGGGCCTGTGTTGGAAGCCAAATGGGCTTTCGATCTGGCGAACATAAGTCGCGTAACAGCGGGAAATTTTGCGGCAGAAACGGAACCGTTTTGTCTCCCACCAAAAGTAATTTTATTGTCGGTATAAGCAACAGGAAGCAACAGGCCCGCCAGTGGGATAAGGGGCTCCTACCAGTGAGATAAATGGACCACCCAGTGGAAGTGATAAACTCTCCGGCAACAAAAGGAACTTGGGTGATTGGCAACCGTAAAGAAAGTTCCACTGGCAAGAGGTAATAGGTCCACTGGTAGGAGGAAAGGGCCTACCAGTGGGAAGCAACAAACCCACTGGCAGAAAAGTCCCACTGGCGGAAGCAACAGACTAGAAAAAAAAGCAACAAGCAACAGTACCTTTATAATAATATGGGCTCCGGCAGAAATAACAGATAATTTAAACCAACAAGCAACAGGACCCTACTAACAACTAACCCTAGCCACGCCCACCTTCAGAGACAATAGAAAGAGACCAGTAATACAAGGGGACACCGACAGCGGGCTCATGCGCTACACGCGCGCTTGTGGACTTGCTCGTAGACCATTTTCGACCCGTGGCTATTCCATCGGACGCTCTTGACGGTAAAGAAAAAAAAAGAGTAGCCAACCGCACCAGTCCAAAATCGGCTCAACAAGTTTAACAAAATAATATTGCTAAGGCTTTATGAACTTCTTTTGAACTTTTACGATTGGCTACTCACAATGTCATTTTGTGTGAGTATTCAAATATGTATTTTATATAGCGTATAAACACATATACTTATCTTATAATGTTCGAACTTGGCCTTCAAGAAGCTCATGGTTATCGGAAGACCTTCTTGGCTTCTGTGTACAAACGATGACCAACCGGAGACAGACCAATGTATTACCAGAAACCTTCCGTTGTCCCATCCAGTAGGCGCGGCTAGTATAAAGAAAAGAAAGGAAGGAAGCATGGATCTCTGAAAGCTGCCCTATATTTATAGACATCAAAACCGGAGGAATTCAGGTGCTGCTCTTAATTTAGTTCAATAAAATCCACTAAAGGTATGCATTATTAGTATGTTATAGAGAGAGTAGGTGAATTTTTCATTATTGTATATTAAGATCAACACATATTTTAGTTACACTTCAATCATTTGTTCTTGGTAAAGAATATTATCCATAGCTGTATACATGCATTTTTTTAAAAAAAGAAAAAAAAAGAAAGCAAATCGGGGGAATTGTTACTAGACATGAATTCTTCGGTGCATTATAAAAAATTGTACCCCTAAGAAGCTGTATGAATTAAAATCCTATGTTATTTTACTCTGTTTGATTCATATTACTATTATTACTATTGAATATATGAAATCGTTACTTAGCTCTTTTTTTTGCTGGTTAGTATCTGCTGTATGCTAGTATAGTGGATAAAGGAAAGGGAAATGTAGATTCAGTAATGAGGCAATGTTACTAGCTAATACGTATTCTCCAATCGCACATATTCTCATATTTGAGTGACTCTGAGAATTTATAGCTAGCTTAATACACAGCTTGTATTAACGTACGAGATACCAGATATGAACCTATTTAATTCGCTTGATAAAAAAGAAACGAGCAATAATTTAAAAGATAGTACTGATGTTACTTTCCTATCCTCAAGCTGGTACACATACTCTTACTTTTTGCACTATTATGTTATAATACCTTTTAAACGTATCTATTGTTTAATAAGGACAATCTTTAATAAGAACGAGGGAAATTTCAAAAGCAATATAACGTACATTATAGAGAGAATGTAGATAAGCAAAATTAATTTACACTAGGAAAATAAGCAAGTCAAAATTTGGGCATGTATGTCTTTATGTATTACAACTTTCATAAATATAACGTTTTTTCTTTCTTTTCTTTTCTTTCAGTAAATAGTGAATCACTTATAGAGCTAATTAAGAAAAAAAAAACATTATAACAAGAGGTATTCGGTACAGGGTATAAAATTTCACGATAGAAAAAAAAATAATGTAAAACTATGGGAAATGAGCAGCGGTTTTGATGACGATTTTGAAATATACCTAAGATTCTTTTCAAAATCGCCATATAAAAGCAACTTATTTCCCATGGTATAGTTGTTTGAGCTGATAATTATTAAAAGAAGGTATTTGAATATTTTTACGAGCCATGAGTTTGCAGATCGATCAGACCTAAAGATATACTTGATGATCATATCATTTAAACGAGAGTTGATGAAATCCTTGATAAAAATATCTTCAAACTTAAAGAGTGCTTTCTGCTGCTATTCTCAACTCGACTCTTCTATATGTACATATATATACTAAGCACTTAAAGCCTCTTTATCTTACTAGACTTTTTTTATATGCTTTATATTTTCGAGATTAACGTACTGTAGGCAATAGAAAATGAAATTTATTCTTGTAATAAAAATATTCATATTTATACTTCAAATCTCGCGAGATTATTTGATCTGCCATAATTTTATTGGTCATTCTTTTCTTGTATTGTTTCAATTTCTTTTAAAGAAAAAAGGAAAATAAAAGATAAATATATACTTCCTAATAAAAATGTATATTATATACATAGTATAGCACCATCATTCAAAAGCTGCTTGTTTTATATTAGTACAGAACATTTTTATATGTCTGTTTTCTTTTAAGAAAACAGAAGTTGTCATGTATCTATAAGCAAAACCTTCTGTGATTTGATAGCTAAAGCTTATAATATATATACTTATATATAGCATACACAATATTATTATGACCACATTTATAGCTTATGAAATAGAATTTCAAAGATAAATGTTTAATTATAATGTGTCTTTTGCGAATACCAATTTAAGCAGATACACAAGTAAATTTTATTTTATGTATGCACAAAAAACAAACAGCTTTCTTTTGCTTATTTCTGATGATTTCCCACACCTCAAGTTTCTGATAAATATTTGTATAATAGAACAAAATAAAGGTAGTGTAAAATATTACTTCATATCCTATGTAATATTACTAAAGTTTGGTCATTAAGACATTTATCGCATTTTGGGGTTTTTATTTAAAAAAGTAACTTACGCTTCTATCATACAATTATATTACAACCAAAAGAACAATAGTATATAGTATAGCTGTAGTACTATTTTGATATTAAATAATATGTAAATATTCCATACTTTATGTCTTGTGAAGCAGGTGAACATCTAAAGTCAATAACTTGTTTTGGATGAAAGTCATAAAATATGTATAATATATTGGTGTGTTTTAACTTGCAAAGTAGATATGCCACTATCAAGTCAAATTTTACTGCAGTTCTATCTAATATTTAATTATATATATAATAAAAGAAGAATAACTCTATAATAGCTCATTATAAATAGAAGGGATACTCTATTCGAGCTTATATCTAAAGAAGTGACCTGATAACTGCAAAAATAAGAGAATTTTAAAGCATTTACAGCAGTTACACGTCTCATTTACATTTAATTAATATATGAAATCCAAAAAAAATAGAAGGCCATATTTCAGATACATAATAGAAAAGTATTTAAGCAATTGCACTGCCTAAAAGTGTCTTTTTTTATCGGTAATTATATTAGTCTTCTTCGATAAAATTTCTTTATTAAAAAACAGTTAAAGTGTAAAAGTAATTGATTTATGTTTTTTTTTATTTACATGCGTTTATGTGGGGCGGGTCGTAAAGTGACTATTTGCTTTATAAAATATTCTTGGAAATGTACTTTATAAAGCTATTTTTTTTTAGCTATATGTATTAAGTACATGTATCCTGTGTAAAACTGGAGCTAAATGTAATCGCTTGGGATAGTTCAAGTGTATAGTAGGCATATGTCTGGTATGTAACAGTTCTAGAGATTATTAACTTGTAAGGTTGATTAGCAAAAGGGAACCAGAGTTTAGTTGTTAAGCCTGTTCTTCACTCAATTGTAATGTGTATACCATACCTACTTCTTACCAAAGTTAATACAATTTTGACGTTTATTCTTTGCTACTATCATTGTATAACAGATTTCAAATGATCACTTTTGTTGATGATGACCCTCTCACCACTCATATGTCTTTTGAAAGCCCACCAGAAGTGCTCATGTCTGTCTTTCTGCTACCTCAAATAAGAGCTGGTATAACAGCTGACATTCTCTACTTAGAACATGAAATGTTTGATTTATTTCCATAAAATATCTTGAGTCAAAGGAGGAAAGTTTTGATACAACATTTTCACCTATTGATATTCGTTTACGCTGCCATCTAGAGGCATAAAAGATCTAAAGCTACTGGCCTAGAAACAAATTCAATTCATCACACTGCGCTTCCCATCCACTTACTTGCCTTAATTATATTCCTTTTGTTAGGCCTTGCGCAAGCTCTTTTAATAGCTTTGACTATTACATCATTACCTTCCACTGTGAACCTTGATTCATCCGATCATACTACATCTTTCCACTGGTCAAAGGTCCAATTGACAAGCTCAGGAGCCCATTCAAAACGTATTTTCTTGTAGCTTTCTGTTAAGGCTGGCTTATGGGATGTGATATATGATCCAAAGCCCAAACATTTGAGACAGACAATTGCTGCTGCTGCTGCTGCTGTTGTTGTTGTTGTTGCTGTTTTTTTACAGACAAGTATTTTCCTTTTCTTTAAAGAGCCTCTCACTTTAGAATATGAGGCAAGTATGTCCTTCCAAATTACTTGAAAAAAATATATTTCTGTCCTCTCATGAATCTTTTTAGGTCTTTTGAACCCCTTTTCCATGCTCTGTAAATCTCATTTAATTCACTCTCTTAATGATGTACTGGACATTGGACAGGCTCATGTCAACAGCCGATGAAATCTGAATTACTTTGACATCTGCTTAATGCATGTACACAATGCATTCGTATTAGTAGGAATCATATTTCTCAAAAGAAACGTGTGTGTTTTCTGATGATGTGTCTTGCATGTTGGATTAGATTATTAAAATGAGCAAGAAAACAATGCTCATGTTTTTATTTTTTGCGGGTGTCAAAACGATTTAGATTGTGAGTCTTTAATCTTTTGACAGAGTAATTCAAAACTAGAGTTGACTTTAA